ACCATATTCCATCCGTGTTAAAACATTTATAGTGCACCTCAAATATATTTTCTTTTTTTTTTCTTTCTTTTAACTTACGAAAATAGTAGTTTATGTTTGATGGAACTGGCCGAGTTGGTACACGTCTGCGGTATGCGCAACCGTATTCATATGCCATTTGTCGAGAAGATCCCTTCATTAACTATATAGTCTATACTGCAAGTGACTGCAACTTCTTTTTTTTTTTCAAGTGACTGCAACTTCCAAATCTAAATACAGTTTGTAAAAACATATGCTTAATCTTATATAAAAAAAACTTTTCAAATCTAAAATGCAGTTTGTGTAAATACATATGTTTAATCTTATATAGAAAAATCTTTCTATATTTTGTTTTAAAATTTCTTAAATAAAAATAGATACGTTTGAATAATTAAACAACAGGAAGTTATTAATTCTTCCGTGAAGCCTTATCAACAGGAGCAAACATTCGTCATATAACTGTATTATTTAAATTGGGAATTATTATTTTCAAATACACTGCTATGTATCAGCAAATCGCAAGAGGTAGTAGTATTCAATATGAACGGTATGGAAACATAACAAATGCAGCACCAAAAATTACTTTTTAGCTATATAGGGCTTATGATAGAATATATATATATATATAATTTAGATTTATGATTGATACTATATTTTTATGTTTCTTATATATAGTTATATCATTCTCAAATGATGTTTCGTAGTTACCTATGCGAAACTAGCATTAGCTCACAACCTAAATTTTCCTCTCAGCAAATATAATTCAAAATTGCACAAATCCAAAATAATAAGTTCATCATGAAAAGTAGGATCAAGTATTTTAGTCTGTTTCGTAATACTATGAAAGATCACTCGTGAAAAAAGAACTGTATGCAAGATCACTCGTAAAAGTAATTATCTTTATTAAAGATATATCACTAAATACCATTTTATTATAAAAAAGAAGGGCATATTATTGATGGTAAAGACTAAAGGTTCACTATTAATTTGCCCGAATTCCGGAACTGGTGCTTACAAAGTTATTACTTAATATACAATTAGCGGAATTAATTAGTAATTCTTGGCTTTGTGACAGAAAAATAAAACCCTTGTTTAGTTTAGAAAAAAGAAAACAAATCCATTTTTATATAAGTTGAAAAAGAAGACAATAAATCTTCTTATATAAAGTTTATACTTTTGTAAGTCTCTCTCTTTCAGCGGGTAAAGGGTAAAGAAACGGGTCGGGTAAGGACCCAGCAAGACAGTAACGGGTCGGGTAAGGACCCAGCAAGACAGTAACGATGACGAGCAGACGTAGAATAAGAGGGAGACCAATCTTAGTTGGGATATTTAAATGCTTTGTCTCCTTTTTTCCTCACTTTATTTCATTTCTTTATCATCTTTGCTCGCCCACGAGCGAATCTTCTTGTCTGCGATCTATCTCTCTCCTTTTTTCACTCCTCGTTTGAATTTTAATACACAAAGATTAGCTTTTAACCTAAATTTCTACATTAAAAAAAAGGTAACTACTTTTAGAGATATTTGAGAATTGAGATGAATGATGATCATTGCATCTTTTTGGAGTCCTAATATGACCAAGTAATAAACTAGTTTCTTAATCGCTCGCTAATTATCCAATACACTAAATGCCCAGTTATTTACTACAATACTAGCGATTAGTCACATGAAATAGTATTATAGTACACATTTGATAACAGTTAAAAAAAAAAAAACGCTCCGAACTAAAAGCATATTGTCTGAAGAACGTAGACACAGTTCTGCCGAAATGGATCACATTTAATGACTGTGTATACCTCAATAACTGTTCTGGTGTACAGGCAATTCATTGATGTTTATGTGTATATATGCATGTGGATGATGATTAGTGGTGATTTACGGGCGTGGAATTCAAATGGTGATATTTTTCATGTTAATATAAGGTAAGGATCGAATTTCATCAGTTACAATTACAAACCAGTTTTTTTCGTTCATATTACTGTGGGAGATCCATGTTATTACAAATAGGATTAAATGAGACACCTATCAGATTTATATATACCTATGATAGAACAACTGATATGTATTAAGTATTCATCTGATGAGTTAACCCCCAAAAAAGAAAGTGTTCATCTGATCATGGTTTGATTAATATTTGATAGAGGGTCGTTAGATTCGTTTTATGAATTGTGATGATAAGTGGATGTCACTAAGGAGACACTTTGACGTGCGACAACACTATAAGGACGAGACAAGTATGACCCTTCAACATATTATTATAAGACTAATGCCACTTTACCCACTAACGTAATTTCATTACGACTATTAACAGAAACAGTTCTATTTTTTTATTTTCCTATCAGAATAAAAAATTGCTATCGACGAACTATGGGCTATGGCGATCCAAACGTATCAATCTTCGAAAAAAAGCTAACTAACTAGCGGAAAACTATTCTAAGCGTTTACCCATTGGAATCTAGTGTGATTTTGAAGTTTTCTTGCAAGAAAATAATTTAAGTAGAATTTTTAAGAAAGACTTTTAAATGATAAAAAATAAAGAGAAAGCAAGTGGCTTAAGAAATGTGGAGTTTGTGGAGTCTGCGATCCATCTCTCTTCCATCGAGTGTGGAATTTGTTGTAAAATGAGCTCTAACGAGGTTTAAAGTATGAGTTGGAATTTATGATTCTATTGTTAGGATTTAGATTTCAGAAAATTATGATTTTTAGATAAAATGACGTCCAAATTTAACCAATAACAATAAATTTAAAATAAACATAAAACATGCCAATTTTACCATTAAGTTGTTAAAACGCGTAAAGTTTTGATATACTGTTTAAATAATTTGTGAAAATTTCCAAAATTTATAGAAGTTTCAGAATTATTTCAAAAATGTCCAATAACATTAACCGAGATAATGTGATGAAGATTGTCACAGTTTTAGCACTCAATTAACAGTGGTCAGTGGACAAATTAAGTTTTCAAAAGAGGCTGATTAGCCAAGTGTCTATATTTTTGTTAGCTGCCTTTAGCGTTTTTAGCTAGAATTGGGTTCAACTTTTTTTCTTAAAACCAAAAATGGTTTTTTTTTTGGGGGTTCTAAATCCAAAAATGGGTTATGACTTCGAGCCGATATCTTTGCGTTTTGTGACCTGTTGTTACTTGTTAGAGATTCACATAATTTTACGATGATAAAGCATTTATATTTTCTCGCAGTGACACACATGAATAAAAAAAGTTCTACTCAATTTTCATTTTTTGGTTACTAATGATTACTCAACACTTGTTCTATTAGTTAAATCAATAAAAACGTATTCATTTAAAAAAAAACAATAATAAGTTTTTTCCTGTTAGGCAATTAGTTGTTTCTGCAACATTTTGTGGGTTGGCTTTTTGCATGCGAGGTCTTCTATATGTCCAAACACATACTGACTTTTTATTTATTTTACTTTTGTTTTGTTTTTATTCATCTCGATTGCTTTTGTTTGGCATGCATGCATAAATTGATTATGGGAAAATCCACTATATTTGACATGAAATTTGGTGGGATTTCTGATTAGAGATAGTCCGACATGATTAAACTACTGATATAATTGTCATAATTTAATTCCTTATAGTCTTCTCTATAACAGCAATTTTCCATAGGATTACATTTTCCACCTTAAACATGATCATTTTTATCTCTTTATTTTATCAAGTCATGCTTTTGTGCTACATAAGCTATATCCTCCTGTCTAATTAATGTATTTTGGTTGACCAAACTCACCTAAACTAAGTCCTCATACGTTTTAAAATCATGTAACTATTTTTTAAAAAATTATTTGTGTATTCGCATAATTGATAAAGAAAAGATAATTGCAAAGAAAGCGTATAACTTAATTTAATTGATGTAAAAAGAATTTACAGCTATAACCATACAAAAGGGTTACAAATTTTTTTTACATATCTTCATTGCTATCATCCATTCATCTTCCGCTTGTTTTCCTCGTTCACGTCTGTGACTTGGTCAAAAATCATACTTACATTTTTTCAACATTTGCAATCACAGGCTCCATCAAAAAAGGAAAGAAAAAGATTTTGCTAACAGTAAAAGTAGCAATGATAGGTTCTTAAACTTGCATGCTTTTGTCACTGCTTTCGTCCATAATAAGGCTATGAAACAACTACATTATAAATTTTATAACAATTATCGAAATTTAATGGTTGTAAAAGTAGTGAATTTGATTATTTAAACTCTTTTGCCTGATCAAATTATATTTTGACATGCTAAGAGAACAAGTAAAAACTCCAAAGAAAAAGTAGGAACAGGTGAGTGGCTGGATCAAGTTTAATATTAATTTCTCTCCAAACAATTTTGGATTTGCATCGAAACGTCTGAATAATCTAATCTCGAGACTGAGTTGAGAATCCAGCTCATGGATATATCGAGTTTAAGCCCTTATTCCCGAAACTGAGACCATCGTACCAGTACACGCGAGTTTCTTACTAATATATTATTTCTAGTTTAATAGAAGAAAAGGTAAATTACATTTTTGATGAGTATATGTCCGAATCTAGAATCTTAAATGTTGTTCTTCTAATTCATTCAAAAACTTAAATGTAACGTTAGAAGGAGAAACAGTGTTAACAAACACGATTAGTGTGTCTGCCACAAACAAAAATAGGGGAAAGTACATTACCATTTATATTGTTGTCTCTGTCATTAATGTTCATCATCCCATTCTACGGCTCAAATGTCACAACTTGGAATCTTCAAAGAGAGAGAGGTTAAATCGGACCCAGTTTTCAGAAGAAAATCAAGAAATTTCACGTCGTTTTCAAAAGTGATCAGTCACGCTTATGTTCAAGCAGTGGAAGACATATTAACGTCTCGTCTCTTTAGACAAGACTTGATGTTCGTTACATGTTTATCGTATCCAACCAAACGGCCACATGATTTTGTTATTTGTCGTCATAAACAAACACTCACTTTAATAATTTTTGCTTAATTTTGGCTTTAATAATACAAATTGAAATATAACCCCTCTTTTCTCTGCTAAAATTCTTCTTCTCCTCTTTTTTTTTTTCCCTATCACTGACTCGGGGTTTACAAATACAAGTTATGCTATGGCACATGTATATAGTGCTACGCATGGGATTGATTTTACTGCCCACCTGTATCTTCTTCAGCAGCTTTCTTGTATTCTGGTTTAAGCTCATAAGTCCCTTGGTTCGATCCTCTCTTATTGTAAACGCATAGCTCGTTTAGTATTTCTTTCAAAAACTGCGCTGGTTGGTCTGTTTCCTGAACCAGCTGCTTCAATGTCCAGTTGGGTTGGCCTTCGAATAGCTTGAACATTATAGCTTCGAGCTCACCACGATCTCTCCTCGTCCTCTTCACTTCGGTTTGCTTAACTGGGGCAGGTTTCTTCTTTTCCTGCTCATTCAGACACACAAATACATACTTCTACATCGGTAAGGTTGATCAGGGCATGAAAGGTATAAGACAGAAGATTGGGATTTCAGATCATATTTGAGTTGAAATTTCCATTTTAAATAATATTTGGTCTGACAAAAGGGCCGAACATTGAATTTGAATTGTTGCTTCATTAACTTTAACAATGTCAATGATTACTGCAAAGATCATTGAGGAGAGAATAACATTACCTTTGAATTGGAGGGAACTAACATTGGCCTCATATGTACTCCGCGATCATTATCAATAACCTTTAGTACATTTCAAAGAAGAACAAGCCTTACATAATCAGCTAGCAAGCAGTTAGAGCAAGAGAAGGACTTAAGAAGGAGAACAAACACCTAAAAAGAGCAAGTAAAATACCTGTATCTGCCGGTTTTTAACCATGGATTTGCTTGTTCTCTCCCGACAAAGCCTTGCATATTCTTCAATGTCTTCGCCGAGTGGCTTCATGTCGAACTTGTTTTCTACGATTCCCTCGGCAGCTGCTTGAACTATAAGCTCGTTGACAAAAAAAAAAAGGAATCAAGAGATGCCTAAATCTCGCCAGCTTTAAGCCAGAGAAACTAGAGTAGCTGGCCTAGTAAGAGATGAAACGCAAACAAAACGAGTAAAATCTAAATGAAAACCTCACCTTGATTTACTGTAGACATTACATTCATGGGAACAAAGTCTTTGAACATGTTCATAGAGTAGCTCTTTGGCATGTTCCCAAACTCAGCACCAAACATCTCCATCTTGAACTGATACCATTACAGGGGAATAAGTTGAAAAATAGAACAACACAAATAGCACTAAACAGAAAAAGACTTCCCCTAAGCAAGATTTTGAATAATCAACCACATTGGTTAGTAAAATTGCCATGAAAAACTCAAACTTTGTGAACACTACAAATCGCAACCATCCGAAACATAAAAACCCTCAATTTCACAAACAAAGTTCTACTCAATGAACAATCTAGGGTTTCAGCTAATACACGCAGAATTGGAAACTCGAGAATCAAAAACTCGAAGATGTAATCAAATACCTCGGGAGAAGGGTCGGGCTGTTGAAAATCAACGGAGAGAACAATCTTCGACAAACTAGGCGATTCCGAGGAAGAAGACGAATAATATGAAGAAGAAGAATGAGCCTGCTTATCCCACGCCTTGGTGACAGCTACAGGGCTCTTCATCAACCAAACCAGTCGGTCGGCATTTTCCAAATCGAGATCATGATCGTCTTCCATCGTTACTCAGAAATACTCTTTTCTCCAAATCAAATCTTCTTACTCTTCTCGCACTTACTTCTTCTGAGCTCTGATCTAAACTCTGTTTCAGATTTTTTTTTTGTTTGGTCTCACTCTTCGCGTTTTGACTATAACCCTAAGTCTTCTCTGCTATTAAGCGGAGGTGAACCAAAAAAACGGAAAATCTTTTGAGAGACCCGACCCGTTACTAAATACATGGATGAGTAATTGGGCCAAGGCCCATAAATAGTGTCCAGAAACCCAGCTTTTAAATGCCCATTTTACTAAAAGCTTGTACGTATTTTCCTAAAGAGATATATACTATGGTTTTATAACTTTATTGTCACCCTGCAATTACGATCATTTCTAGAATACTTTTACAATAACTGTTTTAGCATACTACGTACTACTACTGAATCTAATGCATTGTTGTCTTGTCCTAAACGACGGCGATGCATTTAGTATGTATGGCATAAATATTCGTATGTGTGGACTGGACATACTGCATAGATTAACATATGTACAACATGCAAGACCGTCTGAAAATAAAAAGGTCACAGGCAAATTTGAAATTCTTTTTCGTTCTGTTTTTTTTTTAAATTCAAATTTGAATGCTATTTACTATGATAATGAAGTGTTAACTACAAGTTCCGTTTTAATTACTGATATATCAAATAAGAACAAAATAATAAAAATCCCTAGCAAAATAAAATATGTAAACATCAAGCAAAAATTAATGAAATTGATAAAAAAAAGTAAGAAAATTATAATTTCGAATTTTGAGATACTAAAGTAAAAATATATGATTATCAATTACCAACTATACAAGAAAATGAAATATGCAATAAGACAGCCTCCAAAATATAATACTGGTTGCCTAAACGATTGCTTAGGTGATTGAACCAAAAATATCATGGAATTATCGTGTATGTATTGAATGGATAACATACAGATTGTTTGGGTTGGACCACGATTATTGTGCTGATAAAGACACCCGAGTTTAGAAATAGATGCCTCTTTGAAACTTAACTAAATCCATGAGAAACCCTAACCACTACTTTCACTCAGTTGCTTAATGTACAAAGGGGGGGACCAACCTCTTTCTTTTACGGATTGTTTTTCCTTTTTCTGTCTCGCTCATTTCATTACACTTCACACTAATATAATACATTTTTTTATATATTAAAACTAGAGGTTGGAGCCGAGCTAATCAACAAAATATTTGCTCAACAGCTACACGATTGGCTCGATGATGAATATGTTTTTTTTTTTTTTAAGATGGGATGGCGACTATTATGTTGGAGGTCACTATTTGACATCTATACATGTTGGAGTATTTCTATGATTTTTGTCAAGGGGGTTGAGATAAAAAAGAAATAGTGTCCTATCAATCATAATCGAGAGTTAGGTATACGTATAAGTATAACAGAAGTTAAAGATTCATTTCAAAATCTTTGTTCGATAATAGTCTCTCACTTTGACCGCAGACTTTAGAATCTTATAATCATGTGTCGAGTATTTGGACTTCTCATGCTTCTTGACCCATAAGTTTTCCCTTTTCTTCAACATAATTAATTAACAATTTACTCGCTAACTATCTTTTCAAACTTAACCTAACGTATTTTAATGGTAATTAATGACAATGCCTAACATTTTGACCTGCAAGGATAGCTTTTAGTATACGTACCATCGGAACCACATGTACATCATCAGTAGGCTATATTAATAAATATAAAAAGTACAAAAATGATCAAAATTATAACAAAAAATTATAGCTAGATAAAAGGTAACGCCAAAAGGAAACCCATAGGCTAATCCTATGAGGCTGCAGAGCTTTTGCGAAACAAGAAGTGAGACAGATTAAGCAAAGTATCAGAGGAGACGATCGTGATTTTGGGATCAATCACAGTTGTTGGATAATTAATTTTTGTAACAATTAAACAAAATCATTTTGATCAAGAGAGACTGAAAGAAGAGATCACATGTCATGAGTCAGACACTTGTACTGTTTTTGAGTAACTTCCATCCTCTCCTCTGTGATTTTTCACTTGTCCTAAATGAAGCAATCTATAATAGTAGTAGCTAATCATTATTATTATTAAGAGTATCAGTTCACGCATACAAATTGTATCATTTCACAAGGATATAACGAAACCGATTTCAAATTTATCATATATAGGTCATTTTTAGATGTGTATATAACAGTACTACTACAAGTTGTGAGAAAAAAAATGTTGAATTAATATTTATGGGGGATTAATCAAATCCATGCAAGCAGACGAATGAAAGTCACATCCATGCAAGTAATAATCAAATAGCTAAGAATATCATAGTTCTGCAGGGGAGAAGTTTGATATAAAAGCCGTATATTACTATCCGTTTCCATTCATCTATGCCAAATTAACATTTCACATGTTACGTAAGTATTATTAACTCATAATTTGACACTCTCAAAAATTTTAACCTTAACGTCTTCTTATTGTAGATAGGGGCTGACTCTAGATGGAATGACAAGATATTATCTAAGTAAAAACCATAGACTTGAGTGTTAAATAAATAAAAAATTAAATATTTGGCTTATTCGACTAGCCGACTCAAACCAGAGAAAAATACTATATAATAAAGTTAATGCATGAATCCATTTTAAAACCGCCCAGGACCTTCTTTCTTTTTTTAACTAAAGTTTTCCTTCTTTTCTGAGATGTTAGTTATATATTTCAATTGAGAATTAATTTTACATCTTTTACTTTGGGAAAATTCAATTGGGTAATATAAGAAGTTGCTTAATTTTTTCTTAAAGGGATAAAATATGTTAAAAAAAAAAAGTCTTTGATGAATGGAACCCGAAACCTAGTTAAGTCATATTTAGATCCGGCAAGCAAACGGAGAAACGGGGAAAAAAGCAGCTTCGAGCTCAACACCAACGAGAAAGCTAATTCAAAAAACACCCACAAATATTATCATTAATTAAAAAAGACAAATAATAGATTTTTGATTTGACCTTTACTTAAAAGGAATTAATATATATCGTATACCAATAAAAAAAGAAGGATAATTAGTAATACATTAAACTCCAACTAAACGGCATTCAAATTGACACAAAAGATATCGATCCTACGCCAAATGAACCAACGAATTCTAGAAATGGTTTCATGTCGAGAAATATATAACGAACAAACACAAGCGGAAACCGTGAAATTGCAATAAGCAAATCAACGAAATAAAAGATCAAACTTTATAACTAGATCATCATTAAAAATACTTCTCATTGATCTTCTTATAAGTAAACGTACTCGTACGATGTGCATGTTAATCACCACTCAGTAACATACTAGCTAAGGGAGTTTTATCAAATTGCACGAACTTTCAAAAAAGACAAAGACTAATACAAAAACAAACAACAAAGTAAGGCTTCTTGTTATTTTAACGTTGTAAAGATGAAATAATATTCAGTAACTGAGTCTGAATCTCAAGACCTCGGAGGTGTGAAGAATGGCGTACCGGCGATGAAGGAATTGAGTTGAGCCGGATAAAGCGACGAAGGATCGAGTATTAATCCATTGTTATTGTTACCGGCAACAGTAACCGCCGTTTTCGCAGCAGTCTCTTCAGCATTGGTGGTTGTGGCAGTGGAGGCAAGGAGGTTAAGTTGATGATCTTCATCTGGTCCTTGGTCATAGAGAATTCCTTTGAAGACATGTCCTCCAATGTTCACAGCCGTTTGATAAGCATATTCTTGATCATCTTCATCCTCTTCTATCGAGCTCACTCGAACGCATCGGAAAACCGCCGGTGAGCTAACTTCCGGTGGTAAGTTTTGACTCAGCTCCAACCCTAAATTTCATTAATGACTATTAGAATAATAGTAAAAATTATTGAACTTAAGCGTTTTTTGTGGTCGCTTTTAGTAACATGTTCTTGATATTATATCCGGCAAAAAAAAGCAAATCTTTAAATATTTATTGCATTGTGTTTACATGAAGTCGATCTTGGATAAACCCTTTTATGTCGTCAGGTTTACTAAGAAACAGTAACTTGGAAAAAATAATAAAGCAGCAATATCCGGCGGACATCCTCATTCACACGCAAATGATGTTGTACTTCTCCACAAACATTCATAATTAAAACTATACTTTTCTTGAAAACTCAATCAATTTTGTAAGCTAAATTTCAGTATCATCAATTAGAGATCACACACACCATGATCTAATTTTACCTGGATTAGAATTAGCATTTACCACACGGGTAATAGCAAGAGCAGTTCCACCACCACTACTATGGTCTTTATCATCATTTTCACCACCATTAGCTTCTCGTACGCGTTTAGCGTTTGCGTTTTGCGTTTCACGGCTGGATGCGGAGTGGTGCTGCAAGGAAGCGAGTTGGGCTAAACGCTCACGGCGTTTGGCAGCAGGAACCCAAGTGCTCTTAACGTGAGTTTGACAATGAAAGCCTCGGCTTTTACAACAAGTTCTACATCTCATATGAGGACAATCTTTCTTAGCTTGATTCCCACAATCTTGACAATTCATACCTCCTTGTCTCGTCACCGTGAAACCTCCCGGCTCATGATCGGAGACTACGTTGAAGTATAAACTCCGGCTCCGGTTATTGTTGTTGTTGTTATTGTTGTTGTTATTGTTGTTGTTGCTGCTGCTTCCGCTTGGAACCATTCCAAATGAGTAGAAGTTCGCAGGAGCTGAGACATGTTGTTGTTGTTGTTGAAAGTATTGAGGAGGCCAAATCTCGAAGCCCTTGTTGTTGTTATAGATCTCGTCTTTGTAAAGATAAAGATAATTATTGCTCTTGTCTTGCTGTTGATGATGATCCTTGTCTACTTGATGATGATCTTGCTTGTTGTTGTTATCTCTCCCTCCTAGATAGAAGAATCCTGCCATCTCTTTTCCAAGTGATAATCCACATCACACACACACAACACACTCCAAAGAGATCCAAGAAAGAGTCAAAATCTTTTTTTTTGCTTGGAGAGATTGAGAGTAAATGATGAGGAAGATCGAGTTAATCAAGAGACTGAATTAGTCTCTCTTCATCATTTTAAGAAAACACAATTTTGATCTCTGAAAGTGGAAGTTGCTGGGTTTTCTCTGTGGATAAAGAGAGAGAAAAGGTTTTTAAGACATAGAGAGTCCCATGAAGATCTTTTGCTTTGGGCACTTCACTACAGTTATCTTCCAGTTTGAGTGAATCCCCATCACATAAATATCACTCACTATATGTGTTTTTAAAAAAAAAAAAGAAACAGAACCAAAAAAAAAGATAAGCTGACATATTTTAAGTAATTTTTCTTATGGTCATCATGCCATTATGTGTGTTTATTTTCTTGGCCTCAGTTGGAACATTAGAGCAGAGCAAAAAAACAAATTTTCGTGTTAGTTGGGATTTCCATACTTTAAATTAGATTTTTGTACGAGATATATATACATTAATCGTTTGAGGTGATCATATTTATTCTCGACATCCTTCATCAGTTATTTTAAATAAATGTAAACAACGAAAATTAGATAAGACATTTTGTTATATATACAGACTAAAGTAATCGGGTACTTCAGGATCCAAAATAGTATGCATGAAGCGTTTTTTTAATTATATGATCTATTCGAGGATTTACACTTTTTTTTGTTTTAGAGGATTTACTTTTGTCGAATGCAAAATAAATATTCGTCCGCGTATTAGGAGATTTTGAAATTTAAGATGTGTAGATTAAAAGAAATTAAAGATTCAAAAGAATCTGCGAAAATAGTAAAAAAAATGTATAACTAGAAAAAAATATATAGCTCACATTTTAAGCTAATACAGTATAGTGTTAATTTTATAAATGGTGACTAAAATGCCACGTGTTAGAACAGGGAGTTTTTCTCCACTCGTCCCTCCCCCGCAAAACGCTCCCCACCGTTTGTTTATCTTTTCTTTCCCCTTTCAATCCGAATTAGAATTATATGAAATTATCTGAAAATATTAAAGGGAAGTCTGAGAAAAAAAAAAAAAAATTCGAGGAAACAAAAAAACAGGAAATGAATTAGGGGAAGTCTAACGTTGCTTTGACATTTTATCGTCACGGACGGTCTAATCGTAAGGTTTACAGCTTAATCACGGACATTAGACCTTCAGTGACTTGAGAGTCATTGACATATATTAGTCCATATGTGTTTCAACAGTTAAACCCTAACCGATGCAATAGATATGTCAAAAAATGATAACAATAAAGTGGTTTGAAGAGATTGGAACTATATAAATATGTGTGCTGTGGTTTAAAGGATTTTTGGTGGACAGCGATCCCTACTCTAAGGTTTAGGTCACGAGTCATTATTATTAGCCGATGAATGGATGTGATCGTCTTCCATATTTACCCAAACTATTACATGAATATTATGTATTTTTTTCTGTATTTAGAACTTTTAGCTCGTTCCAAGAAAACTTAGCTTTCACGTTCATATTTTTCAAAATTTGAAAAAACATTAAGATTGAAAGAAAAAGAATAACGATTCATGGCGCAGTTTGCTCTTTTTTCTTACAATTGAAAATAGAGCAAATTTATACACCAAATATATATATATATATATATCATGACAATACATGTGATTGGATTGAGTAAAACCGTTAGTGGTTTTATCGGAAACTAGCTACTATTAATTATAACTTCTCAAATATTTTATATAGTACTTTTTTGGGTAAACCAAATATTTTATACTAAGTATGTAGCAATTGGCATACATATTCTGTATACATTTAAAATTTCAATCACTAAAGACTTACTTTGTTATTCAGTCATACCTTGGATTAACATTGGAACCGAAGCAACCAGACCCACTCTAGTGTCTTTGATCACGTGGAACCGCGTGAATTAGCGGCGCAATTTGCATTTGATAATGATAATTAAGCGCATTTGATATTAAATAAATGTTTTAAATGTTTACATATTTGGTAAAAGTTCTCTTTAGTTCCGTGGCTGACAAAGATTTTATTTGTTTTTTATAGTATCTGGTTTGGATTGGTTTAGTTTTCAAAAATATGAATTATTACATATCAATAAAAATAAATTATTGAAAATATATAGCGTAATGCATAATTGTTCGTTTGTTGTGTCGTATGTATTGAAGTATTTACCGTGAGTTATCTGGAATTGTCTATGAAAAAAACTTATTTTTGTATAGTGATATATACGTAAAATTGTCTATTAATTTTTGTGTAATTTGCTGACAGACATCTTTTTATATCGTTAGATCAGTGGTCACTTGTAGAAATCCGTATAACCATCTCTCTCGTAAAATCTGTTTGTTATGAGTACTTCTATATATACTTTTATAACTTTAAATTAAAATTTGATAAAATAAAGATTCACAAATCAGTATTTTCACCTTATCTTGCGAATTGTTGAGGAATTCTCATGCATAATAATTTACTCATACATAACATCAGGTCACGAGTGAGATTTGACTTCTCCATTCTTATAGCTAGATTTGATCAAATCTTCGGTATCAACGGGCCAATTAATACACAACCAATTTCACAAGATAAAGTCTTACCAATACCATCAGTAATGTTGAACGTGAGACCTGTCGCTTCCTCTCTTCCAAATCGGCGTATCAGAGTTTGGATGTCAACAAAAAAATTATATAGTATCAGTAATGTCCATTACTAAATATACATTTTTTTTTTTGACAACTAAATTTACATTTTAACGCACACTAATCCTTGAAGCTGAAATATGCAAGTTACGAGAATTTGCGTATTTAGTTTTGTAGTGAGCAAATGTTTTTCTTTCTCTTTTAAAACCGATCAGCATTTGCTTTAAAGTTTTAAAGAATTGTCAAAATTGTCGCAAGGAATACGTGGGAATGCATCTAGAAATTTTTATAAAAATGGTAAACATATTAAATATCCGAAAACACTATATTTTAGAAAGACTATACTATACAATTTAATTTGGATTTCGCTCTACAATTCTTTTGTTATCAAAAACAAAATGTATATTCTAAACCAACAAATGGAATATCAAACAAGGTATACGGCCATTTCGAACATCAACTGTGCCTAGAAAAGGCGAGATTTTCTAGAAATACTTAACATGACTATTATTGATCCCTAATTCCTAATATTGGTATATAATGGTTGATCGTACGCATTAGTTACCCAACAAAAAATTGATCGCACTTAGGGGCCCGAGACATGAGTCTTTTACTCTATTGTATTTTAGAATTTCTTGTTGACTTAATCACTATTTTGTCTTTATTTGTAAATGTAATTATTAATACTTTTTAATTTAATAGAAAACCAAGGAGCTCCTAACTTTATGACTCGGGATCTTCATGATTAAACTAGTTGCCTAATGTGTCTTTTGTCTTCTTTTTTTTTTCTTTACCTTTTTCCCCTTTCTTTTCTTTTCTTTGCTTAGTATTTTTTGTCCTTCTCATTTTGATATTTGACGGGTTTAGTAGCTTTTATTAGTTTTTGGGCGGATGACATTTCTCTTTAATACGTACTCCAGTTAACAAAAAGGAATATAGACGTTAGATGTCCATCGACTATGGTTTATGATTTATATATATAAATGTATATAATTAAGCTACTAACTGATTCAAGATGGATAATTAATTGGATATAGATGTTTTCAAAATATATTATTAGATTATTTTAAAGAAAATTCACCAACAACAAGAAATGCTATATGTAGTCATGCGTAGGCAATGAGGTTTATACAACATGTTCAAATGATTCACATTTTCATCCAACATTCTTTTATATTTCTAAAACAGCACATAAATCATCATTATTTTTGAAAGGATATATATATAATATATATATATATATCAAATGTATCTATTTAGAGTTATGATTGTGTATATTTTGCGGAGAGGAAAGCTTTAATCTACTTAAAACAATACAAGTTTAGCTAAAATTTAAACTCACTAATAAAACATTATGCTGAAACAACGCCACAAATTATTTAGCCGTAAATCAACTAATATGTATTAACAAATTGTGTCATTGGAATGATTTTTGATAAGAGATTTTTGTTTGCAGCCGATGTTTATTTTTTCGTTTTGGGTCAGGGCAGCCGATGTTAAAATTATATTTTTAATATAATAAACTACGATTTTGTCACCTCCCACTAGACAGGCAGAGAGAGAGAGAGAGTGAAGGAGGAGCAAAGGCCATCTTAGGAAAAATTAAAGAATAAGGATGATCTCCAATTATTATTTAGCTGTTGTCTTTCACTCTCGAGCCTTGTGCTCACCTTTCTTCTCGCTGCTCCTCTCTCTCTCTCCTCTCTTTATATGTATGCTAGTCAATCATTCTTCTCACTAACAGTAATTTCCCGACAATCTTCTCAATGATTATATCTATTATATATACGTCGGGTTTAAAAGTTATTTTAGTCGAGACTTAAGCAGTTCATGTTACGATTTGGATTCGAATCCGATCCGATCTTTAGAAAATGAGATATGGTAAATAAAAAAACACACACACATAAGATTATAATAGTTCCATTTTAATATGAGAATTACGTTTATTTTCTGCCGCTACATATATCATTACGATAAACATTCGAGAAATTACAATTTTTTCTTCCTATAACCTATAGTAAAAGAAAATTATCGTGAAAAAAAAATTATTAAAAATTTAGAGAGAAAAAAAACGAAAGTGTTTGAAATATCAAATATCAATCGTTTGTACTCGGCCATAGGAACTTTACAAATTAGCGAAACCTTGACAGTCCACAATTTAAATGAAACACATCTCATAACCAATCTGATTATAACAAGAAAATTTCAAGTCGAAATCCATACTAATGCTATCACCGAGACATATGTGAATTTCGAATATTTATGTTATTTATACAATTAACATAACTGAAACCGTAATAAGAATATTTAACCTAGTTCCTCAACTTTAGAATTTTACCCTTCAATCACTATATGGGTTACTGGTAGCCTAAACAAAAACTATATTGGTTTGAAAATTAACATTATTTTTTTTACTCTTTTTTTTAATAGAGCTCTTGCTTTTTTTTATTCTTCCATTTAAACGTTTAGTATTTTATTATATTTTCAACTGTTTTCCGCAAAAATACACTTTTATAATTTTGTTTTCTCCATATTGTTAACACACATAAAATAGAAAAATAATTAATCAAAAACATAATTTTTTCAACACTCACTCACCATAAAGATAACCAACTAATATATGCTTTCAAATTTTGTATATCAGTCAGCTAAAATGTTCTTCAGCACGTAGTTATTAATACCATTATTTATTTTCTTTTTCTCCCTCGTCTTCTATATGTATCTATGTAAATATCTCAGTAAATATGACTCACATTTAGTCGATCTTATATACAGTTAGGGAAGTAGATTAGAGTCAAATGGGTGGTAAATAATTGTTTTTTTAACTACTATTAGGAAAAATAACATTCTTCTCCATTATGCCTTTGTGACCATCATTTTTCCTTAAAGCTAAGTTATAATTATGCTCTTTCCGCCAGAAACGGGTTTTTGTCTTGTTGAAAATAAAGGAATGAAGTGACTCAAAGCGTCTTTCTAAAGCTAAGATATTCGATTTACTCCGTCAAGAATTAACTTTATTCCAATATATATCGCGAACAATACTTTGAAAATCAGACGAGGGAGCAAAAACAACTAATTTCTGGCTTCGAAAATGTCCCTACTATTATTAACACATTAATTAACAAATTGAAATTCGCGTGTATTCACCCTCTTCATACGATTTCCCCATCGTATATACAAAAAGTTATTAAAAGGAGGAAAACAAAATAAGGTGATGTGATTGTAACTGTGGTTCATGAATACATGACAAGTTAAGTATAATAAGCAAGTCTAATTCTGAAACCCTAGGCGACGAACACTGCATGCCAATAGTAGAAACAGTACGTACGATCACGAGATCAAACATATACGTACTTTACTCTCTTAGGATCCCTCCACTTGTAGGCACTAGCCACTTGCCACGTGGTCCCCCTCCATTAGCTCTATGGGCCTCATAAAGCCCCTGGGGCCCGTCTTCCCATCCATGCACATGCTTCACATTAAGCTCTAGCTATGTGTGTTTTATATAAAATACCAATCTTATTACGCATATTTTAGTACATTACATATAAACGTATAATATAATAGGCCTATACTACATGTATATATGTGCTTTTTTAAGGAGAAGAGACCGGCCGAAGAAAAGACAGCGTTGTGGTCTCCACGAAGGTTACAAAGACTCATTGTCACGTGACAACCACCATTTTTCAGTCTTACAATATGTGTGTATTATATAGCTCACATGTATAAAACCGTTTATTCTATAGACTTTTGATAGTTTTCTATTGTTTTTTTGTAGCCCATTCACGAATCTTTAGCACTATACTCTAGTTTTAGGATAAATAAGTGAGTTAGCCTATTTGACAAAAAAAAAAAAATTGAGTTAGCCTATTTGATCTATAGAATTTTGGAGAAATCAAATAATTGTATGAAAGATTGAAATCCATTGCAGAATTAACCTCGAATGGCCGAAGTCCGGGCGCGTTAGTGGTAAAATTCTCTGGACATTGCATCCGATTATTGTGTTCTTTCGCATGACTTTCAATCTGATGGGGCGAAACTTTAAAGCCCATGATATGTTCATAATACATATTCAAGAGAGAAACTCATCAAATTCAGGTGCTATCAGAAATATATTCGGCTAAAAGCAATGGCCCGAGTATGGGCGTAAATAGTAATATATTATGGGCTTTGCATCCGAACCATTCGGTTAGACTTCAATATGAAGGGCCTAACTTAAAGAGCCCATTATTTGTTTGTACTTTGTATCTCTTAATTAACATCATCAAAAAGTTAATGTCGGTTTCCTTAATTTACTTTTTTTTTTCTCTCTCTACTCATCCGTTTTAGATTACAATTTTAGGATTGCATTTTGTGTATCACAATAATAACAAATACGACAAAATTAAAGGCATCGAGAAAACAAGAAGACAAGTAGTAATTTAATTGGCTAAGAAACGTTAATTTTAGAAAAATAAAATTCTGTCGCTGATCCTCTGGAAAATATTACCTTTTCAATATTTCATCACTTAAAAGAAGCTTCTATTGTTTCTTGGAGAAAAGGCTTATTATTTTACAGTTTCTAATGGCGTTTCCCTGGATTCCTGAAGATGATTTTCGTCTCAGAAAATCAATCGAGGTATAGTTTTCACGAAACCCTAATTTCGACTCTGTTTTTTTTTTTTTGTTCTACTAATCTATCAAATTCAAAATTTTCTACTGTTTGATTTGTCTTTTCGCATATCGCGTTCCGGTAACGAGTTAATGTTACTGAATTTCGAAGTGAAACCCTAAATCACTGTAGCTTTAAAACCGTATCTTTGTAAATATCAAATATGCTAGCTTGTATCCCAAGTCATCGGATTGTTCCTCATTCAACTCTTGATTGTATTGTCTCTTACGAGTTTCTAATTGTTAATTCGCCGATTACTAGACTCCCCCTAAATTTCAATAATCAATGATAGAAACCATCACTATCTAAATCCAGTATTTGCAAATTTTCTAGTGATTAATTGGAGTTTAATTTTCTTGTATGTTAAAATAGAATGGAGCTTCTCTAGAGTCGCTAGCGAAAGGAGCAGTCAAATTCTCTCGAAGATTCACGCTTTCGGAACTAACAGATCGATGGCATTCTCTTCTCTACAGTCCCCAAGTCAAATCTCTATCTTCATCAATAGGATTCGATCTTGAACACTCAGATCAATTCCTTCCACAAAGTCATCATCATCATTACTCAACACCAGTCAGAACTCAGTATTACACGGCGCGTAAGAGGATGCGTTTGGAGGAGCCTCTTTATGATGATCATAATAATCATGTCGCGTTTGGAGGAAACATGTTTGGTGGTTCTGATTTCTTCGGTTTGCAGTTTGATGATTCAGAGCTTGAAATCATCAAGAACACTTTCCAGGATGGTACGCATCAACAAGATGAAGATGGTGATGATGATCGAATGGCGAATCAGTTGTTAAACATCAACGATGGAGAGATTCAAGACTGTTTTGTTACAGACACAACAACATTAGATCAATTTTTTCATCAAGAAGAGTTTCAAGATCCTCTGTTTCGAAATCTTAATGCATCTTTCATCGAGACAACATCACTGTCACATGAGAAAGAAGTCCATGAGCAAGCAGAGACCCATCAAGACTTGCCAAGCAAACAAGAGGGATATAGTCATGGTGCAATGTCACTGTCTAAACTGGATCCACATCCAGAAATCAAGAACGGTGAATGCATATGTACAATAAACCAAGCGTGTAGTGAGGTTCCAAATAATGATGATATCAACCTGCAACTGTACAAACCGAGAGCTCGAAACTCGATTAATCCTTCTTCATTAGCATCGATGAGGAAGCATACGAAACCACCTCTACCTCCGATCAGAGGATCATCATTTTCACAAGGTAAAGGTAATGACTTTATCAACATGTATGGTATTGGAGACTGTGATGTTACAGAACAAGCAAGTTGTTCTTCTGCATTCAAAAATAGCTTTACCGAGAAAGCAACATTTACTGCAACAACTTCAGTATCACAACAACACTTTCGAGATAAAGAAATCTGTGAACAGACATTCAGTGCAGAGATGGACATTGACGCTTCAATGTCAGAAGAAGAGCAGAATCATAATGAAATTGAGAGTGATGAAGATTTGCCTTCTTTTTCAGACGTTGAAGCTATGGTATATAAACCCACCCTTACAAGTATGAAATTTATGGTACTTTTTCTTGGTTGAATATACTAAAACTGTGTTTCTTTTTTGAACTAATCAGGTTCTTGACATGGACCTTGAACCGGTAGGTCAAGACCGGTACGAGTTGGAAGGTAAATAAAGAAGATGCCTCTCAAACTGTAATTTTGCCATTAATTTGTTGTCTTGATAAATTTAACAAAAAAAAAGGCTATACTAATGATTGTGTGTAGCTTCAAGATATCGAAACGAGGAAATGGCGCGAATGATAATGAGATTAGAGCAGAGTTCTAAGTCTTACATGAACCGTATCATCGCTTCTCATGGAGCTTTTGCTATTCTATACGGAAGCTCTAAGCATTACATTAACAAGCCAGAGGTAATTGAATCTTCTCTTGAGATGCTTAATTATCGTAATTAATTGATTTGATTGAGTTTTTTTTTTTAAAAGAAAAAACTTTTGTAACATTTCAGGTGCTACTTGGAAGAGCAACTGGAGAATATCCAGTGGATATCGACTTAGGAAGGTCAAGGTCTGGAACAAAAGTCTCTCGACGACAGGTATTTAATCATGTTAACAATTTATATACGTTTTTGATGGAGATTTTTAAGTGTGAGTATGATTGTATTCCAATGTGATTAGGCTCTAATCAGGTTGAAGCAAGACGGATGCTTTGAAATCAAGAATCTTGGGAAGTTTTCAATATGGTTAAATGAGAAAGAGATTGAACATAGAGAAACTGTTAATCTCAAGAACAATAGCTTAATACAGGTAAATTTTTTTCCTTCTTATTTCAACAATACGATCAAGAAACCGTGACTGATTAATTTCTTCTGCAGATACGAGAGATGTCGTTCGTATTTGAGACGAACGAGAAAGCAGTTAAAAGATATTTAGATGGAATTCACAAGTGATCATCTATATATATATATATATATATAAGACATAGCAGAGACAATATGTTGAATAGTTGTATGATATGCGAAACTTAACACGTGAGATTGATCCAATTAAAAGTTGAATGATTATAATGTTGGTTTCTTTCATTGTTTTTTTTTTCCTTTTCCTTTCAATTAGTCAGAGTGAAATATCAATAACAGTGAAATATAAAGGTGAGAAAAACAAAATTCGAATCAATTCGATGAGGATCTCTCAGTGTATCGATGCAAATAATGGGCAGTGTAGTGGACTTGCAGATGGTGATTGATTGGCAATTTTTGGTTTTGAGGTAATATACAAACCCCCTCTCTACCCCCTTCTTTGATTTAGATATTTTATAATACTCGTCCCATGACGATGTAAAGATATTATCGAAAATATTTTTAAAATATATATTTCTGAATTATTATTATTAGTTTCCATTATCACTTAAAAGTTTAAAACACATGATTTTCTTAAAACTGGATTCGCCTAGAGTTTTATAACAAGCTAGATTAATGATTTCTTTTCTGTTTTGTTAATTATATAAGATCTTATATTAAAATATAAAATTTACAAATGCTAGTCAAAATTTTGGTTTATTTTAATAATGTTAAGTATACATAATTTGTATTTAATGTTGTTAATGAAACCAGGTTTGATAATCTTATAGCAACCGCTTCCTCTTCATTTCGTTTAAGGTGATAATTTTGTCTTTTCAGTAATCTCATTAGCTCATTTAGTTACCTCCTACTAGTCACTAGTCAGTTTAATACTTTAATCTAATTAATCTTAGTATATATAAATAAAAGAAATTTGTCAATAAGCTTACACTCTAATTGTTGTAAAAATCGTGAGTTCCAAATGTGACTGCGATGGACACTTTCCTCGGTTCGGACTATTTTTGCATAAGCCATTACGTATATATGTCACCAGTTTCGTTGCATCCTTCAAAAAATATGTAAAAATAATGTAGGGGGCATATTCATATTAATGAAAACTCCCAGAGTGGTCCAATAAAATCATTAATTTCGCATAATAAAAAAGACTTTTGAATCGCTGTTAAGAATCGAGAGGTTTCGAAATTGTCCTCCCCACCTTCTGCCCATTCAGATCCAACTAATTTCCTTATTTTATTCATTTTTTTCCTCTTCTATTGGACAGCCCTTATTTTATTCTAAGAATGCATAAACACTCCAAATATAATCAATGGGGTAGTTATATTAGTGTCATCAGTGCCGTTTTGATCAAATATGAGATCCTATGCTATTAATTTATAATAGACCTTATAATATATAGTTTTTCAAAATATTTATATGCTAACTAATAAAAACATTTACTATATATAAAAGTAAAAAGTGAGTAAACAATCATTAAATATTTTTTATAAATAATGATTATTATTTAATATTAAACACTTCAACCATCAAAAATATATGAAAAAAATCTATCAAAAATCAAATATATATGTTATAAATTACTTAAAAACAATAAGAATAAAATTAATTATGACAAAAAAGCTTCTTAAAAACTTTATATTATGTTGACACTTGATACTATATGTTGTTTTTAAAATTTGTTTGTATTTTTTCTATAAATTTTTTTTAAAACAAATATTTTAAAAACTATAATAAGCTTCAAGTCATATTGGGCTCTGTATTGTATCACAGCACACTTACTATATGCCGACCTGAGTGTCATATGTCATGGAAAAAAAAAAATAGAGTTATTGAGTTATAAGAACCAACAAATAAAGACGGTAAAAAATATATCAACTTTCATGATTTTATGTGTTTCAACGTTTTAGTATTGTAATTTTGTTACTTTATATTATTCTAAAAAGTTCATTTACAAAAAAAATATTACATATATATTTTAAACGTAGTAAAATTATAACTAGAAACGAAATATCATTAGTGTATTTTTTTGACGTCAAATATCATTAGTGTATAAATGTCGTTCTTGAACATTTTATAATTATTCTAAAAAACTAGTTAATTTAATTTGGATCCAGTCGACTATTCCAGTATTCCATTATCATAACTATCTATTTTAAATTCAGTCGAGTAAAAAACGCGTGGGTTATATAACCAAAAAAAAAAAAGAAGAAATGGAAAGTGTAGATTAATTTTAATCAGAAAATGAATTAAAAGAAAATGAAATAAGTCACCGAGTCGAACTCTTAAGTGTGGAGCTTCGAACAACGTACGAGAGACACGACGGACCAACTAGCCACGTGTTGTCTCTCTTCTCTGTCCATCCTTTCTTCTACCTTCTTTTGGACTAACATCAAACTCTTATCTGTTGTAATCTGTTTCAATTTTAAAAGCAAACAATGAATGAATAGTTGACATCATGAGATACCTAATTCACCAAGTTCTTTGTGTTTTATTAAACATAATCCATGCTTCCAAAAATAATATTTGAAAACAAACCAATTGATTTTGACCCAGTTTTAGTTTTCGCCATGATCTTATGATTTTTATATGTTTTCTCGCCAATGATTATCCATTGGCTAGTTGCTAAATATAGTGGGGCCCATCTTGTTCCCTAGCTCGCATTCACATAAGTTATAACTAATCTTAAAGTAAACTTGCGTTAGAAGCTGTTCACATGGAGGGGACTGTATTATATGTGTTCTCTATCAAGTAATTATATCGATTTTAATTTTCCTTTTAATTACAGTCACAAAAATTCACAGTGCTGCACTGCATCCCGATTCAAATATCCGTGTGTCATTCAAGTTACTTTAATTTTTTTGGGGGGGGTCGGTTTCCTGATTGGCAAAAAAAATTATCATGCTAAACAAAAACTACAATAATGGTAACAGTAACATTTTAACAGAACATTACAATTTACATTAAAAAAACTACAATAATGGTAACAATAACATTTTAACAGAGCATTACAATACATGAGAACTGCCGAAATGTTATTACAAGTTCCGAAAATGAAAATTGTGCTACTGGTAATTAAGATCCATAAGAAAGGTAGTCGCGGTGATGGGCCCGAAAGCTGCAGGGTTTTTTAATGTCATAAAAAAATATCAAATAGCTAAAAGTTTAAATTAATAATATTTATAATACCTATAATGCTTTCCAACAAGAAAATAAAATTAGTATGATACCTGGCTGGCTTCTATATGGGGTTAAAGTTTCGTTAAGCATACGCCTTTAGTTAATTGTCGAATCTTTTATGCTTTTGTATGATACTTTTTCAAGATTAGAATTTAGTCATTTACAGGATACGGTGCTACTAGATTGCACTGCTGACAAAAAAGTAAATTCGTTACAATCTTCTGTTCGTACTTGATAATGGGTCTAAACTTTAGTAACTAATTAATTTCGTCTTAGAAACCAACTATACAAACCATACATAAATATATAAATATAGATATATTGTCTCCAGCCTCCAGTTACTAGCTAGGTTCATAATTCAGGTACAAATAACTTTGTATGCATCACGTTCTATTTTCACACCTAAGAATTATTTTGATCAACTGATTGTGTTTTATTACTTACAAAATTAATTAAAGAACTTGAAATTTATCATTTAGTTAGTCTTACTTTGAATTTGTTTATGATTTATAATTAGCTTTTAGAAAAAAGTCTGGAAAAAAAAAGAAAAAAAAAGGTGAATCTAAGTTGTCAAAAAAAGAAACCACAGTGACACATTTTTATACGTTTAATTATTATGTTAAGGAAAGATCCACTAGTCAACTTGGTTCGATTTCCGCGCTTCACACCACCCACCAATCATCCACTTCCAAGGCAAAGTTCTTCGATGGCTTCAATTATAATCTGCCAGATTACACAATAATTAAAACTGTAAACATATAGATGGAACTGTAACTACGTTTGATCTTTCCTCTGTTTGGACTTCGTTCATGACTGCATGAGCTTTACCATAGATGGAATTTCAATAAACAAGACCAATCGGCTATGACAAAGGTAGCGTCATATATATGTGTATATATTTTTCATTCGTATATATATGTATATATGTTTTTCATTCGCATGTTCTCTTGAAATATTTGTGTTGGATGTGCAATTTCATGCTTTAGGGGACAACTCATGGAAAAACAACGTAGTATTATCTTCCATATAAACTTATTAGATGATATGAACAATGCACATGCACGATTTTGCTGATTGATAATATTCTAGATATGCACAATGTGATTACTGAAAATTACTAGAAATCTCATATCTTTAGAACATCAATCAATTCATTTACTGCCAATTAATTTCTAACTAAAATATCACAAAATTTAACATGGTATTAAATCTTAGATACATGCTAGCGCAAAATCAATCTGATTCGAACTCGATTGGATCGATCTGACTCGATTGAGACTTAATCATCAATGATTTAAGTAATGCCCCTTAGGTACTTTAATGTCATGTTTATAAGCTCTCACTTTAGTTGTAATATCATATTTATGAATATAACACATGATTTAGTGGTTTATGTTCGTACCATTAATAATTAATGTATTACGATCTATATAATTCCACAAACTGTATGACGTTGAAGAAAATGTTCACATTTCTTAAAATGAATTATTAATAATTTTCAGCTCAACACAATCATTCAGTCAAATTTTTAAAGAGTTAATTGATGAATATGTAACTGATTGACGGCTACAGAAATCTCAAACCTAACATGGTAGTTTCCCATCAGAGGGCTTTCTATCTATTGATTGAGACATTACCAACATCCAGTATCAAAAATCCTGGTGTCTGGAGTGATTCATTCCAATTTTAGCAGGACAACTTATGTTCACATACGATGAAAGCCATTGGTCACCCTAATGGTATTTTCGTCATTTTTCGTTTCATTATGTGAAGAATAGTGTCTATAATAATTTTGATTTTGTCAAGTTGTCTACATATAAAAATGGTTAAAACGGAACCAGAATAATTATAATATATAAAATATAATGATTTAGCTAGAGAGATATTTTTATTCCGAAAGTTGTAACCTCAACAAACATTAAAAGTATAAAATATAATGATTTAGCTAGAGAAATATTTTATTCAGAAAGTTGTAACTTTGTTTGCAAGTATAATTTTAATGTTTGTTGAAGCACATCAAATAATCTCATATAGTACCATTAGTTTTATTTCAATATATGATTTTTTTTTTTATCGTGGAAGTTCTTAGACCATGTTCAATGGTAAATACCTTAATGGGGTGCTTAATAATTATTTTATTATAAATTTAAAATTAAGAACTCATTTTCAGAAATTTTTATTTTGCATACTCCAATGGTACAAACACACATATAGAAAATGAGTCTCGTCTTCTTTAATTATTTAATTTCACATAACAAGAGAAGATGAAGAAACAAACACTTTTGTTTCCTTCATCAAGAACACACAAAACTGTACATTTTCTCATCCAGAATCAATCACTCACGAGGTGAGTTCTTCTTGAACAAAGCATAAGCATCGCTGTAAATGGTGATTGCATTGGACAATATCGCTTCTGCTCTCGTTTACTCACTTAAATACTCAAGATCAAAACATGCTGGTTGTACAACATTCCATCATTCATATATACAAATTTTCAATCCCAAACTATATCTACTAATTATAGCAAACTCAGCTCACGTTTTCAGGTTCAAATTATCATCACCAGCAATGGAACCAGTTAAAGCATAGAGTTCATCTAAAACAGAAACTAAACCATCAAATACTTCTCGTTACAGACACACAAACAAAATGGAGTACCTAGGGTCCAAAACGAGCAATCCGTCTTCACCGGAGCACTAAGATCGTCTGGAAATTGAAAGTTTTAGTCAATTGTGTCGATTTATACCAAACCAGATTTTCTCCGATCAGTGAGAGACAACGAAACGAAAACGTTGAAAGGTAGTAAAAAAAAAAACTGACATTGAGATAAAGAGGGTTGCCTTTGATGCCAACTTCGAGATGTTTCGGCTGGATTATGGAAGAACATAATCGATCAAAACAGCTAAATATACCAAACTAAATAAAACTGCAATAAGAGTTGAGTCCGAGAAATCGAGTTCCATCGAAATCGAGTTCGTTCCCGGGAAAATCGAGTTCCGTCGGATCGGGAAACTCAAGCAATGAGATTCTCAAATTATTGTTTCATCCCTCGATTCGGCGGTACGAATCCGGACGATGGCTACGGAGAAATCGAAGGTCGGTTTTTTTCGAATGAGAACATATGAAATTTTCGCGACACATAGAAACAAGGATTTTGCATTCACACTTTTCGCCTATCATTTTGTTACACGTATCTAGTAAACACCGGCTCCTAAAACGCTTGTTTAAGCGTCGATTCTCATCTTTATGTATTATTTCGATTTAATTTTTTTTTAAAATGTCTAAGCGCCCTTGTTAAGCAAGGGCGTTGAACATGCTCTTATAATTCTAAATGGGCACAAAACTAACATGGGCACTCTCTCTCTCTCAGTCAAGCTCTCATTATCACCGCTGTGTTTTTTATTTAAAACGGTAGCTGGAGAAATTAAATGGAAAAAAAGAGATAATCTAAGAAAGTGGTGGAAATAAAAAAGATAATCTAAGAAAGTGGTGATTACTTTATTTTTCCTTTTTAAAGGTCACTTCATGGCCATCTCAAATAAAACAAGAACTATTTTTTTAGTCGAAAAAATGATATGATTGAGCAAAAAGAAGAAGAAAACGATGATATTTACATAAAGCACCCTCTTATTATTCTCTTTCCTTTTATTACAGAACTTGATATAATCTCACTTCTCCTATCCTTTTCATTAACCCCTCTCTCTCTCTCACTCTCTCTCTCTCTCTCTCTCTCTCTCTCTCCGTCTCTCTAATTCATAAATTGATGAAGATCAGGTGCGACGTCTGCGATAAAGAAGAAGCGTCGGTGTTTTGCACCGCCGACGAAGCGTCTCTGTGCGGCGGCTGCGACCACCGAGTCCACCACGCAAACAAACTCGCCTCCAAACATCTGCGTTTCTCTCTCCTTTATCCTTCTTCCTCCAACAACTCCTCTCCTATCTGCGACATCTGTCAGGTCTCTTTCCTTTTCTTGTCAAGATTGATTATCGATTTTTCCGATCAAAATAATCTGAGGTTTTTCTTGGTAAACTGTAGGAGAAAAAAGCTCTGTTGTTTTGTCAACAAGATAGGGCCATTTTATGCAAAGATTGTGATTCATCGATCCACTCTGCGAACGAACACACCAAGAAACACGATAGGTTTCTTCTCACAGGGGTTAAGCTCTCTGCCACATCATCTGTTTACAAACCCACTTCAGAGTCTTCTTCTTCTTCAAGCAGTCAAGATTGTTCTGTCCCTGGATCATCAATCTCTAATCCTCCTATCAAGAAACCTCTATCATCTCCTCAGAGCAACAACTCCAAGATCCAACCTTCTTCTAAGGTCGATGCAGCTTTGAATCAGTGGGGATCAACAAGCACTATTTCAGAGTATCTGATCGATACGTTACCTGGATGGCACGTTGAGGATTTCCTCGATTCCTCTCTTCCTCCTTTTGGTTTCTCCAAGGTTTGTTCTTCTCTCTCTCTTATAAAGAAAGATCTACAAGTTTTGAAATTTCATTTTGTTGGTCAAGATTTGATCTTCTGCTTATCGTAAATATCATATCGTTTCAGACCTTGAGATGTAAAAGAGTAACAAACTTTTTAGATGTGGATAGATCTTTTCCTGAAAAGAGTTTTTCGTTTCTTGTGGGTTTTCTTTTCTGTGATTACAGAGTAGTGATGATGATGGAGTGTTACCATATGTGGAAGCAGAAGATGACAGCACTAAGAAAAACAACAACAATACAGTGTCACTTCCATCTAAGAATTTGGGGATTTGGGTCCCTCAGATTCCACAAACCATTCCTTCTTCATACACAAATCAGTACTTTTCTCAAGACAACAACAACAATATTCACTTTGGGATGTACAACAACAAAGACACATTACCAGAAGTACAGACCTATGCTCCAATACAAAACATGAAACAAGGTCACAACAAGAGATGGTATGATGATGGTGGCTTCACTGTCCCACAGATTACCACTTCTACTTTCACTCATCCTCCTTCTCTTCCTTCTAACAAAAAGTCCAGATCTTTCTGGTAATTCAGATGGCTGGCTTTTTTCTTTTGTTTGTTTTCTTGCCCTTTTTATTTCTCTGAACTGCGGTCTTTGATAGAATTAGGTCTTTTTTGGGTCCTGTCTTTTGTAAATTTTGGGTGTGATTGAGGTTGCGGTTTTAATCTTTGTAATAATCCTATATTCTCTTTTGGTTAAGCAAATGTTCTTCCTTATCCTCTATTGCAAGTGTTCATGTAATAAAGGCCCATGACTTATTTTGTGAATCACGAAGCAAGACTTCTCCTTTTTGTGTGGAAGCAAGAGTTCATAAAAATATATTACTAGTTATTTCAAATTATCATCTATGTTATTTTTTCCTTTTCAAGAAAATGTAAGTCAACGTTTACAGTTTAAATTCTAAATATATTTATTTCGAAAATTAGTACTTTGGTAATCTATTCATTGTCAAATAGTTCTAAAATAAACGATCGTAAAATTTATGATGATATTAAAATCGATATTATCACAAATAAATTAGCTATATCCCAATAGGTAAATAGAATACGATTCAATTCGAAATAAGTTAAAGAGCCATCATTTTAAAACGTGTTAAGTATCTCACGTAAATATTATGAGATCTAAATATGGAATAGTCGAAATATTATTAATTATTTTTAAGTGAAAGCGTATAAAATTTAACAATCTAGTAGTATATTTTTCTATGTGAAGACGTCTTTTTCATCTTCTGCCTACATGGGGAAAGGATTGTATTTGGATTTGGTTGGTATTATTTAAAATATATTTATCAAGAAATAGAGATAAGAAAATATTATATATATTTCTTTTTAGCTCAAAGAAAAGAGCATATAATGGAGACAAATTCACCATAACGTGCCCATCACCATCGGCATATTTTTGTTTCTGATTGAATATGCCTCGAGAGGTCTGATGACCAAAGACACGTCATTATGGCAGCCAAAACTACTTAAATAAAGTACCGCCACGTCGTTTACTCGTTTTATTTTTTTTGTTGGCCGTCGCTTTACTCGTTTTAATAACCAAACTAAAATGGGAAACAAACAGGTAAAGAAAGCAAAACTAATGGTAAGAAAATTGAAAAAATCTTCCTCGTTGTGTTAAACAGGCCCTGGCCCAACTAATTCAGGAGGCCCATGTTGGATTCGAAATATATCAACTGTTTGCTATTCATATAATCATCATATTCCTTTTCGAAGCCTTGTTTCTTGTTTTCTTTTATTTAACAATTTCCGACCTGTTTTCTTGTTGCATTGAGTGTTTCTAATAATCATCCCTCTTTTGTATGTTTCTTTAATGCTGACACTATCTTCTTCTCTTTTACACTATATTACAGTCAGCCAAAAATCGTGCTTTAAAAGATGAATGGTTGAAATTGATTGCTCCCGAGAAAGATTTCATTCCAACTTTTCGACGACTTTTTTCTACGGTCATATTCAACAAGATATTATATTCTTCAACAAGCTTTTCCACTCTCATATTTATAGGTAATAACCTTTTGTGATCCAATTGATCATGGATTTATTGAGATCATTTTTAAGAAACAATGAGATCTATATATATATATTGTTTTATATATATATATAGATCTCATTGGTATATATATATATATATACCATTGATCATTGATTTATTGAGATCATTTTAAAAAAGATTGAGATATATCGTTAGACAAAACCAAGAGATAATAGCACATTATATTTGTCATTGTGGTGCTCTAGACTATAGAGGTTGATTTCTGTTCGACACATTTTCTTTCCTACTTACGGTTGTAGGTTCCATATACTAGTCTAAAGTCTATACAAATTATTGTTGTCCTGAATGTGAATAGTTTTTGCTCAAAGACACTAAAACAAACGGAAGTTTCTTTTCTATAAAGATGGTTCATTATAAAAAGGGCAAAAAAAAAGCTTTTACATTAGAGATTTAGTGGCACAAGAAAAATGGGAATTTTTATATGAACTTTAAGTTCATTATAGAAAGCCAAACAAAAACTAGATGAATCAAGATCCTAATATAATTGATATTTTTTTAATCATGCATCACTACTCAAGAAGCACCAAAAGATTTGTAGAGAAGAAGCCCTGAGGAAAAAAGGTTACCAAAAATAAAAACCAAACAAACCGAAAAAAACACACAAAAAAAAAACACAAAAAGACCATCATAAAAAACCAAACAATATGGATGGATATATCTCTAGCGACGGCAATGCGGTTTGCAAAGAAAGAGACAATCGTAAAAACAAAAACCTCCACAATGTTGAGGACATTCCAATCTCTTCCCTCTACATTTTCCTTTTCCTTTGCACTCTGCATATTCTCTTTTCACAAACTCTCCTCTTCCTTCTCTTCCTTTTCCTCTTCCTCCTCCGCCGCAACCCCATTTGTACCATCCTCCACCACCTCCTCCTCCTCCCCATCCCCATCCTCTTCCTCCGCCACCACCACCGCCACCTCCTCCTCCTCCTCCACCGCCTCCTCCTCCTCCGCCTCCTCCACCACCCCATCCCCATCTATAGCTCCCGCTTCCTCCACCATAACTTCTTTTCTTGTCCTTGATAATTACTTGGGTTGTTGTATTGTTTTCACTAGTGGTGTTGTTGATGTTCTTGACGGTGTCTTGATCAGCGGAACGGACATGCCCACACTCTAGTTTGTTAGTTTGCAAGAACAGTACAAGAAGGAAGATAAGCAGTAATGAAGTAGTCGTCTTCATTTTTTTTTATTCTCTACAAAGTTTGTAGATGGACTTCGTTTTAATTTGATTTGGTATGATAGCTTCTTCGTTTTGGTCCTTTCTTTATAGTCCATTTCTTCTTGTCCCCTTAAATAAATTGAAAATTCTCATTGACAGTTGGGTTTGGTCCTACCAAGAATAAAAATATTGTCCTGCCAAAAGTAATTATTTTGTCCTAAAAATGAAGAAGAGAAGACGACCATAATTATGTTTTTTTTTTCAACTTATTATGTGTTGTTAAAAGAACGCATATTGACCTAATTAGTTAGCTTGATTTTGTACAACACGAATATATAGACGAGATATCTCACATTTCTAATTCATTTAAAGTTCCTTGTATCATAAGATTGGAGTTTGTTAGTTGTCACTGGGGTTAGTACTTATACAGTTACAGACTATATAGTTAATCCGTCACTTTTTATTGTTGTTACTGAGACCCATTAGAGCATTATATTATCAGTAGTAACCAAATGTAGTGGTAATCAACTAATTATTAGGTAATAATAGACTCAGAAAAATAGAGTGATCCCTTAGGTAACACTACTAGTGGTAGTAGCCACCAATCAACACTGCAAGTCTTTTCCTTCAATGAACATCTTTCTTTTCCTTTTTTTCAAAATTGCAGAAGAAATCTTACGTAATCATTGAATCACTAACGCATTTTAACCTTTTTTACCAGTGTATGAGTATGAGTATATAAAAACAACGAATCGAAAGAGTGTAAAACAATCCATTCTAGTTACAAATTATTATACCCATTGTCTCCACATTGATCTTCATTACTATAAACTTCGCATGCCAACTAAAACAAAAAAAAAGAAAGCCTCGCATGCCATTTTTTATTTTTTCTTGGAAAATTACAATTAAATTTTTGCAAGTTGGTATTTATGGAGTATTTGGTACGGTTGTTTTTACTTTCCTTTTACGTTATCCAATTTCATTTCATCTACTTGAGGATGAACAATGACCACTCTCAATAAAAGTTCCATTGTATAATTTTATACTTTTCGATATTTTGTGTAATATATACAGGTCTAGCAGTTTAATTTGAGATCGGATCGGCTAATAAATGGAGTTTGCCTATGAATGGCTTACTTACAAAGGCCATTTACTTGCATACACAATATTATCCTCCTTAAACTTGACCAAACCTTTAAATTACTCGAGATTGGGAGACAAATAAAAATTAAATTTTGGTTTCTAATAATAAAAGATTTTCAGATCTCAGCATCACGCTAATGTATTCAATAATTCATACGACACAAGCAATGTATCAAATTTCCCTAAAACCAGCTTTGACTCACTCCAGTAGCCAAAAACAAAAACAAAAGTAAACAACAACGTAGCAACTAAAACAAGAGAGCAAAGCTACAGAATAACCAAAAATAAACCTCAAGATCATGAAGAACAATGGAACTTCAATTGGTAGATTTTAGAACTTCAGTACCGGCGGAATCCACGGTCAGCGATTCGAGCAGATGGGCACTCAAAAGCCATGTGTCCTCGGCCACCACAGTTGTGACATATTACCATAGAGCCAACGCCGTCTCTGCCTATTCTGCTCAAAGAATCTCTTTGCATACCATTGTCTCTGCCCATTCTGCTCAAACCATCTCTTTGCATACCAACGCCTCGAAGCCTGGTTCCTCTGTCTCTGTCAGAGTAATTGCTGTCCCCTTTTGGGCATTGTCTAGCAACATGTCCAGAGATGTTGCAGATGTTGCACACTGGATCGTTCTGGCAATCACGAGCTATGTGACCTGAAGTCCTGCAATTCTTGCACGCCTTGTCGTTTGTGCAGTCAGCAGCGAGATGGCCCGGTTTGAAGCAGTTGTTGCATAGCCTTGAGTCTCCAGGCCGAGAAACCGGGTTAGGGCAGTCTCTCACTCGATGTCCGGTTTTGCCACACGAGTGGCAGATTCCTTCGTTTGAACAGTTGCCAGCTACGTGACCTGGTTCTCTACAGTTCCAACAACGTGATTCTGCAGTGCATTCCGCTGCAATGTGCCTGCAGATAAAGATCAAGAAACATAAGTGAAATGTATAATGAACAGAGGAAAATTCAGTAATTAAGTTAGGGATGATGTATATACCCTGGAAGGCTGCAGTTGTTACAGACGGAGACATTAGAACAGTCTCTTGCAAAGTGACCAGGACGCTTGCAGTTGTTACAGAGATTCACTTGGCTGAACACAATGTTTCGAAAAGATCAAGAAATTGTGACAATCACAATCATTGCAAAATCCACACTGAAACACAGTACTTACACAGATAACTTTCTCAAAAACTATGTATGCAAGTAAACCGTAGAACTAAAACCAACTTAACAGTATCAATTCAATCAGAGAAACAACTGTAGACAAACATCGAAGAAAAAATGCAATTAACCCTGATCCTACTCTAATCACATCATCTTGAAAACGAGTAGAAGCGAGAAGAAGGCTTGAGACTAGAGAAGTTGTTCAGCAAGTTAGGGGTTGCATTGGCAGCTCGGCATAACTAACATCTAGATCGGTTAATTTGAGAAAGGTACATGGAAGAGAAGCATAGCGAGATAAAGATTCTCAGGAAGTTATGGTTTTTGGGACGAGAATGAACAGAAAAGAGAAACGCTCGAGACATAAAACAAAAAAAGGACCTGAAAGCACGACGTGGCTCCCGGTCCCTTCTATAAGGAGCATCACGGTAAGAAGTTCGTTCAGATCTCATCCTCCTGTCTCTCGGGCTCCGACTACGACTCCGATCACGACTTCGGCTTCTGCTTCTGCTCATTGAACTCATCCTCCCTCCCCCACAAAAAACGAAACCCTTTAATCAAACAAACACCTGCCAACATTCAACCACACACCAACATTACCTACTTCACTCCCATACATCAATTCCACCGATACAAAATCTTCAAATCACTCCAAAAGCCTTGCTCATACAATTCATTCAAGAAACCGAAATACAGATCTGATTACGTCACAGCAAGGGATCTCATCTGAGCATCCATACCCCGTAACACCAACTTCTTGTATATTCAACATCATCATCGTCCAAACCACTTTCAGAAAAATTCCTCAGCCTCACAAATTTAATGGGTTCCATAAAACCTAAAGCTTTAAATCGATTTTCGATAGAATACAACAACTTCAACATATTAATATCCAAGCTAACAGGTACCAATCAGATCTCACAAAACAATATTCAACCACAGATTATGAACCAACCCTAACCAAATCAATCAAACCCGTAAACTGTGGTCAAAGGAACCATCATACGATAATAAATAGGCCCCAAATCATTCATAGGGAAACAAACGACGTGAATAGCGAGGTCGAGGAAAACAAACATGAAATCGAATCTAGGGAAATCTCAATGGCGAGAAATAAAATGAAAAGCAAAGAAAATCCTTGAATGATTGAATAGTTATGACGAACCTGAGCTAGAAATCTGGGTAGACGAATCACAGGTTTTCCTTCCTCCGAGAAATATCCTGTCCGCTCCCGATTCCGGCGAACAATCTATCTATTTATCCCATCTCTGGAGTTTTTTTTGGGCTGGGCTTTAAATGGACCGAGCTATAACTTTATTTTCAAATCTCGAATGGGCAAAATAATCAATTCTTCAAGAAAGTGAAGATGAGGCCCGCACGTATTCAATTAAAAATTAAAAAATCTCCGTTGCCGGGACTCGAACCCGGGTCTCTCGGGTGAGAGCCGAGTATCCTGACCAGCTAGACTACAACGGATTTGTGATAACAGTGTTCAGTTTTAATTTATAAACTTTAAATCCTCCTAGTATTAGAAACAAAAACCCTACTCTCCCTCCGATAAATTATATGATATATTTAATACTATATTTTATATTTTTGACTATGATTATTTTTTTTTTTTTTATCCGTCAATGTTTCTAACCATAAGGTTGATTTAAGAATAAAATCCATATCGGCTTCTTTTGCTAGATGTTTAGATTAATAATACCATTTTTTTACTTAATAATGTGGTAAACAGCTTTACAGTCTCATCCTTACAAAATTTTGTTTATCAAAATACTAAATTTTATACCATTTTTCGACGTTACGACTTACGATGTTGCAAACAACTTATTAGTCCTACTCTTACAAGAAACAGCCCTTAAAAACAAGAGGAATCCATATCGGTTGATAAAACAGGAGAATCGATTGGGTAGTTTATGACTTTGTTTATTAGACTATGAGTCAATCAGGAAGTGTTCTTGTTTTAAACATATTTTTCAGAATGTATTTTATTTAATTCTTTCTATTAAGTTTCCTTCTCGTAACTTGAATTTCGAAATATAAATTCTTTTTTTAGTAGTCTACGTCGCATTTTATACAATATAAATACGCAAAAAGGTACATTGGGCAAAATTGATATAAGTGTAGTTGTGTCTTGCAAATTCGCTTGAAAATAAGCATGATGGTCCTTTATGTATTCTGTTTATGCCAACTACTTCCCTGTTATGGGACCCATCAAAATTAGTATAGTTTCTACAAAATTAGAAAAACAAAAAAAAAAAGTTTCAGTTGTCATGTGACTAATCTCTTTGATGGAACATGTGAGTTTGGTTACATTCGAAGAAGATATTCGCAGTTCGTTAGGAACCTCATTGCGTTATCGGCCCGTTCCAATGCATTTTTTAAAAACAATTTTACATTTTCAATGCAATTTTAAAAATGAAACATATTATAAGCTCGTGAGTTTCTTTATCTGTCGTTTATTTTCAAGATATTTGTTAGCATTTTGTGCGTACATTTCAAAGAGGTGAATTTGGAATTGTTTTATCGTGATTATAGTAATATCTGTAGAAAATAAAAAATGCAATGGAATGGATTCGAAGAAGAAGACAAATCACACAGCCTACAAAAATCCAAGGAAAATATACGGCTTGCATGTGCATTTCTTAGACTAATCGAAGATATTAAATTCGAGAAGCCGTAACGGGTTCGAGTACTGTCATTGTACGAACGAGACACCTTTAAGTCCTTATCTCTTTATTTACCTGTCCTTTGTTCGGGTACTGTCATCCACACGCTGCCGTTTTGCCATTGTACAAACAACAAAGCCATCACGGCTTTTCAATTGCTCTGTCTTCGTCTCTCACTCTCGTTTACTAGTTTTCTTTCTTTCTTTCTTTCCAAGAATTTTGTCTCAAATAAATGAATTATACATGCAAACAAAAATACAATGTTATACTGTTTTCTTAAGTTCTTATACGTAACTGTGTGCGTGGGGACATGCATTTCGGGATTTAGCAATATCTTTTCTATTACATAATTTAAAATTCTAGCCGGATGTTTTTGTTTTGTGTGCAAATATGAACTCAGAGAATAGGAATAAAAAAAGTAAGCGTAAATAACAGCGTATGTGGGATAGATAGACGTAGGAAGTAAATTTGTAAATTAAGTTTTGGGGTGGGGAAGGAGCCTACTCCTGCAAGTTGAAGCATTTCCATTATCAAAAAAGTCTAAAGTTATCTTCTTATATAATTAATTTAACTGACAGTTGCATACATTGCTGCTAATTTAAGGCCGACTTTAAGCTTTAAACGAAAAAAATACTTTTTATGAATTAGACCACGTACACTACCAACCAAACTCACAAAATATGAAAACGTAACTACTTACTGTAACACATTACCAAAAAATAGAGAAAGATTAATATATATGTCTACTACCGTCTTCGGTAACGAGACGGTAAAGTCTTCAAACAAAATTTTAATAAATAACGTTTAATATATATCAACATTCAGTTTAGCAATATTCGTATATAGGTTTGACTTAAGATGGTGGTTAGTATAATAATAAGTTTCAAACTGTAACCTTGTCTAAAAATTGAACGGACAGTTACAAAATCTATACTTATGAAATTTAAGGAAGGTTAGTAATAAATAAATGAAAAAAAGTATAGGTAAATTATAGAAACAGAGAAGCGTCGGATGTAATTAGGAAGGCATGTGAGTCAGTTGAGACAGTTGGAGAGTCCCCGTTTGATTACTACTGATTTTCTTGGTTTTAGTTTGTGGTCCGGAAACATCGACCCATTCCCTATGCTTCTTTGTTTTATTTATTTTTTTCTATTACTTTTTGACGCATTTCAATTTTCAATATACTATAAAGATTCACTGTATATGGTTTTCCAAGTGGACAGAAATTCAGTTATACGTGTTCTGTTACGACTTCCGAATTATCATTTTCTCCTAATCATATATTCTCTCTCTCTCTCTCTCTCTCTCTCTCTCTCTCTCTCTCTCTCTCTCTCTCTCTCTCTCTCTCTCTCTCTATTTACATATGAAAGTGCAAAATTTCTTTTTTTAAAAAATTATCAGTATTGGCTCATTGGGTACAACAACTCTCCTTTTAATTTATCCTTCTTGAATCCTTACGAAAGTTCAGCTTTGATGTCTTTTCTTTTATTCTTTTAGATTCACGGGTTCGATAACCAATATCGTGGTACTCTTATGTACCTTTCTTCCCCATTGGAGAAATATATAGAAAAGGTGTGATAAATTTTCAATTTTAAGAGCATGAAACTTCAGGAAATATTTTTTTAAGTAAAAAATATCAAATCTAATTTCTGAGTGTATTGTGATATTGACCTACCATCTTTGACGGAAAAAAAATATAGGCCAAAAGTATGAAAGTATTGGTAATCAACATTACAATGTATATTTATCTTGAAACGTTATAGGCTTTAATTTGTGTTCCCTCGTCTTTAATTTGCACTATCCTCAGTTCTCAACATATCAAAAATTGACAATGGAGGAGGTACTTGACCCCAAACAATCTATCACTGGATCGTTTATGAAGCCTTCGAAGATACTTCAAGCTTTTGTTTCATTAGGCTACTATCTAACAGTTTCTTAAACAACTGTGTGTTTTCTTTGTAGATTGCTCCCTTGTGTACTTTAAGTTTGTAGTGATGTGTGAAGCTGAATCCTTAGCAATGTTCACCCTCTTGTCGTGTAATATGTTTCATCTTCCTTTGAGATTGGGGCTATGATCAATATATATCTTGGCTGCAAAAAAAGAAAAAAAAAACTTTGTACTTACATTTAATTTGATAATAATTGGAAAAGATTTACAAGACAAATGTTGCATATCTTCCCTTGCAAACAAAAAGTTGTATTTCCCCCACATGCACGTAGCTCCAATCTCTAATTTGTACTCCTCATAACCAAATACTTATATTTGAAAAAAAATGAATGATTTTGCATCCTTCTGTTTGACAACGTGCATGAAGTAACACGTTGAGTGTTTCATACATGTGAACTTTGCTTGATAAAAATATGTGATATTGAATAATTCAATACCAAGTTGGATAAAATCATAAAAGCCATACGCTCGATGTAAAGAAATTGGGACAAATAAATGGGAGAATGTGTCAAGATAACCCATAAAGCGGAGACAAAAAAATATAAAGTACGGATTTAGAGCATCATACAACAAATTCGAATAAAACCCTAATCAACCTCGAAGGATGAGAATGGAACCATAATTAATTAACTTACCAGCGAGCATGCATAACCAAAAAGAAATCAGTAAAAAAAGAAAAAAAAAAGAAATCAGTAGTTAGATATTCAAATTTTGTTTTCCAAATATTTCCTAACCACAAAAGGTGAAAGGAAGATCAATATTGGACCGTCCGTTTAACAAATTCCACAGATACTCGTCTCAATTTGGACCCCACATCTTCACATGCTTTGAAAATACCTTTCACATTTTTTGAACAAGTTAAAAATGGATTCTAATCTAAATTACACCTCAATATTTTTGAAGAAAATATTTTGGAGCCAAACCAGATGACCCAAGCGGTCACTTTGGAGTTTCTACATTCTATCAATTCTGCAACAAATTAAATATTTGTATCATCTTAATGCACAACAAATGGTTACCCGTAGCAAACACGCAAATTCGTATTCAGACAACAAACACATCATAATCTCCTCAACGCCTCGATGTCACCATCTCCCTCTCTCTCTCTCTCTCTGTATCTATATATATATATATATACACACATATTTGTGTATATTTCATTTTAAATTCCTTATATTCATTTTTTTTATTTGAATTAAAAAAAATTCCACTCGCTTTGGTCCTTAATAAATACCCCCAACCACAATTCCGTGAGCCCTCCCTCACTCTATTCTCACTCATCCTTCACATTGTGAAATAACAAAACGAAAGATCTTAAAACTTAAATCACACACACAAAGAAAGTAGAGTTATTTTTCCAAGATCAAAAAAGGAAGAAAGCCCATTTCATATTCGAAGGATTTGAAGAGAATGGCTTTGAAAAAAGCAAGCAAGCTAACACAGACGGCCATGATCAAACAAATCTTGAGGAGATGCTCGAGCTTGGGAAAGAAACAGAGTAATGTATACAGCGAAGACGAGAACGGACATCCTCTCGACGTCCCTAAAGGTCATTTCGTCGTCTATGTCGGAGAGAATCGGGTCAGGTACGTTGTACCCATTTCGTTTTTGACCCGACCCGAGTTCCAGCTTCTTCTTCAACAAGCTGAGGAAGAGTTTGGGTTCGATCACGACATGGGTCTCACTATCCCTTGTGAAGAAGTCGTTTTCCGATCTCTCACTTCCTCCATGCTCAGATGAATATTTTAGGGTTTTTTCGTTTTTATTTTTATTTTGGAGAGTTGAGATGATTTAGGATGAGAGAAGAGAAACAGAGGAAGCTGCTGAGTAAATGCTTCTCCGTTTTTAGCAAACTAATTTTAATATGTTTTGGCTAATATGGGTTTAGTGTTGTATTAGAGTGAGACTAACCCGTAGAGAAAACCCATTGAGAATGATTACTATTTTTGGTGCTATTCTCAGATTTATAGAGAACCCGGCCCCAAAAAAAAAGAAGAAAAATGCATGCTGGTAAAGATCACTCTCATGGTGGTGTGGTTGTTGAATGTGTACCCTGTGGGAGAGATGATTTTACTATTTAATGAATGAGTCTTTTATTATATCATCAGCTACATATATTGGTGTGGTTTTTATTTTGCATGAATTAATTATTTGTTGTGTAATTTATATGAATTTGAGTATCGCGGACCCAGTCAAATATCTCCGCTTAGGTTTAGGCGAAGCTACGTTTAGCTACTAAAAGCTAGTCAACAAATTTTTTACAAGAAAAAAACCTTCATCGGTGTGAGATGTTTTAGACCAAAAAAAAAGCAAGTACCTTCGTCCTTGAAAACAGAGCAATAAGACAGGATCGTTACTTTCTAGAGTCTTGTCTCTCTCTCTCTCCAAACTTTTGTAAAAACTCCCGAAGTTCTCTCTCTCTCTCCTTTTAAATTTTTTTTTTTCTTAAGCAACGATGATGTTTCTCTTTCTAAATCGACGGTTTTTTAGCCGTTAAAACTGTTGAAATGACTAGAAAGATAAAGAAAGTTTCTGGATGGAATGTTAGTTACAGAATCGTTACAACAGTATATATATATACAGGGGTCCCTGCTGCTATATTGAGATTCAAAATTAGTTTTACTGTTTGTATTAACTTATTAGATTAGTAGGTCAGATAGAAAATATCATGAATGATATTAAACAAATTTGGAATCATCATTTCTAAAACGCATATTTGTTTGAAGTTATTTATCAAACTAGAAGTTTTGTTTTGCCCTATAAGCTAGCTTGGATTAAAAGTCGTAACAGCTATAATATTTTCTGATAGATATGGTCATATAGTACATTTCAGGAAATATTAACTTTTCATTACTCCAATACAATTGGACCCAAAAAAGTTAAAAGCTATAACCCATAACTCCTAATGAGCTAGCTAGTCTTAGATGTTGATGTACAACCGCTAATATTAATTTCGGTAATATTGCAATATGCATTTAGTTTGGTTTCTATATAAAACCATAATATTGCAAAATGGCATTTAGTTTGGTTTCTATATAAAAACCGCACACACTTTTCTACGAAGAAGTTAACAAAATCGTAAATCACTCTATTTAAAGCATTAGAATTGGAAGAGTTTCAAGTTTTGCTTAATATAGTATAATTTTTTAAAATTAATATACAATAAATTTGTAATTTGATTTATATATTATTGAATTTAGAATGAATAAATAAAGAGTTTTAATGGTATAAAATTTTGATTGTATATTATAAAAAAAAATATTAGAAAATTGGTTTTGAAAATAGATAAGAAAGTTGTCTTAACGGGTGTCTTCCCGAGTACTTCTATTTATCAAAATATGAGCTTCTTCTTTTGGAAAACAAAAGAGATAAGCATGACGGATCCTATAAAGGATATTTATCCTTGGATCCTATGGTTTATTTGAAAAGTAAGGAATGAGAAGATCTTCAAAGGGAAAGAAATTTCCCCGGTGGATACATGGATATATGTAAAAGTGGAAGCAGAAAGTTGGAGAGTTGCGAACCAACCTGAGGACAGCGACGACGCTCAAGTTGAGGAAGTAGCCCTTCCATCGGACACCATTGCAATACCCGAAGTACCGCAAATCCCAATATGTCGGATTGACGCCTCTTGGATCAATCGCGGATAGGTTAGCAGCCTCGGATGGAGCTTTGTGGATGGCGGAGGAAATGAACTTTTTGGACTACAAGGATACCGTAGAAGCCTCTCGGCCCTCTACGCCGAGATGGATTGCCTCTCGGCCCTCTACGCCGAGATGGATTGCCTCCTGTGGGTTATGTCCTGTTTGAGAGAGAGATGGATACTTTCGGTTCACTTTCAAACCGACTGTTCGGATCTGGTGCGTACGACTAAGTTTCCAGTTGTTGGCCGTCTTTTAATGCAGAGCTAGATACTTTCCGCCTCTTTCAAGAGAGCTTTTCAGAGTGCACTTTATCTCATATTCCGAGGGATCTCAATGTCCGGGCGGATAGTTTTGCGAAAGAAGCTCGAGCAAGAGGTGTTATTTTTTCCCAAATCGATCATAACGAGCTAATCGATGGTGGTCCACGGATCACTAATACGACGTGCCAAATATGATTGTAATAAATGGTAGTAAAAAAAAAAATAATACAAAAAAAAGTTTGGGGATGTCAAGATCAACGTCAGAGAGGGATACGCACATGCGAGTGGGACCCAGAGCTTATGAGAAATCTCGTATCGTTTGAAACCCCTACAAGATTCTGATGGGGTTAATAATCCTCTAGAACACAGCGTGGTTGGTGATGGACCCTACTTCAATTATTTGGACGGCTACGATAAACTCGACTGATTATGGGCTTCGAGATCACGATAAGATTCACCGTATCCCCTAATGCACGCTTATATACGATCTGACGACCTAAATAAAACAACAAAAAACGTTTCTTTTAACTGAAGTATAAATATACTGTTATTCATCAAAAATAGTAAAACAACCATTAAATTATTTGACCATGGAGTAGTAATTATCACGTGAATATTTCAAATATAAATTTAAGAAAATTTTGTGACGGTGTTAATCCCACAGAGTTTAATTGATAGAAAAAAGGCTGGTGAGACAAAGTCGAAATAAGTAAATTGTTTGTTAGAAGATAATTATATCTTGATCAAAGGTGAAGTAGTAGTTTCACAAACAACTGAGGTAACTATTGCCAAGTGGTACGGAATTGAAGGAAGGTATATCAATCTAACATAATTAGTTGGCGAGCTATGATAAGTTCGATGACTTCAAACTCAAATTACTCAGGAGACATCATCGTAGTTATTCTTTTACTTAGTGCTCTCTGAATTGTTTCTGAAATTTTGTTTTGAACATTCCAAATTGACAAAATCAATGCACAGCTAGGCATTATCCTACATGCAATGCACATATAAGATTTTTTTTTAAAAAAAAAAAAAAAAACTGAAGAAGATCGAGATATTGTGACCTATGGCTGCTATATAGGTGGAATTAATGTGCATTTTATTGAGAGATACTAGACGTTCGAAAATCGAAAAACAAACATCTTAACCGAAGTGTGTATTGTGAATATGATATGCTGAAAAATGGGGACGACACATTTGAGGATATAGATGAGGCGATGAATCGATATGTTTGTTTTTATTATTTGTATCTCATCTCATGACCATGTTCAAATTCAACTGTCGAAAATTTTGAAGAGTCCGTTTTCCCGGGACAATTATGAGGTTGATTGTTTGCTTTACATGTATCTGCATTTCGATGTGATATATATATATATATATATATATGCGAATATTAATTTCGTTGTCGTTATTAATGGCAATCTTTAGTTGAAAGAAGAAAATAAACAAAGCCCAAATGGTTTTTTGTTACTATAAAATTTCAAAAGTATTTTGAATAATATATATAAAAAACTCATGTTTTCAGAATATCTTACAAATAAATTATTTTTTATAATCAACTCAAACTTTTATAGATACTTTAATAAAGTATATATCAAAAATTAAACTAAATTTCTCTTTAAAAATTTTTCTGTAACATAAAATTGGATTTTGTTGAATACTCCCTCCGTTTCACAAAGAATGTCATTTTGACATTCTTCACACAAATTAAGAAATAAGATAAAATGTCTTTTATACCCTTATTAATTTGCAGAAAATGACTCTTAGAATTATATTTATAATTAATTTTTTGAATTTATTGAGGTTAAAAATAGTATTTCATGTTAAAAATTACATTGGAATTCTAAAACGACATTTTTTTGAAAAAAAAATAGTGTCAGAACGATACTCTTTATGAAAGGAAGAGAGTACTATTTTTTAAGCATTTTTTGGTGATATCCAACAAAGACAACAATTGAAACTCTACGTTTTGTTGATTGGGACTAGCATGTACAGCTAGCGAAGCTGCGAAGTGATGAGTCATAGTATTATCGCCGTCGTAAGTCCATTTATTACCGTACACCCATTAATTGTCTTGTATGAAAGATATATATAGTACGGATTAAGTATTAACTGTGAAAGATATAATCTATTTCCTTTTGGTCGGCAAATTTCTTCGGATAGTTTACTAAAATTGTATCGCAGCCTGATATATTTTTTAAATAAACGAAAGATTAAATTAAATGCAAGAGATTGGGTCGGTAAAGAAATCACAATCCCACCGAGTCCGAAAGTGCTACATATCCACTAATTAGCATATCGTACCCACAGTTTTAAAAAGGAAAAAACACAGACGAGACCAAATTTATCACCTTTTTTTTGTTGCATCATTACGATTACGACGAGTCATATTTCGAATTCTTATCTATATAATTAAGTTTTTCTTGATGTTCTACAACTACATTTGATGTAAATTTGATTAAATGCGACGATATAGCTTAGCTAACTTACTTTATGCAAAAACCGGATTATTACGCTATAGTTGGTAAAAAATCAAACAAAAAAATAACTGATTAATTATTCATATTAAATTACCACATGCCTAAACTTTTGTTTTCTAAGTAGTGGATTCTTGTAGTGTCCTCAAAACGGATTTTGTAGTTTTCTAAGTAGATAATGATTGTTGCCTGATGATTAACGCATTGGATGGGCCTTTAAGTGCCATAATAAATATCGGTAAAGTAAAATGAAACCTGGTCTCGACCAAACCGAACTGGTTATTTCGTTTTGGTGGCTCGTAATGAACTGGTTGTACCGAGTCGCTGGGTCTTTCCTAAATGGACTTGGGCTGCCTGTAACGTTCCACTCTTCAAAATCTCGACGCAAGAAGAAAAGGGCTATTTCAATTCCATCTAAAACTTTAGTGCTGATCGGGTATGTTTGTCTGGTAGTTGATATATATTCTTGGTTTTCGCATCTATTCATGTGCATTTCCAAATGGTTTAACTCTACTTTAGGATCATTTGAGTCCCATTTGTCTATATGAGATCAATTTAGATTTTTAGTAGAATCTTTTGCATTTTTAAGTACTATGAAATTATTTGGAAGCAAAAGTATACTTGGAAATTTTGGTTGCATTTCATCTTTAGATTTCATCATGTCTTGCATGTTTCATCTAGCATTTTTGGGTTTTCAAGTCACGTGTGAATTATATTGGTTAATGGATTAGAAAATTTGGCTTTTCTATAGCTTGTCTTTGATGTTTTAAGATAGATCTTTACGCTTTTCTTTTTTTGGAACTTGTTAAATGTTAGGTTAAAGCTTGATCATCCAAAACCTTGGTTAATGGTCTTTTCATGTACGAAAGATATATGTGCAAATGTCTTCCATTTGTACATATACTGCTTTGCAGGTTGAAAGCCATATTGAGATGATTTTAGGCATTGTATAGGACTTGCTCGTAACGCTTGTTAGTGTCTTGGTTTCAAGCGAAAGCTTAACCAATGGACTAACAATGACAAGTTTAATAGAAATTAGTTGGTTTTTGTCACCTTTTGTTGGAATGACGTTTGCTTGAGAGTTTTAACTTAGAAAATCAAACATAGTCTATTACCTTTAACTTAAAAAATCAAACATATTTGGACGTCTGTTTACAAATTGCCAAGTGTATGCATTGAAAAGATCGAAAGTCTCTGTTCCTCTTTCCTTTGGTCGGGACCGCGATTAAACCCCAGGAAAGCAAAAGTGTCTTGGTGCGACGTATGTAGACCCAAGGACGAGGGGGGGTTTGGGTCTTAAAAATCTGAGAGACGTCAACACTGTTGCCCAGCTCAAACTTTTTTGGCGTATGATCACTGCAAAAGCATCTTTGTGGGTTAGATGGATTTCAGCAAACAGAATGCAGCACAACTCAATCTGGTTAACACCAAGATCTGGTTCGAGCTATGCATCTGGTTCGTGGATTTGGAAGGAAATTCTGAAAATGAGAGACATGGCTGCAAATTTCATAAAGGTACAGACTGGAAATGGTGGAAAAGCTCTGTTCTGGTTCGATAGATGGTCATCGATGGGGCAATTGTTGACATTGTTAGGTCCCAGGGTATTCATTGTTGACATTGTTAGGTCCCAGGGTATTCATTGACCTGGGAATAGATGAGACATCGACTCTGCATGACGTTTTTTTCAATCATAGAAGGCGAAGACACAGATACCAGATACTGAATAAGGTGGAAGATGAAATAGACCACGCTAAGACTCGATACCAAGTTGACGCTGAGGATACATATCTCTAGAGAGTCACCGAAAATGACTATAAACGAACTTTCAGCACTCGAGCTACGAGGGATTTGGTGCGAACCTCATCGCAAAAAGTCCTTTGGGCTAAAGGGATTTGGTTTTCTCACCACTGCCCCAAATTCGGGTTTATCTCCTGGCTTGCCCTGTTAGACAGACTTAGTACTGGTGATAGAATGCAACATTGGAATGCCAACATTCCCACTGGCTGTATTCTATGCAATGCTCAATTGGAAACACGCAGCCATCTTTTCTTCTCATGCCCTTACTCAAAGCAGGTGTGGTCAAATTTGGCAAGAGGAGTTTTGCTTCAGGATTTCACGGTGGAATGGACGGATTTGGTGAGGATCATCTCGACTTCTTACCAAACTCGAATCAAAACTTTCATCATTCGATATTTGTTTCAATATACTGTTTATGGACTATGGAGAGAACGGAATGAAAGACGGCATGGAGGAAGCACAACGCCTGCTGCAACACTTATAAGGGTCATTGACAAAGGTATCAGGAATCAATTGAGTGCCATCCGATTGCTGGGAGACTCTCGTTACGAAGAAAGTCTGCAACTCTGGTTTGCAACAAGACCAAGAACATGATCGAAGCTTTGTAATCTTTTACTGCTTTGTCTTTTACATAAACAGCTCGCATTCACTATGTAGAAAAACTATTTTTTTTTGGGTTTGAATACAATTTAACATTCATCAAAAAAAAAAAAAAAATCAAACATAGTCTATTACCTTAGTACCTTACCCATTGTCCATTCTCACCATAATTAGTCTTCATCCTTATCGTTAATGAGCTTGTCCTTTCACTTGCATTTTAACTCATATATCTGATCGCTACTGCTAGTCGCTATTGTCAGTGACTCACAAAAAACATGGCTGGTAACATGAGTCAAAAATATTCCAAATATGATGACTCATGAAATAAAAATTGACGGCCAAATTCTCATATGTGCCAACAAATGTCATCACTTTGCTTATCTTTTTCTCATTTTTTCCTAACGAAATTTCGTGACCTCAAAAAAAAAAGTTGGCAAAGGTATATCATAAAACGAGTGAAGGAGAAATTCTTTTGCATATGACTTTTTTGTTTTTCACATTTGAGCTGGTTTCGGAAATTTGATTTCCTTTACTACTAGTAACATTAGATTTTGAGGAAAATAACATTAAAAAATGGACGTATCATCTGAGATTTAAATACTCAAAAAGTATTGAAATCACGAAACCTTAAGAGTTCCTTAAAAAAAACAAAAAAAAAAAAACTTAGAGTTCCCTAACCAATGAATTTACCTATTAAGGGGTATAGCCGAACGTAAAATGATTAAAAGAACAAGGGACAATACGTAAAGTCAAGCTTCAATCCCATTGGGCCTCTCTCGTTGTCATTTCTTTCGAAAGAATCTCTCCTTCTCTTTCGTTTCACGACTCTCATCATTTTAATTCTAAATAATTATTGTACCAAAAGAACATCTTCCTCGTTAATGAACGTAACTCCTTCACTACAACCATCTTTAACAAACTTTGTTCTTTCGCTTGTTCTTTTGACCATTTGGAGAAAATCCTTGTCGAAATAAGTATATTTATCACATTAATCCAATTTCGGCCTATTCGCTATCGCTCGTACCTTACTGAAATGGCTTTATTCAGTCTTCCTAACACAGTATATATTCACGGTTGATGAATAATGCGGTAGATCCCACATGCATGGCGTCATTTGTCTTTCTTCCCCAATTCGACTTTCGGTGATCATACTAAGATTCAAGCTACATATATACTATTCCTAGAATAATACACGTAAGCATATATGGGTCCTTTATGTATTCATCATATACATATGTTATTCATGTGAAGGTTTAGCGGGTATAGAATATGAAGCACAAGACATGTTCTTCTAGATGTCATATATTTATCCGGCCTTTTGTTTACTTTGGATACTTTCGCTTTTCTATAGCATCAAATATTGGTTTTTACAAGGATTCATCTCTTTCTCTCTTTTCTTAAAAAAAATAAATTCATATACTGTGATAATTTACAAAACAAAAAAAAAACAAAAAAAAAACTCTTCTGTTTTCCTATCACAAATATAGCGTTAACTTTCATAAGTTTGTCGGCAATCGAATTTGGAGGGTGAATATATACCACATTATTCATCAACCGTGAATATATACTGTGTTAGGGAGACTAACTTTCATAACTCAGTGTTTGAAGACATACTTCCGTTTGAACTCAGTGTTTCATTGTTTCATTGCTTTCCAATAAACTTATCCATATCTTTTTTCCATATTAACTAGTGAGGGGGAATCGCATTAATGAATCAAGCCAGAATCCAAAACTATCTAATTAGCACAAATCTAGCTAGGTCGTCTGAACATTCTAAACTAGGTTACGGCGAAATAAAGAAAACATTATGTACCGTAGATGGTGCTTTTCACTGTTCGAAGAACGTGAAGACAGAAAAAGCTTTGATGAGAGTGAAAACAGAGCAAAGTGCTATATACTAGTCTTATCCTTCACATGACCTGGTCGGATTTTTTCCCTTCTTTTTTTCCAATCACTACGGTCCAATTATAAACTACTTTTGCCGTTCCAGTTAAAGAAGTTAATCGTTTCTTTTAAGTTCTAAATTCACATTAATTTATTACAAAACTAAATCTAATCTATAGAGGTTCATTATTGAAACGCTAAAACTATACAAACTAATACATTACGTCGTTTAGACATTAACTTATTAATAGATATATTCTTACGGAATATAAGAACACGTAAATTATTGATAGGCTTAATTAATATCATTTTTTAACTATACTATAAATTTGACGAACTGATAACAAAAATTAAAATCATACAAACCATTTTAAATATAGTTCTATTTTTTTCTTAATAAATAAATTGATGATAGATTGATAGTTATAATCATTTGTTTTAATGATACTGTAACTAAGAATAATGTTCATTACCGATGCTTTGGGATTTTACACATTGATTGACATTGTTAGAATTAGTATTCAAATTTCTCAAACAATAATGATTTCTACAATTCAATTGAAAATGCAGAATTTACAGTCAACACCAATTTTAAATCACATTTTTCTCGCTCCTTGATTATAATTTCACTTCCTCAAACTCGGACTCGTACCCGGGACGACTCGGTAGAATGACTCACTCACCTTTCAAAGCCATCTCCTTTATATCACCGCGTCTGACTCAGGAAGAAACCAATAAATGAATAGAAGCAGATCCGAGTCAAACTCAGCCGAGTTAATGACGATTACTCATAATTGGCTTCGATAATTTTCTGCTTCCATGGCGAGTAAACTCGTTACGAGTCAGAATCGTCTTTTTTATTATCTATTTACTCTGTGATCCCTAGAAATCACCATATTGCTTTTTCGGAGACGCCGTGAAGCAACGGCCGAGATTCGATCCATAGATCGAGCTTGCTTCTGATCTCCACGTGGCAGTTCTTCTGGAAATCGTCAGGACAAGTAAACCGTCTTGATCGGGTGGAATCGGACCGGGACACAAACCGAATCGACTCCACGAAAACCGATTCTTCACAAGGGAAAACCAACGGACCTTGGTTCACGAAACCGAACTCTTCCTCGGCTTGAACCAGAAGATTCCTTAGGACGGGATGGTTCAGATACGTCGCGCGCACCACAAATCTCCTGCAGTTGCTGCCAACGTAGACCGCCACGTGTCCTGACGGCACATCCGACGGCACGCAACGGCTGGAAGAAGACATGCGCGCTTGGTCGCGCCACCGTCGGAGCATCTGCCTCAGCCTCACAATGTGACGGATCTTACTGCATTTTCCGAGACCTCCAGCCATTTTTTCCGGTTAGTAATCTCAGGCGAGAAAGTGAGAGAAAGAGAGAGAAAATGTCAGAGGGATTTTGAGAGTTTGGGAGGGACGAGGTTTATATAGTAAAGGGAGTAACACAATGCCACTGGCTTTCGAGATATTTACGAAAATTGCCTCCGTGGTCCTTACTTTGGCTCCATAGCCTCTATTCCTCTCCATAATTAAATTACATTAGATAAGATTGATTATTCGGGAAATTAATCTTGATGATTTTTGTTTGATGGAGATTAAATACGAATCATTAAGAGGAGCATCAAAAGATTAGTTTGTATGTTTTTTTATTCCTCATACATTGTATGGTGCACGAAGCATTGATACAACAGGGTGATGGATTCGACATGTGAGAATTAGTGGTTGATTATGGTTCCTATATAATTCATGGGTTTAATAATTATGCTAATGAATCTATCAATCATGGAAATACTTATAAATAGTCATTAGAGATAATGGATTGATCAATCCTATGTATTGAATAAAGAAGTGTCACTTTTAAAGAATAAGAGATGGTAGGGAAATAAGAGCATGTGCTAATGTTGGATAAGACGACCAGTCTTTGGAAAGAGTTCAAACATCACCTGGGATTTGATTAGGGACATATTAGAGTCATTTTTTTTAATATAAATTCATGTTTTTGTTTGGTTATAGTCTGATGAGATTTTATAAATTGATCACATATATGTACGTGGTATCCGCACATTGCTTAATTAGTAGATCATGTATAACATTGATGGACACACAAAATCGACTAACGAGCTCTCTCGAAATGTTTACTTATTTATTATTATTAAAAGCTACCACAGAAATCATTAATGCATAATATGATGTCAAATTTAGGATCATATATTGGTTCGTAAACTTATTTTTAATGAACTTAATTTGTAAATGTAGCTAATAATCTGAACCATGAAGTAATGGGAAATATTGAACACCTTTTTTCTAAAAGCATAAACTAGTTTCGTTTGAAGTGAGGAAGAAGAAGGTGAGAAAATAATCGGAAAGCACTCCCAGCCATTAACTACCAAACTAGGTTGGTTTGAAGCATGAACTAATGGGGCATATTGATCACCCTTTTCTTGTAATTTTGTTAATCCATTGCATAATGAACACTTTGACCATTTTATCCACCACACATATATACACTGTACATATATTATTTTTTATATAATATATGTTATATATAGAGAGAATGAGAGACCGCACAATATAAGCATATTTGTTGGTGGCAAGTCTTTCCGAGATTTCAATTTTGGATCCACTTATGATAGAAAGTTAAGTCTATAGATGGGTAAATAAATTTACAACATATGACGGCCATAAAAGATTCAAATGCAAACATATAACCGTTACAATCATATATACACTTCTAAACCAATCATTGAACCAAGACAATTTTAACTCAAGTAGTTCATTTTTATTATATGTATATTTTTCAATGTATTTATCTGCGACTCGCAACCTCTAACAATTGTTTTCTTTTGGATTAAAAAATCAATATAGCGATGGATTGCAACTTGAAAATAGCATAAACAAACTAAGTAATGAAGGTACTCAGGTAGATTAGTTAACTATAATGACGACTGAATTTTGTTTAGTTCATCAAACGTTCGATTAAAGAGTTTGCCCTATAATTTTTTTTTCTCTTAGGTCGGAAGCACAATACGCCATTGTCGCCTCCCTCCAAACCAGGATAAGTCTCCTCCATCGCACAATCGTTTTGTGTGAACGAATCCTTTGATGTTACTTGCCTTATTGTTTTTTTTTTTGGAACTTTGTTAATTCTTATGGGTTTGAGCTCTCTTCTTTCTCTGCGACTAATAAATCACTCGTTGCTTAATTCATTTAAATATGTTTCTTAGTTCTTTCTATAACTTAACTTTTACTGTCGTTAGCTTTTTTTTTTTTTTAAATTAACTTCTGCTTTAGATATATTTGATTGTCAACAAATTTTTTAAGATACATTACAAAAAGAAAAGACGACAATTTGAATGATATACGATTCAAGGACCACCGATTATGATATTTCAGTCCCTGTAAAGGCTGGAAGTGAAATGGCCATTAGCCACAGCGGCCACTTGAGGGTCAAAATTTTATTTGTATATTATAAAACATGAAAAGTTTTACTAAATATTAGACTATGTCTTTTTCAGATAAATCAATTTCGGCGCACGGAAGTGGGAGAATTTATGTTAAACGCAAATAAATAAAACCCACCACATGGGTAGCTGGGAAAAGGTAGGAAAATGTATATTAAACAATGTAATTTTAGTTGTAGATGTGAATTAATACTATAATCATTAATCAAAACATAGAAAAATATATAAAGGTTCTATTACCAGACGTAGTTAAGATTAAGTGATTAATTAAAGAAGCGCTTTTTGTTTTAGGAGCAAATTAATTTAGAATATTTCATAAGAAATGGAAAATAATGTAATACGGCGTACCACACCAAACCACTTATTTTGTAGTTTACAAATGTGTCCATGCCCCCATGTGCGCGAATGTCCCATCTCTAATTATTTATTTATATTTTCTAAATAACAAGTTTTTTCATTTTTATTTTTGGGGAAAATGTAAATTCAGTTATAAGTGTTTAAATTTATCCATATATATCATACAATTTCATGTGATCAAATGCTTGAATAACTGCTACCGTCGGTCTAAACTGATGTTCTGATTTCTTCTTTGTTCTTAAAAATGCAAGATCATGTCACACACACATATATAATTGCAGATATGATATCTTCTCTATGGACTATTGTTAGTTACACAGTGAATTTTTGCAAACATACTTGAAATTACTCTTACTGCATGGGGATTGTAAATACCGAGTTACTGTAAGATATATTGTTTGTTCACCTTAAAGAAATAATTGAATTGGAAAAAATATAAAAAGGTCGTCAATCAGTAATCTAGTGTCCACACCTCGAGTTCCTATCAATCCTATGTATCACATTTTTCGCATGTGGCATGATAAACCGTATGATATATTCACTTATCATATTAATTTCGAATATTCATTTATAAAATATAAAGTATGTTATATGCATCATAGTGAAAATAATAAAAATGAAAGAGATGATTGGAGCCTAGTTTTAAATCTAAATACTAATAGTGTTTTAAAAAAATTCAAATGAATAAAAGTGGGTCCAAGTGCATGTTATGAAATACATCCCCCCATGCGACGTTTACGTTCTCATGCATCCCCACTTGTTGGGTTTTAAGGATCTTCTCATTTAATTCTCTCTTCCTAAGCAAATCTTCATTAATGCTTCTGCAGGTTATAATTGGTTAGTATGAATCGAACACAATTATATATATTTGGTCTCCATAAATATAATTACAAGAGAGTCGATCGTATGCTATGAATCGGCACTGGATTGTCTCTTTCTGCCCTCCATGCATCAAATTGCATTTATATGCACGCACGATATGAGCAAATAAAAATATTATATGGGATCAAAAAATACGTTAATCGCTTAATTTTGTTTTTACTAGGAAACAAATCCCATCAAATAATATATTTGTGTAATGCCATTTGTTGAAGCCGCAACTATATCCATATAAATATTTAATCATCATCAGCCCGTAATTAGGAGAAAATTCCAAGTAACCGTAATGCAAATCTTTGACATGATCTGTACATTAATTGTTGTAATAGTTGACAACAAAGAAAAAAAAAACTTTGTACTCCAAATATAGTTTACTGTAATTGGCAAAAAATAAGTAAGTGATGCTGAGATTATCTATAGACTATAGCCTATAGGTATATTTTACGATGGTATGTCAACGTAAGTAGATGACGTGGCGTCCTACTGATCAGAGTAGGACCCATGATCCCGGTCAAGTAACTTATAAATCCTGTTTGACCGTCGGATGAGACCCTTTTTTTTTTTTTTTTTTGTGTGTGTGTCGGCAATGAGCCCTCTTTCTAACCCCAAAGGTTCGTGAAAATATAATATACAGTTATAGAAATAAAAATAAGAAAGACAGTTTAGTAATACGGAGCGACGTCATTTTTCTCCTCTCTTTTTTTTTGTTCTCTTTTAGTTTTTATCTATTTTATATAAATTAATAGGGGTCTAATTTTGTGTTTACTTACGTCTTAGGCAGTGACTAGCCACAAGCAGAAGGGATGAACCTGATTAAACTTTGGTTGCCACAATGTTTCTAAAAATCAAGTAAGTCTAGGCTGTCTAGCTTTCACGTATAGCTTTTTTGGAGTGAAATTTGTCATTCTCCACTCACATTTTATTCTTTCAGATAAACTATTTATTCGAAAGAAAAAAAAATTATGATATGCCGCGTACGTAAAACTCAAAAACATAAGTTCGGTTAATAGTTTGTTACTCTACTTTATAAAAGCGTATTCGGAATCTTAAGCATTTATTTATTTGCATCGTAGATTAAACTTTTTATCTTTATGTAGAATTAATTAAATTTAAGTTTCATTAGTACAGTACTTTACATTTGGGTGTGAAGAAGAGTGGAGACATAGAAATGCACATGCAATGTTTAGGTTAGTAAAGGCATAAAGACATGCTAATCAGGATTATGCCTTGGATTTATTTAGGCAAACGTCTTTCGGCATCTCTAAAACCTTATCAGAGTTCGCCACGTCTCCATCTTCCCTCCTATTATATTTGTTGATAAATACAAATCATACATATCTATAATTTAAATTCAGATCATATGTTTTGTTTCTGACTGTGCCAATCCACTTTATAAAATAACTCATTAGTAGATCGATGAATCAAAGTTTTCAGATCTAATTGACTGTATATGTAATTTGCATTTATCAATTAGTAATCACAAGATAAGCTATTGATATATATGCGAAAGCTTGTAATCATTTCAAAGTCAAATTTGGTGAAATTTTAAAGTTGAAACTTTCATAAAAGTTGGTAAAACTAACCATGGTCGGGGCATTATATGTGTATTCAAATTTTATGCCCAAATCTGGAAATGGTATTTAAAATTTGGATAGATAACCTATGGGTACTATTAATAAAGTCAATATGGTTTTGTGGCAAAAGATATCATAATTTTTTATACGAAATTGTGTAACACTAGATTTGGTTACCGGTGGGTTGTAGAATGAAAAGTAAAGCTACATAAAATAACTTATCATATAAGAAATTAAGTTAAATACGAAAAGCAAAGGGCACAGCCTTGCACTGCAATCATACGATGAGATTATCATATAAAACTGGGTTTGGTAGAAATTATATTTGTTATGGAGCGAAGGAATAAGTAGGCAGTGACGTGCGTATGTGATTTTCGAATTGCTTAATCCTTATTTGGGACTTGAAGCTATGATAAATTTATAGTACGTGTTACAACATTTTTATTTAGTTTAAATGAACGAAAGTAGCAATTGATTGATTAAAGACACTAAAGTAAGTGTATAATAATGAGCATCCATTTTATAATGGGAGATGATTAGTCCTTACATTGATTCTACAAGATGTACGTCAATATTAAGCCAGTCCATAGACCAGCTCATCAAAATGTTTGTCTATCAAAAAGAACAATTTTGACGCTTTATTTGTAATCATTTTTTTTTGTTATTCATTAATAATTAGGCTCTCATTATTCCTTAATTAAATGAATAATTTTGTTTTCGTTTATATCATTGTCTAACATGTCACAGCACTATTTGAAATCAAGTCATTCAGAAAATTAGGATGATTATTTCTATTCAAACAATAACGACTTCCGTTTTATTATAAGTATTGTTAAAAGTTTTTTTCGTACTTATAAAAAACAATTCTATTTCTTACCTCTTATTAATCTATTATTAATGTACTAACACCATATAATGTAATTTCACTAATCCATAAGTTAAAACAGTGGAGATAAATAAATAAAAACATTTAATCAAAAATTTGTATTAAATAAACAAAAAAAGACACTTGAAATGAAACAAAATAGTTCTAACACGACATTTGAGTAAGAATTTGATTCTTTATTTCATGCATCAAAAGGCCCATGCACACGTCTCTAACATATCTCATCTAAACATTTCCTTTTGTCTCCATGGGTTGATATACTTTCAATTCTCATTTTTTTTTTTTGGTAAACTAGATACTTTTTCTCTTACTTGAGCTAATATTGTTTATCTGATAGACTGTCAAGTTTTGGTAAAAGTGAAATTTCTATTCTGTCAACAGTAGTTTTTAAAAATACAAATTCATAGAATTTAATTTCCATCTCTTATTATCTAAACAACATTTGGATACTCACTTTATTATCTTAACATAGTCTAGTTATCCAACTCGGTTTGTTTTTAGGAATCACTAGCTCATTCTTCTCTTTGTCCTATAGATAAAACCTACGTGCAATAATTTCAAGGCTTTAAGCTGTTATTAATAAACAAATGAGCTCATTATAGTTACTGTAATGGGCGTGAAATAAACAGTGCAACCAAAATATTAAAAGCTTAAAAAAGTTGTGTAAAGATATCATTTTCTATGCAACTATATATATCATCATTCTATCAGTTAATGTGACAAAAAATCCCTTCTTATTGAATTTGATCGGATCAGTCTAATTGATCAGACACAAATTTTCATCTATTTTTAAATCAATGCGGCAAGTGAACATGGCCTTTACAATATATATATTTTGCGTTCTGACCTCTGAACATGCATATAATATATATATATATATATATAGTTTTTGTTGATAAATGATGAAAATTACGTATAATGAATTCGTAATGTGCCAAATATAAACACGCTTAATTAGGAAAATATAAGTGAAAAGGAGAATAAAGTGAAGAGTTTACCTATTTGTTGTCTGCCTTTGTTCTTTCACCGTTTGGATGGACATAATTAAGTGGTGATTGGTGAATATTGGGAATCGACGCAAATCCAGATTGGGAAGAGACTCTACAACACCTTGCATTTTGTCTTGTATTTTTCCTTTCTCTTGCCTGCATGTTTCATATTGTATTTCAAACGATGCCTTTTAAAGGCTTGAGGAATAAAAGTTAAAAGTTAAAAAAAAAAAAATGAGCCACCGCATAAACAAGTCTACCAGCTAATGGGACACCTTATTCCGAGTATTGAAAAAACTATCATAAACTGTGTAGTATCACTTCGTTATTATGATTCGCTAAGGCTTTAGAATCTTCTTCAACGATGGTTCCAATCCAGAGAAGTATCATAAGTTTGTGAAACCATTTTCAGTTTTCATATTTATGTTTATTTCTCTTTTTCATTCATTCATTTTTATTGTGCTGTGTAAATAATTTTTTGTTTTTGTTGATCACTGAATTTTAACATTTTAACCCAAAAAAATAGTGAAGAGTCCAAGCTTCATATCATCAACTGCGAAATTTTAAGAGAGTGCCCATAAAATGCTATGAATTTTGTCATCTTCCAGCTTCATATTATCAACTGCGAAATTGCTCGAATTATTTAGATAATGAACTGAAGTAAATATTTATTTATATATTCTTATATATGATTGGGTCGGAAGGTTATCGAATTGTCGTTGTCAACGTATGAATGTATCTCCTATGATTGGGACTGTGGAATTCAATGACACCAGTCACACCACCATAATATCACATGAATCACAAGTAGTAGCTGAACCGTATTCTATATTCACTATAACATTCATTGTCAAAAGCATGGATAATACTAAAATAATTGTAAGAACAAGATTAAAATATCAATATTTGGTATGACGTATATGGCTGAGTTTTAAGCCACTTGAATCAAACCGCCACTAACTAATCATTGGATGATATGATAGTATCTACATTCGGAGAGATCATTCAATATATTGTTGAGAATTAAAAATGTTTATTAGTATGCAATGACGAGGGACAAGGGTGTTCTAAGAACTTGTTAAATACGTGTCGTCAACTTTTCTAATAAACCTTAGGCCATTGTCTAATTTTTTGTTCATAAGGCATGGTATTGGCCACATAATCTGACTTTGATTCCAAAACATATTCAGATAAAATAGAACACCCTCGTCATGTTGGTCTAGACTAAAGAAAAGTTATCTCACCGCTTTGCTTGATGACGCGTGAACGATTACAATGCAAGAATATCTAGATTTTTTATTACAGGATTATGTGGACATCGATGATTAGTCTGGACTTTGGCTTAGGATACATTCGACTGTTGTAATAGTAATAAAAAAGGAAAATAAACAAAAAAAAATGGAACAAAATAATTAAAATGGTTGAGTTTAATTATAAGAGTAAATCAAAGGAAAAAAAAAAGAGTAAATCAAAGGATTTGATGCACCAAATAGTTAGAACCAGAAGTAACTATTGCTTCTTCATTTCAAGCTTCTACGTTTCCGCTGTTCATGCTTCTTGAATTTGTAGATTTAATGTTGTGGCTTATAGATTATGAGCCTATGGCCCAATTTCAACTGGAATTGACAGTCGGATTATAACTACTTTGGGCTCAATTATGGACCTGCTCATTTAACGTTTCAATGATGATGATATCATCATTTGCTCTTATGGATTCTATGGACTGGCACCTATAGCTATACCGGTGCGACCCGATCAGTGACTTGGTGACATAAATTTTGTAATTAGACCTCCTAAATTCTGATCAGTGTGACCCATATGACATGGTCTGGAATAAAATTAATTAAGATGTCGTCTTAAATTCTTAATACACCTGAATCAATCGTAACAATAAACGGACCAATAAGAATCAAAGACGCGGATCGCCACGTAGGCCTCATCTATTCCTGCATTAAATCTCAGCCGTTGAAAATATCCTGATCGGACGTCTCCCATTCATCCTCTTCCCTTAATCTCCCGAAATTAACCGACTTAAAACATCTCCTCACTATAAATTCCTAATCTCTAAAGTTAACATTGTACAACATTCAGATTTTCCCGATTCCTCTCTGATTCAAAGCTCTTGGTTCCAAGCTCAGATTTTTCTTTCGAGGAAGCCATGGCTCGTACGAAGCAAACTGCTAGGAAATCGACCGGAGGAAAAGCTCCAAGGAAGCAGCTTGCCACCAAGGTTTGTTCTTAGTTTCGATTTTGTTCGCAATCAAAAAGGGGATCTAGGGTTTCGGATTCGGCTAAATTTTTGATTTTTCCGATCGATTGTTGATCTAACGAAATCGTAACTCAGGCGGCGAGGAAATCTGCGCCGACCACCGGAGGAGTCAAGAAGCCTCACCGTTACCGTCCCGGTACCGTCGCTCTTCGGTAATTTCACGATTTTTCTCCTTTCAATCATACCATCCTTTCTTCGTCGAATATGAAATCTAATTAGCTACGGTTGTTTTGATGTCATGAATCAGTGAGATTCGCAAATACCAGAAGAGTACTGAGCTTTTGATCCGTAAACTGCCCTTCCAGCGTCTTGTTCGTGAAATCGCCCAGGATTTCAAGGTAAATTTTTTTTTTTTTTGTGGTTATGTGATTCGCGATTCTTGATTTGTTGAACCTTAAAAGATGGAACTTTGATCTAAATTAAGATCGAAGAAGAAGCTGTTTTTGTGGTATTAAGTTTAATCCGCATATTTTGGTTGAATTGAATTGTAGACGGATCTGAGGTTCCAGAGCCACGCAGTGTTAGCTCTTCAGGAAGCAGCCGAGGCATATTTGGTGGGTTTGTTCGAAGACACAAATCTCTGCGCTATTCACGCCAAGAGGGTTACGATTATGCCTAAAGACATCCAATTGGCTAGGCGGATTCGTGGAGAGCGTGCTTAGAGTCCTAATCCCTCCATGACTATTTCTTCTTTTAGGGGATGTGTTTAGTGTTTCGATTTGTTGTTTTGCTTCTTCGTTTTCTTGTTGTCGTCGTCTACTTTTGATCATGATGTTAAACGCTCTCTGAGCTGGAACAGAGATGGAATGGATATTGATGATATGACAACCCGTTATTGACTCTTGTTTCTCGTAATCGAATTGATTGATTGTGTCATCATTGTTCTTGGCCTTATTCCAATTTTGTTGCTATTGATTTGGTGGAATTAAGAATTGCCGCAATTGAAGATCTGCTTGTAGTGAACCGACTCATCTCATACTCATTGCTCATCAGTTTATGATTTGATGTCTTTAGAATCACAAAATATGATTCGTAACATATAGCTGAGGAGTCATTCTACACCTATGTGTGAATTGTAAGTTTGTTCTTGTCTAGTGTAAGTTTTTCTTTCTCTATGTTGTATTTCTTTTAATAAACGAGATCATGTGCCGAAGTTCATACTACTCACAAATCTTGCAAAAGATCGGAACCTTCTTGTCATTTTGGATTACACGTTAGCCGACTATAACTGTAATCACATTCTTGTCATGTAAATCATATAAACTACCATGAGTTTTGCTCTATCTTTTCTTCTTTCTGTTTGAATTATCTGCGGCTTCCCTGTTTCACGTATTACCGATAAGAAAGTATTGTTTTTTTTTTTTTTTTTAGGATTAAATGTAAAATTTATTCAAAATCAAAAAATATATTTCTGCATTACGTGATTCTTCATATTGAATTTAGAAGCTTGGGATAAAACTACTTCTTAGCTTCTTGATGCAAACCCTATATCAAGAGCTTCCTCGTATTTGTGGTTTCTCAAGTCGTGGATCCATGAGAGTCGATTACAAACATGTTTATTAATGAATTTGATAAATCGAGTGGACGAGGCAGGGGCATATCTGTGGCGGTGGTGAGCATTCCGTTTTTTTCAGAAGCAATGTATTGTCGCTTGGAAAACATAAGAAAGTATATTGTTCTTTTTACCACAACGAAATTTGGCAGAAGAAAGTGGAAGTGGATCCATTATGGATTTTGCTTAAAATGTGAGTTGTGGAATTCTTTTGTTATTGGATGCAAAGTGCGTACAAGTAGTTGGCACAAGAGGAGACGTGCAAGACAGTTATAAGAATCTAAGTTGGATCATACCGCTACAAACGACATAACTCACTAAGTAGTTCTGGTCTCGCAAATATTTCTAGTTTCTACACTTCTTCACGACATTCCTTTTCTGGAATTTCCAACTATCAATAACTTACTTTTCTGTTGTTGTTCCCACAAAAATCAGCAAAGAATACGTTTAGCATCAATCTCCTGCCCACGACCTCGAAATTCCCTTTTTAACTAATATAAAATTTTATGTAATAAACAAATTAGAGATTTCGTATCCCTTTAATCATGAAACTTTCATGTAGCATTAAAGTATCTGACATAAAACTTTACAGACTCAAAGACGAAATACCAAAGTATCTGATTCCTTTTGTTAATCGAGTCCAAACAAGAATCTTGTTACATACAATTCCACGATATAAAACCTGATTAACTCAATAAATAAATAAAAAGTAACAGTATTCTAAAAATAAAATATACCCAACCATAATTTGTTGGTTCAGTAATTAAAAAAAAATTCACACAAAGAACAAACTGTATAATTGTTGACGTATGATCAAATAACTTTCACTGTAACCTCACCCAAATACCTTCACTCGGTATATCTTGGTTCACCACGAAAACCATGTAAAAACCGGGCGGTGCAAGATTCGCAGATCTTGGTATCTTAACTCTGACCTCATGAGTCCATAATCCCATTCTCGAAGACCCGAAATGATCAAGAACCAAAAGTCTCTGATTCATCGAGAAGGAATGAGTAGTAAACGAAGGAAACACCATTGTCACTTTAACCGGACTTTTCACTCTTCCCATTACTCTAAACCTTAGCCTCAAAATCCCACCGTAATTGATCGTCGACTGTAACGTAGGACTCACAATCCTCGGGCGAATGCTCCGGTACTGTGTTTCCAAATACGACGGAGAAAAAGCCTCTAACCTAAGCTCCGTCGGAAAAAGCACGCCGGTGAAATTATAAAACGCATGTGGGTTGCTTCCTCCGACGAGAACTCTCCCATCACGGAGTAAACCGGCGGTTGAATGGTACATCCTTGGGATAGTGCTCGGGTTCAAAACTTCGAATCTTGAACCGACCGGTTTATCAGGATGATAAAGATCAGGATTCAAAACCGGTTCACGACCAAGCTCCCAACCAGCGGTTCCCGAGGAACCACCGTTAATTAACAGAACATGTCCGTCTGGTAAAAGCGTCATGTCTCCCATTACTCTCGCTCTAGGCATCTTCTCAACGATCCATTGAGGATTAGCATCGTTGATCTTGATTCTTGCACACGTGTCAAGCGCTTTCACAAAAGTGTTTCTCCTTAGAGATAGATCAAAGGATCCTTTCGGTGCACCTCCACAAACAAGAACCTCTAAGTCAACGACCGTCGCTTCAAGATTCTTGACCGGGAGAAGAACGGCTGAGCCAGTGCTCGGATAGCTTCTCGGATCACCTCCAGGGATCTCTGGATACGTTTTGAAAACATTGTTCTTCGAATAATCGAGCAAGATTGCTCTGTTGTTAGCGAATATGAACATGTTTCCATCGCTGTTGAGGAAAACGTAAGGGTAGAGATTGTTTTCGTCTCCACGATCGTTTGTTTGGGAGAGAAACGGTAAGCTGTAGAGATTTGGAGCGTTTGTTTTGGGGAAAAACTCGAAGTTGAATTGTCCTCGACCTCCGATTATGATCTGACGACCATCGGGAAGAATATGGTTCGAAGCGTACCATCTTCTTGCAGCGAGTCCGTTATCGACTTCTGTCCAATCGCATGAGTTGTCTTGGCATGGAGAGAAGAGTCTAGCTTTACGTTCACCGTCTTTGTCTCCTCCGGTTTGGAGGAGAGTTCCGTCAGGAAGGACTCCGCCTGAGGAGCACCATGTGTTGGATTGGACCGTTAAAGGACGGATACGGTTTAAAGCGACGTCGTATTCGATCGAGTGCGCGGTGCAGTCTTGTTTCGAAACGGCGTCGTTTGGGCTGTCGTGGCAGGCTCCGTTGGGGAGAGAGATGTTGGAAGGACCGAAGTTAGTTCGGTCGAATATTATGACACGGTCGTTGATGAGGAGCTGCGAGTGCATTGCTGAGATTCCGACGTTTGATAGGAGAAGCTGCCATGTTCCTCCGGCGCCGGAGGCAACATGATAGGAGAGGAGGAGGAAGAAGGCTAAGGAACGGATATGAATGACGTCGGAGAGGATTTGGGGATTGGCTTGTGCAGCCATTCTTGTATTTTTTTGCTGGATGTAGTATTGGGTTTATGTCACGGGTTGGTTTTTTTATTGTGATTTTTTTTATTTTTTATATCTAGTTTTTGTGGTACATAGATGCCCATGAGATCTACTTTATATAGGGTTTGAAGAAAAAAAAAAATCAATTATTAATGTCATGGCGTTATTAATGCAAATTAGACTCACGAAATCATTATGCCAAATTTCCCCTTTTTATCTTTAAAGTTTTAGTCTGAAATGGGACTAAAAATTAATTTGTATGGAGAACCCAAATTTTGTCTTTTGTTTTTTTTTTTTAACAAATCTCACTCGTATTTTGTTTTGGTTTGAATCTACAATAGGTACAACCAGTATTTTGAAAATTTTCCATTGTTATAATTAAAAATTTGGCATTATTTCATTTATAAAAATTAAATTTTTATGATATATATATGTATAAGGTGAAAGCTTTCCATACATTTCAATTTTCTGTATTAGTAAAATCTTTTTTTTTTCAATTTTCCAAATTTGGAAATTACACAAATTAAAGTTGACTAACATTAATAGCCCAACCATTTGTAATTAATAAAAAAAACGTCTTAGAAAAAAAAAATGAAAAAACGCTCAAAGTAATGGTGTATAAAAAGTCATTTGAATTTATATAAGGTGTACATAAAGTAAAATTTTGGGAGATCCAAAAGATAACATGGAAACGGAATTTGTTTTAATAAAATAAAATAATGGAAAGGATATCAGATAAGTATATACATAGACTAAAAAATCAAAAAGTTTTTAATTTATATCTAGTAATGTATATAGTAATGTTAAAGGAATATGTTGATTATTTTCACCATATTATTTAGCGTCGATTCTTAGATATGTAAATTTAAAACTGGAAGAGTTGGGTGGGCACGATTGGGTTATCCCAACGTTATAAAAGGTTTCTTCTCTGATTTAAATCCCATGCAACATTTGTATAATTATGAAGCCATAAAGATTCCATATATATATATGATCAATAATATACCAAGTCCAAAAAGAATATACCTTTACTATTTAGATTTTTATTCACATTGCATACTATATATATGAATTAATTAGTGTAAATAGTGCAAATAATTAAGACACTAAACAGCGGTTTCAAGTAAGACAATACTCGATACCATCATGGTATCTATAAATTTTCAGTTGGGTAAATGCTAAATACCATTTTGATCAAACTAATTATAATCAAGACGTGGTACCAACCTGAAATGTACGATTATAAAATGTTAATGGTCGTCCAAGGAACAATTTCTATTATTAGTTATAACATTATACGTGAAGGGTTGAATAATTCTGCCTGATTGTTTAGTCATTTGTTCGTGAGATGATGCTATATCAACATCAAAGATTACAGTTATTAATCTAATATAATTAAGCAATTCAATTATATATCTTGTCACAGGAGTAATTTCTTTTAATAATTGCGTTATAACTCCACCGTCACTAAAGAAAATTCAATGAATCTTTTTGATATATATAGTTCTATGTACAAATAACAAATATGACAAACAAATGCGTGGAGCATGTTTAAAAGGGTACTTTTTCAACTATAAACCCGTGTTTATAAATAAATTTGATACGGAAAGAAGATATTTATTCTGTCTCGTTGGGACAACTGTCCTTCCAGATAGGTAATCAATACAGCAAAGAAAATACTTAATTATAATACCACAAGATCGCCAAAATGTATCCCAGAATAAATCCATTATTTCGTCGTCAACAAATAGTTAAATATTTCCAGTTAATTTGACCATCTGGATATTACTCTAATTAATACCATGTCGAGAAGCTGGTTTAAATGTATCTATTTTATATTACAAACTGTAAAGATATTAAGAATCTCCACTTAAGTTACAGTTTATGCCTGTGTGTAAGTATATATGTGTGCATATAGATCGGAAAATATTGCTAACGTGACAGGCTACGTGTCACAGCTTTATTTTTGTGAACATTCGGAATCATTTTTGTTTTGTTTTCTGATTAAGTCAAATATGTAAGTTAATAAAATATTCATTTTTAAAAACAAATTTCGAATTTCCATAGAAATAAGGATCTTGATTGATATTTGAATGAGGCAGACGAAATGATAACAAAAAAGGTCAGACCAAAGAAATGAATACGTAGTTTAGATACCAAATTACCAATGTAATTTAAAAAGAAACTCATACTCCACACTCCATAGTGTCACTAGAGGAAGCCAAAATGTATATATAGCATTTAATTCAATTACGCTCACCCAAAAAAAAAAATCAAGATACATGCATAGTTTATTTTTTGTCAAAGTTATCTAATGCTTGTTTTGTAGATGATGCCCGAAAGGTATGAAAGAAAAAGGAATAAAGATTTTGCATTTCTGTCATTATTCATAAATCAAAAGCCGCAAACACTTATTATTTTTCTTCTCTAATTCACATGAGCTGTATATATATATGATGCATATTTCATTAACTCTTTTTTTTTTTTGCCATTATTCTGTTATCGTTTAATGTATTGATGATTAGCCATGTGTGTTGTGAGTCTGTCCAAATTGTATATCTTTTGGGGGCATGCAGTATGGCATAACATATTGATAGAAGCAAAAAATCCACGAAGATTTATAATTTATACACATATACAATATTACATATATATACATATATCCACCAAATTCAATGATTGACACACCGTTGACAATTACATTTCATGAAACCTATGAAAGCATGGTGCATATGTTGACTCTCGTAGTCTCGTTTTTTTTTTTCCAATAGAATTTTCTTATTGTTATTGGCATGCCTCAGTTTAACATAGACGTAAAACAAAGTACATTTAATTCAACTTATAGCACACCTTATAACAAGGATAGTGAAATCAAGGTATCACTATCATCAATCAAAATATTCTTAAAAAAATCATAACTTCGAGCGAATATATTAGTTTATTTGGAACAAAACCATAGAATACATACATATTTGTCTCAAAAAGAGAGTTAAATCGTCTAAAAGAAGAAAATGTTTGTCCTACTTATGCATTATTTTTGTATAGTCACATAGACTGATCGAAACCCTATCCTCTACCAAAACTGACCTATAACATTTTTTACCACTCTCTTGTGATAGTATATCATAAAAGATTGAGAGTCAGTCTTTTCGCAAGATGTAGGGTTCACCAAAGTCGTTTACTATTATGATGGAGAAAGAATTCCTTTAGAAAGGACATTCACCAAAAAATGGAGAAAGAATTCGCTTAGAAAGGACATTCACCAAAAAACCAGAGACTCTTACATTTCTGGAACACGATTAAAAACACCATGTTCCTTTGAGATGATGAGAGATTCGTAAGCTGTCTTGTAGTGCATAAACTACGAAGAGAAAGTTGTTTCCTTTTATTCATTTTTGCTAGTGCATAAAAAAGTTGTCCTGTAGTACATAGAGAGAGTTGTTTTATGTGATTGGCTATCTTTGGCTAGTGCATAAGACCATCTCTATTGGAGATCCTTGGTCCAGATTTTTAGGTGTTTTGAAAAAAAAATTAAAAAAATAAGATTTTAATAACGATCGTCCCTTGTATAAGAGTTTTAAGGGACGCCTCTTACCTGATGTAGCATAGGGATTGGCTGATGGTCTAAAACATTGTGTTGTAGTGCATAGAGAAATTGTTATTTTCTTTTAATGCAGAAACTATTTGAAACTTGAAACTATTCTACTCCTTGTCCATCTTTCAGTATTGGTAGACTTATTGTCTGAGCCTTAATCTTGCTTTATTTTTACTGCTTGCCTCTGATATAAATCATTTCAAAAAGAATTATAAACACACCACTACAGAAGGACCAATTTTATCCATATCTTGTTGGATATAAAACAATGCGGAACCATGCAGATTTGTTTAAATGGATCAAGATAGAAAGTCACCACTTTGTGCAGAGGATTCCAATTTTATCAAGTTAAGTGTTTCCAAAGGATCAAGCGACCAAATGTAGATATATACTACTTGCAAATTTGAGGATGACACAAATAGTTTCCAAGAAAATCCAAAGTGGAATGAACAACTAAGCTCTGTAACTCAAAACTGAAAATCATAAGGTAGGTTCCAACAGAGTGAAGCAAAAAGAAACAACCACGTATAGAGCACGGGAAAACGGAAGCATTGTGCCACAGCCACATTAATCAGACATGTCAGTAGCAGATAAATAGCTCCTCAGGTAATGAAACTCACTACAAGGCCTATAAAAATTATGTTTCACTGGAAAGTCTACGTACCTGATGTAGCCTAATTCTTTAAATTTGGCTGGAGAGGAGAAAAGCAAAAGATAAAGTCAAAACCATGTCACCTAAAAGTACATTGAAAAAGGAAGAATTCAGAATAATTCACAGATTTGAACGAAGTAGGCCAATATGAACAGAGAATAAGCACGTGGCAGATTTAGTCCATAATCATCACACAATACCTTGATATTGCAGCGCTATAGATGGAAGTTAGAACACCCATGAATTCTATCTCAGGGGTCTTCTACCCGCCTTCTCGAACTCCTCTTGCAGCCATTCTTCTTCAGCAGCCTATAAGATTAACAATATCAACATACTTCCATTTGAAAAGGGATGGTACAGACTACAGAGAGATGGGAGATTCGTAAAAGGAATGAACAAAATACATGCAAGGAAATAAGAAATAGTCATTAGAATTTAGAAACTCGTGTAGCTATCAAAGTAAAACAAAATGAAGTTTGTCTGGCTGAGGAACCATGAGATGTTGGTTAAAAACAGCCTGGGTCGAATCTTTGAAGCAAAATAGGATAAATTCTCAGTAGTATCAAACTAAGCGCTGCACATGATGCTTCGTCACTTTTGCATTCATTTTATTCAAAACTCTGTTTTCTTAATCTCATTTTTTTTTTTTTTTTTTTTGCAGAGCCAATGCGTAACAAGCCAACAACCAAATCTGTTTGTGGGAATGATTCTGTTTCTCAAATATTTGCGGATTGAAAGAAAAAGTATGGTCTCATTGTCGGTATTATCCTCTCATCTCGAGCTGGTCAGTTCTCTAGAGCCGACTGAAAGAAAAAGTTTCAAGCACGGATTTTATTATTATCATCATCTCTCATCTGAGAAATGAAAATTGTTTGGCTTCTCCTTTCACTTCCTTTTTGTGCGTTTGAGTTAAGTTCTCTCATTGGAAATAAGTGAATCATTTGACTTAATTGGTTTCAAAAGCATTCATTTTTCATTGCATCACAAATCCCTCATATAAAATCCCTCAGAGTCACTTAACAAATATATGTGAGATTCAATCTCAAAACTAATCAGCAACTTGAACCTGATTATTAATTATATACCATGTTCTTCTTAGTATGGGATTTAAAAATCTGTTACATGTTGTATTCTTCCCCTGAACTAAGTAACACACTCGATATTGATTTCACCGAAGGAATGACCTTTTTCACTGTAAATAAATTTTCTCCCCACTCACTACAACCAGAGAAACAATATGGTTGGGTAAAAGAAAAACCTGTCAGGTGGGTTATAACTTAGTAGTATAAGAGAGTATATCAACACAAGCACAGTCAAGTTGTCATAACTTTGTTTTAAAGACTGCAGTGGTTCAGTGAAGATAGTTATGACACATTTAATAATGCGATGACTCTTGTCCACACATCCATTAAACTCTCTCACACAACATTTGCAATTCCCGTTTGCATTGATTCTCCTTTTCCTTCTTGTTTACACCAGTCCCTTCTTCATGAGTATCGTTTAATTTGTGTATTTAATTATTTCTTATCTTCATGAAAAACGTCACCCAAAAATTCATTTTTTTTAGAAGATGACATGGAAAAATAAATGTTTAATTATTTCTTATCTTCATGAAAAACGTCACCCAAAAATTCATTTTTTTTAGAAGATGACATGGAAAAATAAATGTTCTCTCTATGGCTATTGCTTGATTTAATACATAAAGGTTTATAGTTCAACAATATATAAAAGGAATAGAAAGAATAGAGGCGGAGTTCTCCATTCACCGGAAATCATAATAATTAAATAACAAGAAAAAGAAGTATTGAGCCAAAAAAAGAAGACAAACAGTGTAAAATCCGACGTGGCTTTGGGTTTCAGACAACAACAAGCTCGCTCTGTTTAAGAAAGCTTTTCATCATCTGACGGCTAAACTTCACTTGTCCCCGTACACAAAAATCCAAGAAATTATCAACGGCTACTTTCATCTCACTACAAAGACCAACACGTGTCGTTCACCCACTCGTCCACTGTAACCTGGCGGGAGCTAAACAGGAAGAGGACAATGTGGAGGAGGACCCCACATTTACTCTCAACCCATGGACCAAATCACGGAAGAGTTTCTCTAACCAAAAAATGTTTGTTTAATGATGGATTACGCAAATCCTTACCAAAAACGGCGCCGTAGGGTCGGTTCAACGTTAACTCAGTGTGTTTTTTTTGGCTAATTGTTGGACCCGCTCGACATTAACTAATTTTTTATTTCGTTATAATTTTCAGGAATATGTTTTTTTTTTTATCGAACGAGAATTCCGGGAAATGTTTTGTTCAATATAACACAACGAACTGATTGAGATCGCTCTATCATTCCGTCATGGAAAATTCATTTGATTTGATGACTTAAAATTTGGACTGTCGTACCCGTGACAAGATACAACGCAATAAAAGTCAACATAAAAGAAAAAACTAGCATTATCCACAAAAGAAAAGAAAACAAAGAAAAAATATTTGAAAAATTAATTATATAAAGTTGAAAATCAAACATCTTCAAGAAGCTGCGGCGGTGGCCGGAGAAGTAGGATCGGCGGACAAGGAAATCGCCGGACCGACTCTACACCCTTCGAGCATGAACACAACATCAGACATTGACGGCCGATCAACTACGTCACCTCCAGTACACAACAAACCAACTTTAACCCCCAACAAGAACTCTTCCCACTCGGAACTTTCCGGGTCAAGCTCCAACAAACCCGGTTCAAGCAACTCAACGATCTGACCCTTTTGCAACTGTCTCTTCACCCATTTCACTATATCTTCATCTTCCGTAAACATCACAGCTCTTTTCCCAGTCAAGATCTCTAACAACACGATCCCAAAGCTGTACACGTCGCTCTCTTTACTCGTTTCACCCATTAAAGCCGTTTCGGGTGCAGCATAACCTAAAGACCCAACCGGAGTCGACGAACTGGACGGTTCTCCAGCTGGAGTCAACGTGGTAAGCCTATCTAAACCGAATTCAGACAAATGCGCTTCGAAATCTGCATCGAAGAGTACGTTCTGCGGATTCAAATCGCCGTGAATGATTGACAAAGAATGCAAGAAAGAGAGTCCTCTAGCGATTCCAAGCGCGATGAGATGACGCATTGGCCAGTTCAAGACGTGTCCGTCTTGGTGTGAAGCTTCTTGCAAAAGCGTAGAGAGGTTTCCGTTTGGCATGTAGTCGTAAACCAAAAGTCTCAGATCAGGCGGTCCACAATAATACCCTCTCAAGACCGTGATGTTCTTGTGCTTCACTCTACCTAAAGCCTCAGCTTGGCTACGAAACGTCGCGTCGGTTATGGAAGCACCGTCCATGAGTCTACGAACCGATAAAACCATCCCGTCTTTAAATATCGCCTTGAAAACCAACCCGTATCTTCCTCGGCTCAATACGTTTTCTTCGTCGAACTGTCTTGTGGCTTCTAAGGTTTCAGCTAATGTGATCTTGTTGTTGAACATCACGAGTTTAGGTCCACCATTGTTGTCCTCTCCTCTAGTCCCACCAGAACTCGCTCGTGATGTACGTGACGGTGTTCCTTTCTTGTCCCGAGTCAGACCCAATCTTATTTTCTTCCGCCATCTCCATAGACTGAACACATAACCGCAGCAACAGAGTAAGAGCAACAACGCTCCAGACGCTGCTAGTGTTACAAGTAGAATCAGCTTTCTTCTTCTTCTTCTCCTTACGTTTTGACATTCTAAACCAACCGGTTTACCACAGAGTTTCGGGTTATTAATGAAGACAGACGTGTTGTTGAAACGTGCAGCTAGAGCTTCTGGAATCTCCCCTTCCAAGCTGTTTCTTGATACGTTGAAGTAGTTAAGTGAATGTAGCCGAGAGAGACTTGATGGTATTGTAGAATTCAATCTGTTCGACGAAAGATCTAACGCGGTTAGGTTCACCAATCTTGATAACGATTCCGGTATTGGACCCGATAGAGTATTCGAATCAAGCAGTAGAGATTCAAGAGACGAATCCTTAGAAATCTGACCCGGAATGCCTCCTGTTAATTTGTTGTGACTCAAATCAAGCTTCTTCAAACGAGACAGATTTGAAAACCGAACCGGAATGTGACCCTTGAAATTGTTCGAACCGAGCTCAAGAACCTCAAGACTTGAGCAATTCCCAATCTCCGGCGGGATTGAACCGGAGATCCGATTGTGAGACATGGAAAACACTTGTAATGACTTGAGAAACCCGTAGTTCGAAGGGATATGATCGGAAAATAAATTGGAACTGAGGTTTAAGAACCGTAGACTAACCAAGCTGCTAAAACCTTCCGGTACGACGCCGTCAAGCGCGTTGTTGCCTAAATCAACCACTTGAAGATCCGGCAAGCCAAAGAGTTCGATGGGTAATTTACCGGAGATTCTCTGTTTACTTAGATCCAATACCCGAAGCTTCATTAACCCGCCAATGCTAACCGGAATCCGACCGGTTAACCCGCATCCGCTTAGGTTTAGTACGCTCAAGCTCTTTAGTTCACCCACATTGGCCGGGATTTCGCCGGAAAATCTGTTGAAGCTGAGATTCAGTATGCTGAGATTGGCGAGCTTTGTTATCTCCGACGGTATAGCTCCTGTGAGATGATTTTCGTTTAGATTCAAGGTTTCGAGTCCGTATAAACTGAGAAGATCCGATGTGATCCGACCCGAGAACCCGTTTCTTCCGAGAGAAATCGCCGTTAGACTCCGTAACTGACCCAGAAAACCCGGAATCTGACCCGAGAGCTTGTTTCCTTCGAAGTCGACGACTCGCAACGATCTGCATTTTCCGATGCTCGTCGGGATTTCTCCAACAAAGGAATTATTCGCTGCTCTCAGCTCCTGAAGCGCCGGGAAGTTCCCGATTTCAGCCGGAAATTTGCCGGAGAAGAAGTTCCCAGATATATCCAAAACCATGATTGAGGTCAAATCGGTCAACCACGCGGGAAAATCGCCATAAATGTGGTTCTCGTGAACGTCGAGAATCTCCAAATTAGGGTTCACGCAGGCTGCATTTGACGGCTTAGCTATTCCCGTGAAGTTATTAACTCCCAATTGAATAATTCGCATGGAGGAACCACAGAGAAGACTCGACGGAACTTTACCTCCGAGTGAATTTCCCGACAATGAAATCACCTGAAGACTTGGAATCTTCCCCAAAGTCGCCGGAATCAGACCGGAGAGGGAATTTCCGGCTGCGCTGAAGTGTACAAGCGACAAACATTTAGCCAATGCCGATGGTATTGTGCCTTGTAACTGGTTCGAGTCTAGCCATAGATACTCTAGCTTTTGTAGCTGCCCGAAAGTCGCCGGGATCTCGCCGGAGAAACGGTTATACGAGAGGTTGATGAGCTGGAGAGAAGACTCCGCCGAGAAATTCGCCGGGATCTTACCGGATAATGCATTGGAAGACAAATCGACGTAACGGAGGCTCTTGGAGACTGTAACGCCAGATATAATCCCGGTGAGTGAGTTGTGAGCAGCGTTGAGCACCTGGAGATTCCTTAGATTTAGTATTTCCGGTGGAAACTCGCCGGAGAAGGAGTTGTAGTGGAGATAAATCGCTCTGAGGAAGACACAACGAGAAAGAGACGACGGAATGGCGCCGTTTATGTCGTTGGAGTGAAGACTGAGTTTACGGAGCTGAGTTAACTCGCCGAGTCGAGGGCTGAGGTGGCCGGTAAGGCGGAGACGGGGAAGACGAAGCTCTCGGACATGGCCGGAAAAGCATAAAACTCCGCGCCAGTCGCATGGAGCTGAGGGAGACGATTGATTCCAGCCGTCGAGAGCGCCGAGAGGATCGTGGAGAGAGAGTTTGAAGGATGTGAGTGCTTGAATCTCTGATGAAACGGCGGAGGTGTGAGGGAGTTGAGAGAAAACGGCGGCGAAGAAGGTGAAGTGAAGGTAGAAGATGACCGTTGCGGCCATGAGAGTGGAGAAAGGAAAGATTTTGCAGAGAGAAGTAGTTCTTTGCTCTATATTATAAGAGAGGAGCGTATGGAGGGAGAGTGCGACGACATCGTTTTTGGTTTCCACTCTATGGAATCTTTGGGTGCTGTGAATTTTTGTTGTTCCCCAAAAGCAAATTATAAAACAAGAAAATGTTTTCTTATTTATGCCCACAGTGGATTATGAGCAAAAATCTCTTATATGCATATGTAGTTTTGTGTATGTATGTATACATGTGCTTGTATGACAGTATTTGCATATATATGTTTGTGGCTTCCAGTGTTGTGACAAATGTTACGACCAACTCTGCATCTCTCATGGCAGGCTGGTACATCACAAACCACCAAACCGTATGTATTTTCTCACCAAGACTGAATATCTTATCTATTGAATATTTTATAGAGTTTCATAAATTCTGAATACTTACTTTGATGAACAATTTTAAGAGCCTCTTTTTTTTTTCTTAATGATCAAAAAGTCACTGATCACACTGAGACTATAAAAACATAAAGATAATGTAGACAAATAGGATATTGGATTGTTAGAAAAATGAATTATATCACTAAATTGACAATGAAAATATTTTAATCTATGAATCATAATATCTGCCGCAATAGATGGACCACAAGAAGAAGACATAAAGCCGAAGGACTAGTTTAATCAAGTACAAGACTGTGTTCTTGTTTCGGTACGAGCAATATGTAAATGAATCTATTGAGTTATTTTTATCTCCCTAACATCAATCCGTTGTAGTCTAGCTGGTCAGGATACTCGGCTCTCACCCGAGAGACCCGGGTTCGAGTCCCGGCAACGGAGATTTTGTTTTTGTGATATACGAATTTTTCTACTTTCTAGTTGAGGTAATATCATTTAAGTACCGTCAGATTATGACATTAGAGTTTCCCAAATTCTCCCAGCAGCGATACTTCTCAAAATTCATTCTGGGGACCACTCGTCCCAGTTCCAACACAGATAACTATTGGGCTTCGGATATTTTTTAGAACATTTGAAGGCCCAAATCGTATATGCTGTTTTGTCTGAAGCCCAATTAGTTTGACAAATCCGAATATCCGAATTCCGAATGCTTTCTTCCAGAAAAAGGAAAAAACCAATTAATATGCTCGTGTGACCTTACCCGCCGTCGGCAAACACCGTCGATTTGATTAGTTCTCTCTCTCTCTCTCTCTCTCTCTCTCTCTGCTTAGGTCTCTGAGTTTTGCTGCTGGATAATCTCTATTCTTTTTGCCGCCGGAGATTTATAGCTTCGAGATCGGTGAAGAATGGGAGTTCCGGCGTTTTACCGGTGGTTGGCGGAGAAGTATCCAATGATAGTGGCGGACGTTGTCGAGGAAGAGCCTGTTGAAATCGAGGGCGTCAAGATTCCGGTGGATACTAGTAAACCTAATCCTAATAATCTAGAATATGATAACCTTTATCTTGACATGAACGGGATTATCCATCCTTGCTTCCACCCTGAAGATAGGGTACGTTCGTTTCACCTTTGTTCACTCTCGTAATTCGTTGTAGTGTTTCTGTTTATTCGTAAATTTTGATTTTGCCTCGTATGTAAATCCGTAGCATCGATTGGATATGTTTTTCCCCCTTTTGGTTTAGGAGAGTAGTGCTTTGTTAATTCTGAATTTTATCGTTTGGCGATATTTAGAGTTGTTGTTAAGCTCTTTCTTATCTCAGTGACTATGTTTCCATTGCAGCCATCTCCGACTACCTTTGAGGAGGTGTTTCAGTGTATGTTTGACTACATCGATAGACTTTTCGTGATGGTACGGCCGAGGAAGCTACTGTATATGGCTATTGGTAAGTGGGAATCCATTTAGTGTGATTTCTTATTATCAAGCCAAACAAGTATTTAGAAGAGTATGCTTAAAGCTAAATAATCATGTATGTTTTGAATTGGGTCTTACTTAGATGGTGTTGCTCCAAGAGCTAAAATGAATCAACAGCGGTCTAGACGGTTTAGATCCGCTAAAGATGCATCGGATGCAGTATGTCCTTCTTTGCCCCATACTGGCATGGGGTTTCTACTGTGTAGTTCCTCAGCCAGACAAACTTGATTTTACTTTTTACTTTCATCCAGACACGTTCTTAATGTCTGTAGATGGTCTTTGATTTGTTTCCTTGCATGCTTTTTGTTTTATCATTCCCTTAACGAGTCTCCCATCGCTCTCTATACCATTCCTTTTCAAATGGAAAATTGTTGACGTTGTTATCCTTACAGGCTGCTGAAGAAGAACGGCTGCGAGAGGAGTTCGAGAGGGAGGGTAGAAAACTCCCTCCTAAAGTGGACTCTCAAGTCTTTGATTCTAACGTTATTACACCAGGGACAGAATTCATGGGTGTTCTGTCTATCGCCCTGCAGTATTATGTGCACCTTAGACTTAATTATGATGTTGGTTGGAAAAACATCAAGGTATTTTTGATGATTATTACTTCTCAACAGCTTCACACAATTATGTATTGGATTGATTTTGTGACTAACTTTGCTCCTAACTGCTGTACTGCACAGGTTATCCTTTCAGACGCAAATGTTCCAGGTGAAGGGGAGCATAAAATCATGTCATACATTCGTCTTCAAAGAAATCTTCCTGGTTTTGACCCAAATACTCGGCATTGCTTATACGGATTGGTATGAGTCTTCAGTTTACTTTTACTTACACGAAAGACTACTCTGAGGTTTTATTGCTTGTTAATTTTCTTATATTGACCTGCTTTCAATGACAGGACGCTGACCTGATTATGTTGGGCTTGGCAACCCATGAAGTTCATTTTTCAATTCTTCGAGAGGTTTTTGATACACTCTTCTGCATGTTTTTGTATTAAATTATTTTCTATGTTTTCGTCTAAAAAATAACATAAGTGGGTAGAAAAGGAGGGGAAGAGACAACTAGAGTATAATCTTCACTTTGGGCTTTCTTCCTCAGTAACTAAGCTGAATCCCAATATGTCATCCCATGATTTAGGTGGTCTTCACTCCTGGACAGCAGGATAAATGCTTCTTGTGTGGTCAAATGGGCCATATGGCTTCAGATTGTGAAGGAAAAGCAAAGAAGAGGGCAGGAGAGTTTGATGAGAAAGGCGATGGTTTTGTCAAAAAGCCATATCAGGTTGAATTTCTACACTGAGTTCATAACACACTATCAGCGAGTTCGTAAGATACAGTCTTTAAGTGTGATAATATTTTCAATCCTCTTGTCCTTGTTTCTTTTTACCAGTTCCTCCATATCTGGATTCTTCGAGAATACCTAGAGTTTGAAATGAGGATTCCCAACCCACCATTCGAAATTGATTTGGAGCGCATTGTTGATGATTTCATCTTCATATGTTTCTTTGTGGGCAATGATTTCTTACCACATATGCCGACATTGGAGATTCGAGAGGTTTGTGTTTCATGGATTTGGATTTCATAATAACTTGTTCCGTGAGAAAACCTTCAAGTGATCCTTAGTATGAAATAGTATTTTAGCATTTGAAGTAGTCAACTTAATGTCTGAGGCGTATGTCCGTGCCATTATTTATTTTGTGTATAGAACTTGATATATCCTATATCGCATTTGAAAGTATTATTGGATGAAACACAATTCTTCATATCTCCAGGGTGCTATCAACTTGCTTATGGCCGTTTACAAGAAGGAATTTAGGTCGCTTGACGGCTATCTAACTGATGGGTGCAAGGTTCTTATTCTCAGTTGATATTAGACTAGCTAGCAGATTTACTTGGATTTTGTATTCTTCCATTTCCAATTTACCCTTGGGGACTTGGTTCTTTTGGCTAATCTTTTGCTTGTATCCTCTTCAGCCAAATTTAAAGAGGGTGGAACAGTTTATTCAGGCTGTTGGATCTTTCGAAGATAAGATATTTCAGAAAAGAACCAGGTTGCATCAGGTACATCGACTTTCTAAAGAAACCTACTTCTTTTTGGCCTTGTAGCGGAGCTCATCACCTGAGTAGCTATCTATCTGCTAATGACATTTGATTTACATGATTACACACTTTTTTTTGTTGTTAGTTTCTACAAGATATGGATATAACATTTTTTTCTGTAGTGATATATTTATAATTGATGTTCTTATTTGCTCTGGTTTTATCAGAGGCAAGCGGAAAGAATAAAGGGAGATAAAGCTCGGAAAAAAAGAATGGATGATGCAGCTCCGACAGTTCAACCTGATTCTCTTGTTCCGGTTGCCAGATTTAGTGGTTCTCGGCTTGCTTCGGCTCCTGCACCTTCACCATTTCAGGCTAATGATGGAGGGTCTGCTCCGCCTCAAAAAGCTCGACGTGTATCTTCAGGATCCAGTATTGGTGCTGCTATTGTTGACGTCGAGAACAGTCTTGAATCTGATGTAAGCATTCTTGTCTCTGGAGAGGCACTTTTAGTATGATTTTAACACCTTGTCACTGGGGTTGATAGTGGATGACCTTATATAAGTGAACAATCAATTAAATTTGTCTGTTTATTTCAGGAACACGAGAACAAAGAAGAATTAAAGACAAAGCTCAAGGAGTTAATACGTGAGAAATCCGATGCTTTCAACTCGGATACTCACGAAGAGGATAAGGTTCTATATAGTCAATTATGATTAGAATACATCGTACATAGGGATATTCTTTGTTTTTCAGTTACTCTTTGATTGTCAATCATTGGGTCTCCCTTCATTTCTGAAAGTGTTTTCTATATACATAGGTGAAGTTAGGGGAACCTGGATGGAGAGAAAGGTATTATGAAGAGAAGTTCTCAGTAGTAACCCCTGAGGAAATGGAAAGACTACGGAAGGATGTTGTGAGTTTGAGAATGAGATATATTTTCAAGTTTTGGTGCTTCCATTCCTGGAGCTTCTTCTAATTTGCGAAACATTCTTTTGTGCAGGTTTTGAAGTACACAGAAGGCCTTTGCTGGGTCATGCATTACTACATGGAAGGTGTTTGCTCCTGGCAGTGGTAAGATCCTACGTTTGGATATTTCTTTTTTCCTGAACATTCACGTATTGATCCGTTTGGATTGCTTTCTTAAGTGTGGTCTACTTTTGTTCATGTCTCAGTTTATTTATCTAGAAGCGCCTTTAATTATTTGCTTGTTGAGTTGCCTTTGGTTTGTTATTCCCTATAAACGGAATCCATGATTTAATTTAAGGAAGTTTTTTTTTTGCCTTGACTAAGGACTTTGTATTTAGTCTTGGTTTGGTGATTGATAGGCTACGTTATATCTGTTTCTTTGGATTAGACTCTATATTTGCGTTTTTATATATTATTCATCGAGGGTGATGTTATATCTACTGATACATCTGTACTTTGATGATACAGGTTTTATCCTTACCACTATGCACCATTTGCTTCTGATCTGAAGGATCTCGGAGAGCTGGATATTCAGTTTGAATTAGGAACTCCTTTTAAGCCTTTCAATCAACTTCTTGGGGTGTTCCCAGCTGCAAGGTACTTTACCTTGGGCAACAATACCTTTTCTTTCTTTGTCCTACATTTTTTTTTTGTTTCTTTTCTAGTGGTATATAAGTACTTATTACTTCATTTGGTCAGTGCGCATGCGCTTCCAGAGCGCTATAGGACCTTGATGACGGATCCCAATTCTCCTATCATTGATTTTTACCCAACTGGTAGTGCTTCCTTTCCTCAAAAAGATTCTATCTTTGCACTCAGTGTTAACTGTTAAAACAATTTTTATATTCTTTCTATTCTTTTTCCAGATTTTGAAGTTGATATGAATGGGAAGCGCTATTCCTGGCAGGTAACCTCTCTGCCTGCTTCTTCATGTATTGGAAACAAAATCACTATATTTTGAACGTGTTTCATTTCTTTTCCTAAAAAGGGTATTGCTAAGCTGCCTTTCATTGATGAAAGACGCCTTCTAGAAGCTGTTTCCGAAGTGGAATTCACGTTGACGGTATGTTGCCATATGTCCTTCATCTTTTATGATTTCCTTCAGATCAAGATGTGTTCTTTGAAAAAAGGTGGATTTTTAAATGTTTTTTTTTTTTTTCAATCTGCAGGATGAAGAGAAGCGTAGAAACAGCATGATGTGTGACATGCTTTTCATAGCAACGTCTCATCGCCTTGCTGAACTCATCTTTTCGCTTGACAACCATTGTCGGCAACTGAGTGCCAGGGAGAGAGTAGACCTTAAGGTTAAGATCAGACCTGAGCTCAGGTTTGTAAAACAAATGAAACATAACTCTCTTATCTTTTATTTTTATGACTTCATGAAGTAAGCTGCTTAGTTCAGATTTTCCCGATCAGTTTCATAATGTTCTTATAAATACTTGCAGTGATGGTATGAACGGCTACTTGACTCCGTGTTCGGGAGAGACTCACCCGCCTATATTCAGGTCCCCGATGGAGGGTATGGAGGACATCCTGGCCAACCAAGTCATGTGAGATCACGGACCTAGTTTTCAAAAATGTTTAAAAATCTATAAAATATTGTAAACTGATTTACTTTCTTCGCTTCTCAGATGTTGCATATACAGACTTCCGGATGCACATAAACACATAACCAGGCCTCCTCCCGGTGTCATCTTCCCTAAGAAGGTACATGATACCACGATGTCTTGTCTGTTAATGTCATTACTTTTGTATGAACTCTATCGATAAATCTTCTAGGGTAGCTTAAGTTGGTTGTTTTCTCTCTTGTCGTTCAGATTGTAAACATAGGAGACTTAAAACCCCCACCTGCTCTTTGGCATGAGGAAAACGGAAGGAGACCGATGCATAATAATCATCAAGGAAGGTAATAGAATCATCGAACAAGTTAAAAAAAAATTGCGTTTAAATCGGTATCGTTGAATAACAAAAATGTTAATTTTCTTTCATCAATTCTTTTAGGCAAAACCCACCTGGAAGTGTATCCGGGAGGCATCTGGGAGACGCAGCACACCGTCTCGTCTCAAACAACTTACATACGAGAACAGACCGACATGGTTATCAGACAGCAGATGTACATAATCAGCATCATCCTGGTTACGGCTACAATCCTCCGCAGTATGTTCCACCAATTCCTTACCAATATGGTGGCTACATTGACCCACCTGGTGTGCAAGGCTATGTTCAGCCACAACAGCCTCCTTATCCAAGTCGAGGTGGATACCAACCTCGTGGTACCACTGGGAGATTCCCATCAGATCCTTACCCGGTCCCGTCACGGGGAGGTCACCGTGACAATAGAGGAGGAGGAGGGTATTCTGGTAATTACAATCAACAACAACAACAACAATGGCATGGTCAAGGTGGATCGGAGCACAATAACCCACGAGGATATAGCGGTCAGCATCATCGTCAAGATGGTGGAGACCGCGACCGCAGAAGAGGAGGAGGAGGAGGAGGAAGAGGAAGTCATCACCATGATCAGGGCCAAGGCGGGAATTCGTTTTCTGCATTGCGTCCTAGACATCGATATTAAGCACAATGCTACTACTCCTGACCACCTTTCCTAACCGTAAGAATCAATCATCAGGTGTAGTTGAATTTCGTTTCATACTGTTTGTTGTATCATTAGAATTGGGCTGCTCTTGGTTCTTTGGCTTAAAAGGAATGAAGAGCAGCTGGAAAAACTATAGGTTACACTAGTTTTTCTTTCCGCTTGCAACAATTTTTATCATTATTTGGTGTAACGTTGATTTACCGACGGTTTGTAGTGTATCTTGTTTCTAAACGATATTTTTAGTCGATTTATCTTTGTGGATCAATAATGGTTTTTAGTTTAATTTTCTATGTTGTGGTTCTTGTGTTTTTGTGTCCACCTCTCTAGTATGATACTCAGGAAAATCCATTCGATCTCATGTCACTTCATTGATACAAAAGAAATTTAGTTTTGAAGATCACACAATTTTAATGAATCATTTAATAGAAAAACATCCTTACAGCATGAATTACAAACACCCAAGTAACACCAGATTTTGGATTCCATTAAACTTATCACTGTGGTACAACCTAAGTTAGTATGCGGATTCTCCCAAGCGATATTGCAACACAATTCGTTAGAATCATCAATCATGTTCCCTAACACATTGAATTCCAAAAACATTAAGAAAAAGGGCACAATAGGATTTTTGTTTAATAAGAAAAGGGTAAAATATCAGAGAATTTGCCACAACAAAGATTCCAAAATCGTTGCTTTTCTTCACTTCAAGCTTCTACTGATTTATATGTTTCTTCAACTTGTGTTTTTTCTTTAAAATTTCCTCAGGCGATTTTCCTCCGTTTATGATCCCTGATTTTTTTTTTTTAAAAAAAAACAAATTGTTCCATATAAAAGATGATGGTCACAGAGGTGATAAAAGAGAAGTGTACAAATCAACCAACCTATCCATATGCAAAGCTTCTTCAGACTGCTTTTCCAGCCACTTAACGCATCCTGTGTTAGCCGGCATTAGAGATCCAGCTATATGCAGTACTTCTTCATCAAAACTGCACAATGATTTCGAATTTCATCACCCAGAATTCAAATCACAACTTTGCATGAATGTAGTCACAACATTAGATAAAACATGACCCAACTCAAAACATTCAAGAAGGCTTCAATAGTTATCAACTGTTAACAATACTTTTTGGACTCGACGAGAAGCTAAGAGAGTCACCTTTCGACTTGAAGGCGTAACATTGTTCCAACCTTTAGTGCATGACGTTTATGTGATCTGCTCACAAAGCAACCTTCACCATCTCTCTGAATAGAACAAACATTATACAGCCAGTTAAAGAGTGTGGAACGAAGGAATATTATATCTTATATATGAGTCACAAATATACCATTTTGTACTTGAATTCTTCACGGATATCAATATCCGTTATGACTGCAGCAGAAAACCCAAGAACAACAACATGGATTGACTCTGGAGAAATCTTCACAATCTTCCCTTCTGCAAACAAAAAATTAACCAGCATTGCTTCAAACACATTCGATCACCTAGCAAGAAACTATGCATCAAAAGTAACCGATATACTCAAAAAAAAAATTTGCAGAGAAGAATCCAATATATAAGGAAATCTTCTTACCTACAAGACTATTAGGCTTTGGATCAAATAGTAGTAGTTTTGTGTTTATTCTCACGCCAAAGTAAGGATTAAGTCCTGCAAGGATCTTAGCTTGTTTGCTTTCCACAGTAAAATCATAAGCCAATAGAACCCCATCGAATGTTTCATCATACCTTAAAAACAAAGATGGATTACACACAAAAACTATAAGGTAATCACCAACATACTTTGCATCAAGAAAGCTCAATTGGGTAAAGCCATCGAGAAATGAAACTAATCTTCCCAAAAAACAGAAAGATTGGTAAAAAACCAAGATATCTAAGAACATTGCTTAAACATAAAAGTAAATGTATTTGGTTCTTGTAACAGCCAACAGGAATCTAACAGAGTTTCAGTGTCGCAACCCAAAATCGAAAAGCATAAAACATTAGGTTACTTTCGAAATTTGATCTCAAAAGAAAAAAAAGAGGAGAAGAAACGAACGAACTGGAATAGAAGAGCACTGAGCTCGCGACAAATAGCTTGAAACACGTTTCTGCACTTGGAAGGATGGATGTAAACCATCAATTCCGCGTCTGAGAGCTTTAAACCCTCCATGGAAGATCCAATTCCTGCTGATTCAAAATGCTTCAGCTCTGATAAATTTTATATAGCGGCGGGTTTTATTGAGCTCGCTTCTAAGGAATTCAGACAAAATTCCAAGTCTCAAACTAAAAAGAAACAGAACTTGAATCTCACCTGGAAGAAAGAAACTGTAGTACCGGAGAACTATATTGTGATACTGAGCAAAGAAGAGAAGAAGACGCTCCTCGTCTTAGGAAATTAGGGTTTTTTCTTTTAATTTCAAAGCCTCCACCACATGACATGATGACAAAGGGTTTAAGATCAAACCGGTTCCTTAGGTTTTTACCCGAATTTCCCGGGTTTAAACCGGTCACGACAGTTTGGTTCTTGTTATAATAACCGGATTCTTTCGTATAATGTAGCAGTGTATTTGGTACGGTAATTAGTTTAGTTTAATTAACACATGGATATTGTACCTTGTTTACAACGATTTTCTTTGTTTCACACTCATCAACAAATCAAGCAAATAATACACAACGTGAATAAACATACACACACACAGGGAAAAAAAAAATGAAGCAATGTGACTTTAACAAAAGGCTTTAAATATAAAGCTCACTTCAATGATTGTAGAACCGAAGAGGTAGTGACAAGACTAGACAAGAGGCCAACGAGGAGAGCATTGTTATAAGTGGTTGGCTCGTTCTGCATCGGGTTGTCTCGTGAGTCAAGGAACGTCTCATTGAAGAATGGTCCACCTACGAGTGCACCATAAGCTATGTTTGGGTTTGGTTTGGTCGAGTTAAAATACTTGAACCCATCTAAGCATCCTGTGGTTGCATCTGCAGGAATCGAAGCCCCTCTATGATGCACGAACTCCGGATATTTGTCTCCATAACCAACCACGAAGCTCATTCCCATTGGGTTCTTCCCCAGCATGTAATCAGCCTGGATGAAGATACTATATATAGTAAGTCTCCTTTAAGTTGTTCATTTGTTTCTGTATAGATTTGTTGTTTTTACCTGTGATTTGGCGAAATCTCTGAGCTCTGTTGCTTTGAAGATTTTCCCATCACAAGATATCTTATGGATACGGGAAGAAAGCATGTAATCACTGAAAAGCGAGGCTAAGAATGCTGCAGAGACCGATTGTTGCAGCGAGTTCCATTCACTGACCCATACAAGACCACCTATTGAAGAAGAGGTTTTTAAATAAGGTCGAAGCTTTACACGAAACAGAGTAAAAGAGACTTTTCTGTTTCTATGCAATACTAAAGTGAAATTAGTTACCGTTTGTTCTACTAGCTGTAGCTGTTGGAGATTTTGGTAGAACCCCGCACATGACAGCTTTAGCTGTATCCCTGTAACTTTTGAGTCCCTTGCTTCCTGATAAATCCTTTTTAAAGAATAGTAACCTTGATAATAGTACCTGCAATGATTAGGAAGCATAAATGTTATCCGAGAAGCTAAAAAACAGAAATATACTTGAAGAACAGTTTCTCTCTTCTTCCAATCTGACCTGTGTTCCTGCAAGCTTGTTGTCCCAACTAAACCAAGTTGGGTTTCCAAAACTAGCAAATTCGTTTCCATGTTTAGACACATAGTCGAGGTAAGTCTTGTCCTCGGTTGCGTGGTACAACCAGCTAGCTGCCCATAGAAGCTCGTCCCCATAACCAGTCGAGTTGTAATACGTCTGAACCTCTGGTATGTTAAAACTGTAAGAGCCTCGTTTAGTGTCTGCGAAATCGAACAACTGCTTTGCGTGTTTCAGAAGCGTAGCTGAATACTGAGGGTCGCTTTCCTTGAACACTAAAGATGCTGAAGCCATGGCTGCAGCAGTTTCTGCAGCAACCTCAGTCCCTGGAGTCTCTGCATCGATTTTAATGAGTGGTCTCTTCCCTGTCATGGTCTCTGGTCTCTCCCAGCATTTATGATCCACTTTTGGATCTCCCACCTACATCAAAGATAACCAATCATCAGCAATACTAACAAGTCAGAATCTTTGCATACAAAAACGTTTGCAAACCACATCATCTCCTAGTTCTAAGCTAAGAACCTGGATGTAGAGCACATCATCAGAAGGGTGAGCTTTGATAAAGAAGTCGGTGGTCCATCTAAGAGATTCTTTAGCAGGATCCAATTGGTTGACTACTTCCATTTGATCACCATACTCAAGAATCGACCATGACAAAACAGTGGCAGTGAAAGCCATTGGGAAACCAAACTTAATATGATCCCCAGCGTCATATAGTCCTTTGGAGAGATCCAGATTCGCTTCACTTCCATCTTTGAGACCCGAATCTCCTCTCCAAGATAACTTGTTCTTCTCCAATTTCCCAGCTGCATCAAACATTAAACAAAAAAAAAAGCAATCAAAATCACAAGAAAAGTTTGCTTATCGAATATTTGACTTGAAGTCAGCTGAGAATGAATTAGAAACCTCAAATCTGGAGCTTAAAACAGGTAACGAAAAAAAAAGAAAGTGAAGGAGAATTGATTACATTTCTGGATATCGAAGAACTGCAAGGCGATCTTGAGAGCATCAGCGTATTTCTTATCAATGGCGCCGGGAGGTCCAGGTACGGGACCGGCTCCGTCGTCGTCGGATTTCTTCATTCTCGATTTGACCGTGTAAACGACGGCGAGCACAACAGCAGCCAATACAATAATCGCGATTAACCAACCGCACCAACCTCTCGACTTCGATTTCTCCCCCATTTTAAATTTTTTTTTTTTTTTGAAGTCTGCAAGTAGAAAGAAGAAAAACCACAAGAGCTCGTTTAGATCCGAGTCAATGCAACTGCATTCGCCGGTCAGAGGAGAGCAATTAGCTCACTGGATCTAAGATTCCGGAGATAGAATCGTGTGATGAAGATCGAGGAGATGAAGAGCGATAGGCTAATTCCAAAGGAAGGTGGAGAGAGGAGTCACTAACACTAGTTCAATCCAGTGGTTAATGTCGGTGGAGTATCAAGCGGGATTTCTTAGATCTGTTTATTTTTTTCTCCACCTCTTTTGGACATTTCCTTTACTGTATTTATTTTTCTTCGTTTTTGTTTTTTATATTATTTATATATAGCTTTCATATGCAATGACATTAAAACCCCTTCCCGGGAAAGGAAGCAGTTGGGCCGAGTCCAAATCCAGTACAGTGTCACATCGCTGATCGCTGGGTAAAGCATTGCTGACCAGTATAAATTTATTACAACATTCAATCGCATTTTATTCAAGAATTTTTTTTATATAAAAATCTTGTTTAAAATTAGAAGCAACGAGTTCTTAATAGCAAGAAGAGAAAATAACTAACTATACTCGAATCGTCCAACAAAAAAACTAGACTATATGTTCTAACAGTGGACTTACTAGTTTGGGAAACCAAATCAATGAATCAATAACCCCACTTATGTTAGTTTATTAGGGGGAAACAAATTAATAAAAACAAACCGATTATGGAATTATTGGGCCTAGACTTTTACGGCCCGTTGAAATACAGTCCACAACCCAAGCGATTCGTGAGGAAACGCGCCAACTCCGGAGAATCCCCAAATCCGAATTTTGTTTCCAATCCCTAGAGATTCCAGTTTCCCCCGTCGGGATCCATGGAGGGCTTATCCTAACCTAATTTCATCTCCTACATTTCTCTAGGTTAATCTTTCACAAGCTACTAATGTTCCATACTTCCGTTTATTTCTTTTATCTTTTCCATCGCTTCTGAATCTCCGTGGGTTTAATGTCCGATCATGCGTAATCGTAATTGTCAATGAATTTGAATGAGGAAGGAAACGATTCCGCGTTGATGTTTCGTGGTTTCTAAATTCTAAGAATTCCGATGAATCTCTTTTCAATTTCTAGCTCAGACCGAAAAGGATGATCATACACACACACACACACACACTAAGCTAATCTGCATCTTCTGAGAAAATTTCAGATATTGTATTTTCATTCATAAATGCTCAAAAAGCAGATTGGTGTTACGTCATCTTCTTAATCTGTAGTGTCCGGTGTAGTTGAATCGCAGACGGTGATGGATACTGAAGCTACTCAACAAGGAAAGCAAGAGCGGTCATCAAGAAAGAGATGGACTCCTACACTAGACAAGGTTTTAGCTGACTTGGTTGTTAAACAGATCCAGTCAGGAAACAGGCAGAACAATGTTTTCGACAGGAAAACATGGAATAACATAAGGACTGAGTTCAACGAGCAGACGGAACTCAACTACAACAACAATCAGTTGAGGAAACATCTGGCTGTTCTGAGGCAACGCTATGACTCTTTGAGATCTTCTAATGCTCAGAACGAGTTTGTTATGGAAGATACTCGATGTATCTTGGGTCTTGATTTGTGGGAAGATTTCGGTGTAAGCCTCTATATATTTCTTGTTTAGATAGTCGAACAATTGTTTCGTTTTTTTACTTCCAAAAAAAAAAATGCTGGTGTTCACTTATGGTCACAGGTACAGCCTAGGAGTGAACTGGTTAAAGTCAATCACTGCCTTATCTATGAGCAGCTTTGCACTATATTTGGTGATGATTCCGCTGAGGGTAAATATGCTCAGTCAAGTCACTTTGAGGGACTAGAAGAATCCATGGCAAATCAGAACTCAGGTTTGTTCACATCTCCTACCAAAAGGGACAAAATTTCGTCGGAGAGAAAAAGGAAGAGAGAACCGGATTCAAAGACTTGTTTGGCTCCGAGTCAGATTGATACAGCAGCACTGGAAACCATGGGAGGTGCTTTGTCAGATATGTTGACTTCTATGAGGTCAAGGATTGCTGATTTGAAAACGCCAGATGACAGATATAGTATCACAAACTGCATCAATGCGCTTGACGAGATGGAGAACGTGGATGATGGTGTCTACTTTGCAGCTTTAGACCTTTTTGAGAATCCTGGTCTTAGAGAGACCTTTATTTCCCTTAAAGCTAACAAGTTACGCTTGACTTGGTTGCAAGTTAAGTGCAGGAAACTCTCTCCTTCAGTTGCACAGCTAGGTTGATTTCAAGCTATCGTAATATATATATATATAGCTAATCGTTGTTTCAAGTAAACTAATAGATTTGGCCTTTTGTATAAATTTTTTTTGGTTGCTGATGATAAATAGTTCAGGAGGAAAATAGATAGTGTCAGTTTTAAGATGAAGATACATTATGTTTGTGTCATGTTTGTTCATTACAAGAAAAGAAACATTTGATTGAACTGTCGTTTGTTTTTCTTTCAACTGTTACAATATCCAGGTCATGGTTTCTCACATGTTTGGTGAACAAAAAACAGTATTGTACAAATGTAGACACACAATGAAGAAACGTGAGAGGGGAGAAATAGAGACTCTTGGATCTGGTTCTCTAGTGCAAGATAATTTAGTCATCGTCCTTGAACTCCCTGAGCAGAAGAAAAAAAAAAGAAGAACAGAAGAGCTGTGTAAGTATCTCTGCAAAGTGCAAAAACAGAGGTTGTCTCTTTCAGGTAATCTGATTGACAAAAGTATCGTGTACCTGCGATCAAGGTATCGAGGTTGAACACCAGAGCCTTGACAAGTAGTGCAGGTTAAGGAACCAGCACCATCACAGTTGATGCAGCTCGACACTTCCTTCTCTCCCCCACCAAGCTCTACGGTCACATTACCACTTCCAACACACAATCTACATTTCTCTGCTCCACCAAAAAAAAAAACATTTTCTTCAGACCATAATGTTCTTATATAGTCTCTAAACATTATTATTAACAGTTTGCTCTTACACAGTTCCCACAAATTCCCATCAAAATGCTTAAAAAACAAAACTTTGAAAGAGAGAGAGAGAATCGATTCACATACGAGCTCCGGTTCCATTGCAGGGAAAACAAGCTTGGGTATTCTCTCGCTTAGCCTACGATGATAAACACGTTACAGTTTAACTACATTTCACACCAATGTACCAACTCAGAAGCTGTAACTTTCAAGATTCCGGTTTGTTTAAGCTTATGGGTATTTCGATACTCAATTTGGAAATAACTCCAATAAGAACCGATTTAACTAAACAGAGGCATGAATTTGAATATATAATCACTTTTACATTGAAAAAGGAATATGAAGACTCACGGCATTGTCGATTTGTGTCTCGTAGAACACAGGGATTCCGATTCCTAATGCGACGCTCGCTAATCCAACAGAGATTGCGACTACCTAATAACGAAAAACCAAAATATCTGATAATCACTTGAAACACAAGAGTGAGAGCAAAGTAGATAAAAGCTAGCGATCAGGATCGAACCGTGTTGGTATCGACTTCTGCTTTGATTCGGGGATAAGAAGTTGCCGGCGACCGGAGGTTTCTCGCCGAGAGAAAACGGGAAGAAGACGGAGTGAAATTGATGGGACGGTGAATGAATGGAGATTGAAGACGAGGCGGAGACGGAGCTGATACTGGCATTTTCGCCTTTGTTGGTGCGTGAAGAGAATCCGCGTAAGCGCGCGAAGATGATGACAAAGAAGAACCAGTGGTTGGTTATTGGAGATGGTTTCTGGGTTTTTGGGTTGATCTCAGCCACTAGATTAGTCACTGCGGCTTAGATTTGTTCACGTGGCTTTATTCTATTTAAGAAAGGATTTTTCTCTTTTCTTAAATCTTTTTATATCGCCTTATCCGGTTTTTTATAGTTGCAGAAACCTAAACCATAATGATGATGATGATTTTGAACCGAGATTGGAGAACGGTGCAAAGAGATACGGTACACCCGGTCAAAAGTAGAAGATCGTGACCGTCCAACACTGATCCAACGGCCAATAACCTCTCAAAGTCGTGGTTTATTGACTAATTAAAAAACCGGCACTGTTTCAAGTTACAACTCTCAAGTAGAGAACAAAATATTTTTGAAAAAAGGATTCGCAAGTCACAATCAGATACGAAATACCGTTTGCTTTGCTTTTCTCCAGAATTTTGTTTGTCCTTTTCCCTCTCTCTCTCTCTGTTTCTCTCTCTCTCTCCCATTCGCCGCCGAGAGAACGTAATTGTCGGATTCTTATCTCGTTCGTTCTCCGGCGATTCATTCGAGAACTCGAAAGCATCCTCGACGGTTTCTCTCTGTAGTACGTGTCCGTTTGATATAACCGTATCATAAGGTATGTTGTTTCTTCTCTGTATTCGTATTATGGAAGATCGTTTTGGTCAGTGATTTGTGCTTCAATCGTATAGTTCCATGTTTTCAATCTCTGTGGACCTGTTTTATGATATTCGGTTTTTGTTGGTCTCGTTATCTACTATTGATTATCTTCGAGTTTAGTTTTGATTTTATTTCGGAGACCGTGATGGCTTATTGTAATAACTTTTTAGCCAAAAGTTTGCTCAATCCTTGTGTATTGTTTGAATGTGAATGTGAATGATATAGTTACTGTGTTAAAATGACTTGTCGTGATTCAGTTATTGTTTGTAGTTGAGAGCAGAATGATTGTCAAACGACATGAGTATCATTAATATCTGACTGCAATTGTTGCAGAAATCTTATATATATACAATCTATTTACCACTACTCCACTAGAGTTGGATTGCCATTGATTGTAACTTGTAAGATCATTGATCATTGATTTGTTGTTATAAATTCAGATCTTTCACGGGTTGTATTTGGAATTTGGTTGTGAATGTAACATATAACTAGGTGGCTTTTAAGTCTATGAGCTTATATTTTTCCTAATGTAATACATTTTCAGTTATCAACCAAATTGCTTAGGGTAAATCATCCGCTTCTTTACAATATGAATCGTGGTTTGAGATTTGAACCAAACAAAAAAAAAAAAAGATTTGTGACTTGAGAACTTAATTTCGTTTTTCTATGTTTTTCAGGTGATCACAATGATTGGATCGCTTCTGACAAGAGTGCTTTTGTAAGCTTCTTAATAACCCTGATCTCTTCTTTTTGGGTTCCTAACACATATATAGTTGTTGAAACTAACTAACTTATGAACCTTTTAAATTGTTGACAGAATGGTGTTTGGATATGTATATCCTGCTTATGAGTGCTTCAAAACGGTCGAACAGAACAAACCTGAGATTCAACAGCTCCAATTCTGGTGCCAATACTGGTAAGTAACATGATGAGTTTCTCATGCATTCTTTTCTTGAGCGGTCTGCCTTTGAGGTTTCTAAATCTTTGCTTCCTCTCAAATTAAACTCTTCTTGCAGGATTCTTGTTGCTGCTTTGACAGTTTTTGAAAGAGTTGGTGATGCTCTGATTTCATGGTAGGTTGTTATTGATCTTTGGTGCTTACTTAGTACTGTATATGTTGTATTCTTATTTGTTTTTCTTTCATGGTTTCTTTCAAGGTTACCAATGTATAGCGAGGCGAAGTTGGCATTCTTCATTTATCTCTGGCTTCCAAATACCAAAGTAAGTCATACATCTTTTCATTTTCTGATTCCACCGGCCTTGTATATAACTATGTTTCCTCTCTGTCGACCAATTCAGGGAACTACATATGTTTACGACTCTTTCTTCAAGCCGTATGTCTCAAAGCATGAAAATGAAATTGACCGCAACTTGGTTGAGCTAAAGACTAGAGCTGGAGATGTGGCAATGATTTATATGCAAAAAGCAATCAACCATGGCCAGACACGATTCTTTGAGATCTTACAGTATATAACAGAACAATCAACACCGAAACCTCAGTCTAAGGTAAAATTTATACGGTACCACATTCATTTTCTGTATGCATAATACTTGTTTCTTGCGAGTGAGTTACGGTGATAAAAAAAAAACTTACCTCTGTTTATCATTAATCTAATAACAGGAAAAGAAGGAGACAACAACAGCTGAACTTGACCATGCAAAAGTTAACGACGACGCAAAAAAAGCGGCTAACTGAGATACGAAGAAACGGTAAAAGGCTAACTCGTCTAAGATCATCTTCGTTGATTCAACTTTCATTCTTTTATTAGTCTCACTGCTTGGTATAAAACAAAATCTTATATGGTTGGTTTCAGTTTCATGATGTAAATCGCTTTCGGAAAATAATAATAATAAAGTAGCTTTTCCTGGTGTGACTTTAGAAACAGAAACAGAAACAGAATGAACCTTCATTGAATTTGAAGATTCATTTTGGGCCTAAACCCCAAATCTTTTTCCAGACGTTTACCGTTGGCCCAATCTCTTTCGGCCCATGCCTCCATGGTCGATCTTTTTTATTTTAGAATTTAGAGAAATTTAATTTGGTCAGTGTGAATATAACTCTTTGCAATTTGCACCAACAGAAGAAGAAGATAAAACAATTTGACGTCAAAAAAATAAAGAAAAGATAAAAACACTATATAAAGCAATATAACAAACAATGAAAGTGAATAAAAGTAAATAACAAGGGTCCTAAAAATAATACATAACAACAGGACCACACGGTTACAACTTACAAGCTGTGCCATATCATCATTGTGTGGGAAAACAGTCAAACATATCAATATTTGATATTTCGTAATTCGTATTGTATTGTAGGTACAAGTAACCAAATTAACCGATAATAGACCAAAAAATATATAAAAATCACAAAGTAATGAGTAGTCGAAATACCAATAATTGAAGAAGGGTGTAAACGAATGATAGATGAATCCACTATAAAGGTTAAGGACCATTTTTTGAATGATAGTTGTTGTATATCTATCTACTCAATAAATTGCATTTATTGATATGAATCCTTATTGTATAGCCCAGTGTGAAACTAAAGAGTGTCAGGAAGAACCTCTTCTCTTTTCACCACTTTGTGTTGATTCTCTCTGAGCTAACATGATTCGATTTCCCCAATCTGGACTTTCCCTCTAACTAAATTAGCATACCAACAAAAATAATTAAATTTATAGGATTTAGGTAGTAAACTCCAAACCGGGCTTGTTTTATCACATATTATTTTCAACTGGTTACTTGATTATAGAACGAGTGAGCAAAAAGAAATACATTGCAGTTGTTACGCGTTTTTTAGTATTAAAATAGATTGGACGCTTTCATGTCACACATGATAAGAGTAATAGAGTATAGTAGTACCTTTGAAGGTGATGCAAAACAGTATCAGTCTAACAGATATAAGCAATATTTTTTTTAGGAAAAATCACTTAACAACTTACAACTATTTAACTATTTAAAAAACAAAAACAATAAGGGTTGCATAAAAGTGGTTTAAGACGAGGGATTTAATTATTCGAATGGTTGATATGATTATGTACGTTTATGTCTCAATTTTTGTTGGGTGGGAGATGTAATTCAATTACAAAACGGTATCAGAATCATCAGATGCGGGACATAATTGTCTCTTTTTTTTTGTTCAAAAATTGTCTCTATTCTTTTACATTTATTTGAACTGTTTGGCCAAAACCTTCAAAATCCGAAATCACACGTGCGCTTTATAACATCGTAAACGAATACATTATTTACTGTATCCCTTTTTATCTAGAGATACAGTATCTTCTTTTGTTTTGTCACAGAAATATTTTAAATTTTACAAATTAAGAAAAATAAAAGCTGAGAAAAATTCTTTGAAATATGTCCATAATTTTGTATATTCAAAATATTGTGTATGAAGCTCACACACACTCTCTCTCTCTCTGTCGGTGTTTTAAAACTCTTCTATGTTTCGTGGCTATATATTTAATGCATATTAAAAGCACGTGAAATTATAGAAATTGGGAATTGGAAGGGTTCTCTTTACTGCAATACAAGATGGGTAATACTAATATAAAACTTATGTCAATTTTGAAGTTATAAATGGGAAAATTTATTAACCAAAGACCAATCTTAAGAAGCCACGTGCTTATCAGAGATTCTTTAACATTTAGGAGGATTAAATTATCTGTCAGTCGAATAAATTCCATTGTCACCGGAGTAACAATTATTTTAAATGCTATGTGTACGTAACACAATTACTTTACTTTTAGAGCTTGGTTTTGAAATTCAAACTGATTAATAACACAAACACATTCTCAAGATCTCGCGCTTCTTTTTCTTCTCTGTCGAAACGAAACCTATATAAATTATAAAATGAAATTGTTAACAAAAATTAAAACGAAATGACTTTATAATAATCTCTGATGATTTCTATAACTAAGATTATTATTAGAGTGCAAACAAAAGAGAGGGACAAATGTGGAACACGACAAGTGAGAAGGCCAAAGCGACTGCGTGATAAATCCAAGTATTGCGGCGAATGTGAAGGCCTTAGATTTTTACATCCGTCAACGGTCAACCCTAAACCGTTTTTGCGACGATTGTTAATGAATGATTAATACAATTACTTAAATTGATGTGTTATACGCTTAAATGTGAATACCACAAACTATAAAACAAGCAAGCTGAGTTCATTCACATGATGAAGACATTATGTTCTGAAATTCTCAATCATCATATAACATTATTATATTTTTTTTGGCGCATTAAACTTTTTAATGAAAATCAGTATAGTAATAAAGGAATTGCCCCATACTTTTTACACTAACTTAATACTATTTACGCTAGTGAGATTAATTTCTGACACCCCTAACTTTTTTACTTGGAGAAGAAGTCGTCTATATGTTTAACCCAAAATCAATATCTTGCTAACATAAACGAACAAATTACAAATTTTTAAAAAAATATATAGATAGTGAATTTATACCAAAGAATAGAAGAAGTAAAATTAAATGTAGCAGATGTTATTAATTTGTAGGCAATTAAGACAGTAAAGACATTGAAAATTCAACTCGAGACAAATAGAACATTTGGAATCCGTAATCACAGTTTCAAATACGAAGTTTCCAAAGACTTTGTCTGGTGTTTAACGTATAATCTTGATCTGTTAAAACAATTGTTTTGACCATACATCCAAAACATTATTTTAGCATGATTATATATTTTTGATGTACTAAACCATTTCTTTATTATGGCTTACATAGATGATATTTAAAACAAAAAATCTATATATAAACATAACCTTATTTATTTCTTTGATTTATCAAACTGTTCGTGATAGCAAATTTTGGGTTTTTAGTGTACAGTAGCGTCTATTGACAATTAGATCCCATTCACAAACTTAAGTATAATATTCAAACAATATAAAATATTTAAAAAGTCGAGATACTTGCGTCGCATTTTATTGTTGCGATTCGACCAATTGAAGCTTTACTAACGTTGACCAAGTCAGCCCTGAAGAAGGTCAACCCGTAATGGAAGATTAATATCTGAAGCAGTTAAAGCACATATATAAGCCAACCAAGTTCGTCCAGAAATAATTAATATCAAGATCTTCTAACTAATTCATCGTTACTAAAAAGGAATTTGGTATCCAAAATACACTGTTCTTTCTTTTGGGGAAAATATATACTAATTTACTGCTTCTCAACTAACAAAGCAGCAACCAAATGCCAAAATTAATTGGAAAGATTTTTTGTTTTCTCTGACAAAACAAGATATCTGAATGTAGTCTAGTACTAGTAAATAACTATTTCAATTAAAAAGCTTTTTTCTGTATTAAAATCTTATTCTGATTTAAGAAACGAAATGAATTAATGGGAAGGGTAAGAAAGTAAAACGGTAAATTAAAGAATTAAAGAAAGATAGAGCCCACATCACTTTAATCTCCCTTAGTTTTCCCTCCTTATTACCCCATCTTGGATCCATCTTCGATTTCAACACCTACAAAAAAAAGCTTATGATTAAAGAACCAAAAAGAAACAAAATAAAAAAGCTTACAACAAACTCTCATATTCTCAAGAACTTCTCTTTCAATTTCAATGGCTTTACTAACTTTCTTGCCGGAAAACGCAGAGCCTCCAAAACAAACCCCACCGCCGAGCAAACGCAAGAAACGCGAGAACCCCACCGACCAAACGCAGCCGCAAAAACCACGCAAACCGCAGAAACCGAAGAAACCAGCACCTCAGAAGCAACCGTCTTCATGGGACCAAATCAAGAACCTATTGACTTGCAAGCAAATCGAAGGGTCAAGAGTCCACGATCCATCCAAGAACTCTCAATCTGGCCCGTCCATGACGACTCACTTATCTCCTTCCAAGCTCAGCTCGTCGTGTAGCTCCATCTGTAGTTTCAGAGACGTGGCACACGGAAACACTCGCGTGGTTCATAGAGCCGACCACTCTCCAGACGTAGCTAACTCGGCTACTCCTGCTGACTCGGAGACTCGTCTTCTGACTCGGAAACCTGGTCAACACGGTTCTTCTTCATCATCTCGGTCTCTTATATCTGGCTCAGCGAGATCGAATGGCAGCGGAAGTTACACGTCATCCTCAACGACGTCGTTTAGAGCCATGCAGTTCCGGAAACTCTCCGGATGTTACGAATGTCACATGATCGTTGACCCTAGCAGGTAATTACAAAACTTAATGAATGCTAAGAAAATAAAATTAGCTGTAATTATATTTCTGTAAATTCAGTTTTTTTTTCTTTTTTGAATTTTAGGTATCCGATTTCGCCTAGGGTTTGTGCTTGTTCCCAATGTGGAGAAGTTTTTCCGAAGCTTGAAAGCTTGGAGCTTCATCAAGCGGTTCGTCACGCAGGTAAGGTTTTGTTTTTGGTTAAAAGTTGTTTGACTTTAGGGTTTAGCTCAAATTATTTAATTGTGCTACAATTTGGTGTGTGTGGTCACGTTTTTAAAGTTAACCCTAGTACTAAGAAGACCTTATTTTCTTTATCTAGTGTCATTTTGCAAACACAAATTTCTTGGTAAAGTAAAGTCTTGAAAGATTATATTTTGCATATATCCCTTGAAATTTGTTTAAGATCTAATTTAGTCCAAAATAATGACTTGTGAATGATTTACTTGTTTAGCATTTTGATTGAATAACTAGCACTAACACATGGTTTTTGGTGAATACACACTTGGATTTATCGATAGATTTACCATAATGTACTAAGCAATAATTAGCGAGCTTGTTTTCATTTTTTCATAGCGTAGACACTAATTTTTAATCAAGATCTCAATGTTATTGTCGGTGATAATATCTATCAAATAAAATTAGCCAAGATTTGGCATTATGTTCTAGTTTGCTACTAGAATAGAATAGAAACTCACATAACGCATTTTCAAAGAAAAATACAAAATAGAAGAGGAATATTAATCTGAGAACAAATATGTTCTACAGTGTCCATATCTGTCATTTTTGCTTTGGAAACACTTCGGTGCGATGGGACCATTTGTACTAAAAAAACGAACAGCTGTCACAGTTCTTAACTAAATTCAATGTCCCCTGATATTATTACGTGTCAGTTTCCTACTCGTCAGTACCAGAATTAAAACCCCCACCTGACAAACCGAATTAAAACTCCAGAATTTTGTTTTCTTCCTTTGTTTTCCCTGAATTAAGAGCAAAAACGTTGTCGTTTTATTACTTTTGCAGTTTCGGAGTTAGGTCCGGAAGATTCGGGTCGAAACATAGTGGAGATCATATTCAAGTCAAGCTGGCTTAAAAAAGATAGTCCGATCTGCAAGATCGAACGGATATTAAAAGTCCACAACACTCAACGCACGATCCAACGGTTCGAAGACTGCCGAGACGCAGTGAAGGCGCGTGCACTTCAAACAACCAGAAAAGACGCTCGTTGTGCCGCCGACGGCAACGAGCTCCTCCGTTTTCACTGCACCACTCTCACTTGCTCTCTCGGCTCTCGTGGCTCCTCTTCTCTCTGCTCTAATCTCCCTACTTGCGGCGTCTGCAACGTGATTCGTCACGGCTTTCAAGGAAAATCCGGCGCCGGAGGAGCCACCGGCGGCGTGAGGACGACGGCGAGCAGTGGAAGAGCAGATGATTTGCTGAGGTGTAGCGACGATGCGAGGAGAGTGATGCTTGTGTGCCGTGTGATCGCTGGGAGAGTTAAGCGTGTCGATTTACCGGCGGATTCTCCGGCCACGGAACAGAAGTCTCCGGCGGAGGATAATTTAGCGGTTGGAGTTTCTTCGAGTAGCGGTGCGTTTGACTCGGTGGCTGTCAACGCCGGCGTTTATTCGAATCTGGAGGAGCTGGTGGTTTATAACCCGAGAGCTATATTACCTTGCTTCGTGGTTATTTACAAAGTTTTAGAATCTTAAATTTGTAATGTTAACTTTCAGAAATAATGTTTTATTTTTTGTAGCACTTCTAACTTTTTTAATATCATAGGGAGATTAGTTCAATCATCATCATCTCCGATTTTAACTTGCATCACATAAATCCCATCGTATTATCGACTAATTTAGTGTAATTAGGAGGCGAGGCTAATTATTGTTGTTGATATGATGATTAGGTTAAGAATGCTTCATGGTTAAAGGTGAAGTTAATTTGTAATTGTCTCTCGTTTTGTTTTCTCTCAGTTTTTGGGCTTTTCGACAGGTAAATTTTTATTTTGACCACAGTAACTTTTGTAGGTGTTTTCACACTGGGTGGGCATCAAATAGTGTGGGAGTGGCAGAGGTGATATAATTGCTACCACATGCGTATTCAGTAAATTGTTTTGTTCTCCCGAGTTCTTTTTCGTATTTTATTTTCTAGGGAAAGCTGATTTGTTTTTCATAACCAGGCAAAGCTGTTTTTATATTTAAAGAAATCTTTTTTTTTTGGGTATTGCATGATTTTAATTTAGTAGTTTCCAGATAAGTTCAAAAACAACCCATAAATAATAAAGCGTTTGCACGCTGAGAGGGAGCCATTGGAACTTTCCTCGTTGTCAGAAGTTGCTACATTGTTTATTTGGTAATCACTCCATTCTTCTTGAAGTTGCAAATAAAATCAGAGCCATTTTTAATTATTCAAGTGTTTGTAACAAATATGTGGTGAACATAGGTTTAAAATCAAAAAGTTATTAAAAATATGGATCTAAAGCTGCCTTTTAATGGCGAAATTGAAAAAGAAAAAAAAATCTGCTGCTGGAAGTCGAACATGGATTTCAAAGGACTGTCGACAGTTGAACACAGATTTCAACCTTTTGACACTAACCTTTGTGCTACAACGGTTTTGATTATTTTTGAGCAAAATAACATTGGATCTCTTCATTAGATGTAAACTCAATGAGTTTTCAAAACTTGTTACATTTAGCACATTAATTATTTATAGACAGTCAAGTGACTGATAATATCAAAACTGATCAAGAACAAGTTAATAAAACTCACTTTTATTAAACTTTAGGAAACTCTCTCAAAACCTAAAGATCCAAAACTCAAACTTGTAAGTTATGCCACACATTGGCATCTCCTAATATAGATGTTTAGATTACTCCTAAACCTAAAGGGATAAGGTAATTAGATAACTCCTAATTTCCTTTTCTCTAATCCTAACACTTTTAGGAAATATAACTTATCTCAAAAGAAGAATCTAGAAGCTTGCTCCTTAAGCTTCTTTCAAGCTTACTCCAACAACTGAATCCTGAAATACAAATCCTCTACCCTTATTGATAGACCAGCTAAAACGACAGGATAAAAACTAAACTAAACAGTCTGCCTTCAAAAGTTAAATTGGCTTATTTTCAAAAGATAAGATATAAAATATAAAATGGGCTTTATAAATACTAAGATGGCCCAAATAAGAAGGCTGCTCTCCAAAGAGGAATCTGGCCATCATCGTCCTTGGAGTTGGTGTTTGATTACAGTAGCCAAGCCGAGTTCTAACAAGAAAGAAGCGATTCTGTGCTCATGCGAAGAAGAGATCACGGCAGTGAGTGCATATCATGTCTTTGATTATCTCAACAGTTATGAAATTGACGTTATGCTGCAGCGGAATTTAATTGCTTTTAAGCCAAGTAACATTTTATATATTTATTACATGGAGCTTGTTACACTTGGTCCTTAATTACCTTAGAGAAACTTTGAGCCGAAAACTGTTGTGCTATTTACACGAACCTTGATTTCAGATTCAAAGGTCTTGAATCGATGAATTAGACCTAGTAATCTTTTGTTGCTATATACTTTAAAATCATAAATGTATACACCAATTGAATCAGTCTTATAAAATTCTTTGATATAATTAGATTTCGACGAAATTGAAATATTGAGTTGTTTACGTGTTATCCAGGTGGTTTAGTTTTTACTTAAAGGTAGAATTAAAGCAGAAGACATAATCATAACCGTCATAAAACCTTAAATTATAAAAAGGATCTAAATCCAATAATCATTTCACCAAAAGCCTCTAATTCTTCTATATATATGCTCTGTCCATGTCGACTCCTCTTTAATTTATTTCCTTAAATTATCTGCTTTTTCTATGTACATTGCCTACTTTAAATAAATAAAAAACTCTTTGTTTTGTTCTACGAATAATGTTTTTGAAGCTAAATGACTAAATGTTGCTTACTGGTCCCAAATTTGATTGTGCCCTATAACGAGGTCAAAGTCAAGTGTAAATGCAGGACCACAAAACTCTTCCCGAATGTAATCACTAATTACAGCTTTAATTATGCATTAATTATAAGGCAAATGAACCTATGATTAATCGTACGTTGTTGATCAGTTCCTTGGTTCGTTTTTTTCTATATGTTTATTGGAAGCTTTAAATACGTAAGAAAACTCCAGTCTTGCTAGGTCCATGTGGTATTAACATTTATAGCAAAAGATACTGATATTGTCTTAGAATGTTGAAGGTACTATCTTTACTCGCATAAATATTCCAGGGTTTTATTTACCATATTTCGTAAATGCAGTCACATTTACACGAAACATTTGAATTGGAGATTCACAATTGGCGTTAGGGAAAGTTAACGAAAATTGAGAATAAGTGAAATAATTTGTAGATTTTTTACAAAAATTTAAATAATGCTAGTTCAGTAGTAATGGTGACAGTGCTTGGATGTCGGAACTAGTTTTGCTCCTCAAGACCTAAAACAGCAAAATGGCTAGTTTTACTCCTGAAGACTTGAAACCTCTAGTCTTTTAAAAACATACTGACAATTAAATTACATTCTGAGTCTACTAGTTAAAAATGGGCCCTACATTTGTTCATAGGATAAACACATCTCAAGAAATTCTTTGGTGTTTTAATCATTGAAACACTCTTCTTCCTGGTTCCCCTCCTTGATGAATCATTACAAATTTACTTAGGGATTTCTTTTCTAAGAAAAAAAAAATGAATACTTCTTTATTGTAATATTAAATCATCAAAACATCTACATACGTAAGAGCTATAGTTTCAGTGTTTCACCATTCCATATACACAAACCCTTACAAGATCCTTCATCGTTAATTAATAAACGATAAGTTTGATAGGATCACCATGAAGCTCTTCCACAGATTCCGAAAGATTCTCATGAGGCTCATTGATCTCACTGTCCCTACCTCCTCCCGCCGGAAGAAGAACTCCGGCAACGGAGAGGGGTTTGAGCCGCCGAAGATCTCGTGCAGTAGTTCATACTACTCGTCTCACGTACACTACAGTGAAGCTATCGCAGATTGCATTGAGTTCTTCAACAAGTCTTCGGCTATATCTTGTGATGAGGATCATGAAGCTCGTCATGTAGACGACCACGGTCGTGTTTGTTTCTACGTTTAATCGACATCTCAAAACTCACGTGTATCCTTTTGCATCAACATTTGATTCGAGGGGTTTGCTTTTATTTTATTTTATTTGAGTTATTTTGATTTTGAGACACTTATATTATGGCAGTTTATAAAAATTATGTCAGTTTATAAATATTATGTCAGTTTATAAATTATGTCCACATCTTTCATGATTATTTTTTTATTTTTTTTTTTGAAACTTCTAGCATTTCATCACTCTCAAACTATCCTTTTGAATAAATTAACAAAATTATAGTTGTCTAGTAGTTAAACGACTTATTTCGGGTTGGAACTTAGACGATCCATATATTTTTACTGTGTTTTATTTTTAGTCATGGTTGACCACTTTAAATGTCGTAAATAATAAAACTAGACGATAAACGATTTATCGCATGTTCTGAAATTACTAAGAAAATAGAAAAATGGATTTGGAATTAGTTTACTACCCAAATTTTGTATGTTTCGCATAAATTTAAAATTCAATCCACATGTAGAATGAATTGACTAAAATGGTCGAATAGTTAATAACTCAGTTTTTAAAAAAAAATAAAAGAAGAGCGGATTGTGACATTACGATACAAACATTCTACTCGAGATATCAAGTTTTTTTCCGAATATAACGAGTATAAATCAAAATATATTCAAGAAAACTTTACGAAGGTCATAGACTCATACATGTGCCATTATTATTTTTAAAAAAAAACACACACACACACACTTACAAGAGAAGAGAAGAAATTTTAGAAACCAAAGCTGTTTCACTGCAAAACCTTTTTCTTTGAGAAAATCCCTCCAATAAACAAAGGGATCAAACTCTTCTTCTTCTTCGTCTTCTTCTTCTGCTCCTTGTTTCTCATCGAAGGGTGTCTCTCGAGAAACATATCCACCACCGACCCGTTATTGCCCGTTGTAGGGTTTGCAAATGTAACGTATCTCTTCTCACTCATCGATCTCAAGCTTGGACTAGTACTTATTGGTTCATCATCAACGTGAGGAACCAACACTTCGAATTTGGTTTTGAAAACTGTCTCATCGATTTTCGTTACGGGTTTCTCAGGATCTACCCTCAGCTTCAGAAGTTCTTGTTTTGTCCTTTCAAGCTCTTCCTTAAGAGAAGACAAAGAGTTTTTCATTTGTATGCTTTCTTCTTTTGCCCTTTTGAGATTGTGTTTTGTCTCTTTAAGCTCTATCTCAACCTTTGCTGGATCTTCCAATTTCTCGCCTTCCATCTGTTTCTTGATCAATGTTATACCACAATCTCGAAATCAAATGATAAAAATAGATATAGTGACTGAGAAAGAATGGGACTTGCCACTTTGAGATGGTTGGAATAAACTTGACTGGCTAAGACTCTCTCGCCGAACAAAGCGACCGCTTCTTTGACTGTTTTAAACGGCGCCGTTGTGTCGATCTCTGCTCTCCTCATCGTCTCAATCATATAGCTGCTTAGTTCTCTGTTAAGAGATACATAAGCTTGCTTATAGCTTGGTGACTTTAGAATAGAGTGGGATATTACGCAAAGCATATTAGTTTCTTCATCTCCACTTCGTCAGAATACTCTTCTTTTTCAATTTTTTTTTAGTATATTTTTATAGTTTTTGGGAGTATATTCGACATATACATGGTGGTTTTTACTGATATATTTGTCATGTCATTGTCTAAATTCAAATTGATAGTTTGCATATGTGAGTTATTGCTAACTAACATAAGAAAAGAGAAAATTGTTTCATAAATATATTTTGTTTTGTCTTTTTTTTTTCTTAATATTATTCATGTCTAGCCCTCATGAAAAAACATGGCTAAAAAAAAAGAAAAAATGTTCCAGATTTTAGTTAAAAATGGAACAAACTAAAAAGTCGAAATATTCCCACCATTACATACCACTTTCCTAAAATTTTAGTATATCATAAAGAAGTAAAGTCGTTTTACATGGAACCGTAAGACCAAAAAAGAAACATTGATAATAGATTGTAGAAATAACTTGCTGCACAAGAAACACAACTTTTGCAATTAAAACATACTTGAAGACATTAAAGAATTTTTTTTTCTCCTGTGAATATCATTTCAGAAACAGGGTCCTAGAGAAAATTTGCCCCTTTTCAGAACTCGTGGATCATTTACATAAAAAGACATTAAAGGGTTTTCTCAAACAAGTGGGATTCAATCATCTTTCACCGACAATGTGTTCATCCCGAATTTCATCACCTGAGAACCACACCTTCTTAAATTCTGCCGAAGACAGAAACAGATCTCCGTTTTTTTTCTCAACCAACTGTATCATCCTTAGAACTAATTTAACCATAACGCAAAGCATCTTCACGACTGCTCGTTGCAGAGTAGTTGCAATGGTGTTCTTGTATCTTCATAGATAAGTGGGAAATGGTGCTCTTGCCTGTTCATCACCGTCCGTGAAGGATTGTTATTGTGATGGCTCATTGACATTGCCATGAGACGATGTTGCTGTTGAGATAGATTGAACCTTGGGGAGGAAGCAACGTGTAGAGATTGAACACTAGTCAGGTTTAAGGAGAGGTTTGGTTTACTGTATTGGCTCGACAATGGCGGCACGGTGTTTCCACTAGTTGGTGGTCTGTACTGAGCAGCCCATAGCCTTTTTTGAAGCTGTTGCTGCTGCTGCTGGTTTGCGTTGTAAGCGGTTTGGAATCGACTGGCTAGATAAGGAGAAATCTGCTGCACCTACAACAAAATGAAAAAATAAAATGTGTGAAGTAAGATATGTCACTAAAACCATTAATTACAAGCAAAACTTTCTTCAGTGAAGAGATAATTTGGGGCATAGCAAAAAACAAAACCTGATGGCTAGAAGTTGCAGGTGAGTGCTGGCTTTTGTAAGCTGTAGAGATAGGATATTGTGGAAATGTGTTTGGAATTGGGAAATGAGATTGTGCTGCTCCAGCAGATGAAAGAGAGAGAAAATTGTAGCTCTGTTCATTTGAAGGGAAAAGAGATTTGGATCAGAGAGGAAACGAGTTAACCGAATCAGAACAATTATGTTGTATATTTACCTGTTTCTGTGAAGAGGTGTGCGGACCATAAAGCTCGAGAGCAAGCTGAGTCATGTCTTCTTGCACGGGTTTTGGATTATGTGTCTTGTGTAAATCGAGCGGATGCGGATATTGATACCTCTGGGATGGAGAAACCATGCTTTTAAAGTCATTAATGGGTGTCACCGGATCAGGGAGTCCACAAGGTTGTAACATTTCTGAAGATCTTTGCTCGATTTGGTTACTTTTACTGGTCTGTAATGCTTTGATGAGTCGGGAAATGTAAACGTGAGAGGCACATTTCTTCAACTTTCTCGGCTGGACTCTCAACGGTTCATTCAAGAGTGAAGCATTTTTGGAAGGAGAAACTGCTTGACCCATCCAAGGTGGAAGCTTTGTAGAAGATGGCCTGATATAAGAAACATCCACATACATATAAGAGAAAAAACAGAGCAGCCATAAAAATGAAATTAACAGACAATTTAAATGTTAGAGTTACTTTGAAAGAACGTGGGAACCACATTGGCTCGTCGAAGATAGGCCAGGCCATAGCGCAAGACCTTTAATAAGCACATTAGTCAGTATTAGGACAATGGTTTATATGTGATGCAAAGTTTGTAAAGTCGGTTTATTTACCGTTGCTCTTATAGTCTGTCTCACTTGTTGCTACCTTTGTTTCAATGGCTCTTGCCTACAAATTTCCAATTGAATCCATTAGCTTAACGAAACTTAACCAAAGAAAGTAAGATTTAGAATGTTGTCGTGTGCTTACATGTGCATCAGCCACATTCACTGAGCCGCTCTGCTTCAGTCTATCGATGAAATCAACCATTCTGTAAAATTATACAGCAAAAAAAAAAAAAATCAACTCAGAGTAAAACCGACAAAACCAAAAGACAAGTTATGCACGGGAATTCGCCACAAACCCTGTTGAGCTCCGCTGTTTATCAAGTTGCTCTAATGGCATATCATCAATCAGCTTAGTTTTGGCTGAAGAGAGAACTGAAACCTCCAGATCAAGAGATACGCCTTTTGTAAAGTCAGCTTCCACAACCAAAGTTGAGTCAACTTTGCTGGTTTCTTTCTCATCAGACAAAGGATCACAAGTCTTCTTATCAATAGAGCTAGTCTCAATAAACATTCCAGCTAAACCGTATAACGTCTCTGCAACTTCTTTCTCATCTTTCGAAATCATCATAGATTCAGGAACAGTAGCTTCTGCTTCCTAACCAAAATAAAAAATTAAAAGAAATCATTAGCTCATGTTTTTTATTTTACTTAACTATCTATCCTACAAAAAAAAAAAATGAAGCCATCATTCAAACCAACCATTTCTTGATTCTCCTTCTTTACGAAATCCATCTTGAAAGATTCATTTCCGGTTTTGGACCGGTTTACTCGCTTTGAAGCAGACGTTAGCTTAGAAACAGATTCAAGATTCCGCTTCTTCATGGCTGCAATTAAAAGTGCACTAAAACAGTTTCTAAACAAGTTGATAGCATTCACAAATGAGAAAAAAAAAGTGAAAAAAAAAGTGTAAAAAAAGGAATTTCAGATTCAAATACGACGTGATAAAGATTAAAGAGAGTTCCAAAATTGATAAAGACAAGCTTTAAAGAAAAGAAAGAACATAAATAATATTATAGTCTTGTTTCGATGAGATGAGACGATCTCTTTTGATTTTATAAGAAGGTAAAAGAACATAAAAGACAAGTAGCAGAATCTTGCGTCCATAAAAAGAAAGTGAGAAAAAAAGCAAAAGAGTTTGCTTGAAAAATAATCCAATATCTCTTCAGATTCAAAGCCGAATGCCATAATCTTCCCAACTACTCAGAAACTGAGTTTTACTGACACTTGCAGATCGCTCTATTATCATTAAAAAAAAAAAAATCTCAAATTTGCGACATAAAATTAAAAAAACATTCGACTTTATTCTATTCTTTATAAAAAAATTTGGTACAGTGAAGTTTCTCATTGGGTCACGAACAACGCACCTGAACGAAGCTTCCGTGGTACAGAGGCATGATTCACACCATTACTATCTTTCCAATTCTAATGATGAGGAGAGAAAGTGAGAGATATAATTAAGGGATTTGTTGTTGTGAGTAAATTTGGTTCCGTATTGATGAAAAACTTACCTTTTTTGGAAGCTTAGATTTCTTCCTAGAGACCTCGTTTTCTAAATCTGAAGCAGGAAAATCGTAAACCATCTCGTGTTTCTTATGGTTCGATTTCTCATCAGCTAAACCCAGTTTCTTCAGCATCCCTTTCTTCGATTTTGTAGCAAACCCAGATCCTAATCCATTGAGATAGGAAAACAGAGCAAACGACGAGGAGTTTTAATATAAAACGACAAAAATAAAAATTGGATTTTTGTTTGTTTGTTGGTTTCTAAAACTCGAAATTTAGATTATTGTTTACCAGATTGTTTCTTGGGAAATCGATTGGTTCCTCCACGTCTCACATCTCGACGACCCATTTCCATTTTTCCGATTTATTACTGTCTTCTTCTTCTTCCTTTCTCACCACTCAAAAATAGAGGTGAAAAAGAAAGACACAGAGGAAACCAACAAAAATCTCACTTCCACATGTCTCTGCAAAAATCCCTTGCGGTTTTCACACTTTGGTTAGATAACACCAAAAAGAAAGAAAAGTAGAAAGACGTTAAAGAAGAGAAAGAAAAAAAAGAGAGGAAAGTTAATAAAAATTGTTTCTCGTGTCTCGAAGAATCAGGTTCTTCGTGAAAGAAAGAAGAGAGAAAAAAGGAAGATTTAAAGGAGGTTAAAAAAAAAAAAGGGAGAATTAAAGGAGGATTTGTACATTCAACCCGTGATAAACCCCGTTGATTTTTTTTTTTTGAAAAAACAAAAGTAACTAAAAAATTGGATATTTTTCAATTTTCATAGTAGTGAAGAAAAACACTGCATTAATGGAGTCACTGTTCTTCAATCTAATCAAACATTGATATGTAACTGACACAAAAGGAAGAAAGAAAAAAAAAACGTATAAGAAAGGTAGTCTTTTTCTATCGCCAACAGTACAAATTATCGAAAAACACAGACGCTGATTCGAGCTTTGATTCATCGGAAGAAAAAAAACCCAGAATTTCAAAAAAAAAATAAAGAGGATGCGAGAGAAAAAAACCTTTGTGGGTCTCTCTTAAAAATCGAGCACTGTCTCTCTCTGATTACAAAATTTTCTCAAAGTTTCCACATTCCGAAGAAAAGACGGATAATCCGAAGCTGTCGCGTCGCTACGATCGCTTTTATAAATGTCACACAAATGACAAAACGCTTTAGTTACTACTCTCTCTCTCTTTCTCTCACTTTGTTTTCGTTTAATCTTCCTCTGTTATCGAACGGTGTGCAATAAAGAAGATAGGATAGGCGTCCGATTATTCAGTGTTTTGCCACGTAATCAATGAGCAGATCGATGTGGCAGACACGTCAGCGTTAAGAGCTGAAAAAATGTACTAGTGCATGGGTTTCCTATGATATGATTTGAATCCGTACTAGTGAATCCCTTTGGATTTGTTTTTTTTTTTTCTTTTTCCGACCAATCGGATTGGATATGCAAAGAAACCAAAAAAAAAAAAATGAATTATTATGATCAACATATACAATTTTGTTTGGTCGCTTCGAAATGTTTGATTTCCCTTTCCCTCTTTTTTAAGAAAATCACCAATTACTCAATTAGTCCAAATCATTCTGAATAATGTTAAGGACCACTACTAATATGTAAAGGATTTTACTGATTACTCTATAACTAATCCAAAAGAAAGTGATATTGCAGAAAAGGTTAAAAAAAATGAAGAAGTGATATTCCGTTGATCTCAAAACAAAAAGTGATATTCATTTAGAGATGGATAAATTAATGAATCATCGGGTTAAGATTCTACAAATATAAAAATGCAAAGATATCAAGACTAGTATATAAAAGACATCGACCATTTAACTCGTAAAACAAAAAAAAATTCAATCGAAGGTCGTAAAATTGTATGTAGAACTGATTTTTATCTATGGTGATCTCAATATATTGTCCAGTACTTTCCATCTAGTGGGGGTGGATAATCATTGACGAATAGACACTAGTGCTGCCTAAACATAATATGTGGTAAGAAAATTGACCTATTACGCAAGATTTCAAAATTCTTGTAATCTCGGACCCAAAACGAAACCACACTAAAATATAATAGTGTTAGTCTGCATAGTCCTTTTTTTCTTATGTCGTAGGCGTGAGGTTTGTTTTCAACCTCTTTCCCTCAGAATTCAACTATTCTGAAAATTAGAAATTCCACCTAAATAGTTAGGAACCTTATACAATTGTCTCGTACATATGTGTTGCTTACACTAGATCGTGTGGCCACATTTGATTTTTTTTTAAACACATCATCTACTTCACTGTTACTGATTGATGGAGTAGAAAACTAGTATCAATGAGTTTTTTAATTACTTTTCTGGAAACATTTATAACCAACCCAATGTATCACAAGTTATGACAACTTCGTAAACAGGGTCCCTCCGTAACTTAAAACGTCTGGTTGTCTTCCATAAATACGAGAGAATGTCCCGGCGTTTTTTTTAATCTCCTCTTCTTAATGACTCGTCCAATCAAAAAACGGCAGGACCCTCCTACTCCTAGTGCTCAAACTAGAAGCGTGTGCGAGAGTGCTAGAGAGAGTATGGGTAATGTTCAAATCGACGGCTATTATTACTTCTCTCAAATTTTATCATTTCGCCACGTCATCGCTCTGAATTCGACAAGTCAGGTGATTTCTCCCAACTGTCTACTGTGTCTACCCAAAACTTTCATTCTTCACTTTTTCGATTTTTTTGTTAGTCAATCCCAACTTTCTTATTGCCCAATTAATTAACTATCAGTTCACTTGGACATTTTAATTGTGTTCTTGAAAAACTGAAATAAATTTCAACTGCATATTTGGGGTGCAAATGATTTAAAACATCATCAAAACTCGTTTGATAGAAATATGTTGAAAGATTTCCGTCATAAAACAACGATAAACAAACAAATATTATGAAATATTTTCAGATTACTTAGTTTTTTTGGTTTGGTTAAAATTTTATAATCATTTGATAACTGTCACAGAGATTTTAATATAAAAGTTATTTACCAACACACCTGACTCTGGGTGTGCAATGTAAAGACCGGTTTTGGAAGAGGGCCCATAATTATGAGTTGAGTGAAAGCCCAATCATATACACCAAGGCTCATATAAAGAACTTTAATTTAGAAGATTATCAGATGAGAAGAGGAGAGAAAACGAAGCCAAAATAACGATTTGTTCGCTTGCTTCCGATGATTGAAAGTTGATATTTCTTCCAAGAGACCTCCACGTGTAGGCGTAGCAAGGATTGGTTTCGTAATGTCCGTAATTTTTTGGTGACACAGACGCAACGCGCACAAAACGTGTTGCACGCTCTCTCGTTATAATTTTGTCGTCAGTCTTGTCTCATTTTTACTCATGAAGGTGAGAGAAAATGTTTTCTATTAACATCGGGGAACCAAACGTTTAATCGAAGTTTACTGTAAATGCGATAATTAAGCTCTCCCAAATTCCAAATCCTCCAACTCTGCATCTCGTTTTCATCAGTCTATTTGTTATTTTTTAAGAATTAATAAAATTACAATTAAATTGAAAATCAAATGCCTCCGTAGCATAGTGGTATTGCGTTCGCTTCGTAAGCGAAAGGCCGCGAGTTCGATCCTCGCCGGGGGCTTGTCCAATTATAATTTGTTTTTTTTTTTGTTTTCTATCTACCAGAAAACCCGCGGCGTTACTACAAAAAGCACTCTTTTTCACAATGTATTATATCACTCATGCTAGATTTACGGCAACTTCACTATCGATTCCTATAACGCTAGTTATGTTTTCGATTATTTTTTTTCCTATATTTCGATCAGACTCTATGGCTACCAAATAAATATCGATGCTGACAAAATCGTCTACAAAATTCGATCTGCGGTCTCGGTCTCCACAAGTTTATGAAATGAAATCCATTATGAGAAGACCACTATATATATATATATATATATCAGCCGGTCCAATACTTATCAAGTTGATTTTAGATATCTAATCATAGAAAAAAGGCGCATCATAACCAATCATTCATAAACAACATAACTTTTTATTACAAACTGAAATAATACAACAGAGATTATTTCACGAATCGAAAAAAAAAAGAAATTCAAAACCAAAAACCTTACAACAAATAGAACACACACGCACAACGACACATACGGCTCTCATGATTTATTCGATCCACAATTATATATGCCAAACAAAAACTAATTAACAAGACGACATCGTATCGAATAGTCGCAGCAAATCATGAGTTTTTTTTTTTTTGTTTGCTTAAGGGCACTTGCGGCGACCACCGTGGGTGGTGAGGCTAGCGTAGCACTCGCACTTGTCGTAGTTTCCGTAAGTGCCAGGTGGCACACAGTTGCACCTGGCGCAGCAAGTCCCGCACGCTCTGTGACAAAGGTTGGGTCTACTTGAGAGCCTGCACCGTGCTACACACGCACTTCCACAATCTACGAGAACAAAACGTTATTGATTTTACTAATTAGAACGTCAGTTTTTTTTTTTTTAATATAAAACTTATTTGGAACATTATGTGTATGTGTGTACATATAATTACCAATTTTACTGCCGTAACCATCCTTTTTGTTTGAGTTTTCCTGAATGAATATTCGAAAAAGATCAAATATTTATGAGAATTATATATACGACAAAAAAAATGTAAACCAATGTTGTACTGATTTTGTGATGAAATCAAACATACCACATCGGCCTGGACGAGTTGTAGAACAAGAAGAGATATGAGAAGGGAAGCAATAAGGGCTTTTGATAAAGCCATAATATTCGAAGGAGATGAATATAAAATATGTGAGAGCTAGCTCAATGAAAGAAAAATTTGTGTGTTTTGAGTTGTTGTGTGTAAATGAGAATTTAGATGCGTCTATTTATAGCCCCTTCTTTCGATGGAAAGCCGACCCCATTTTTTGGTCTAGACTATTCTTTTTTTAGTTTAATTATTTCTTAATATTTTCACTTTTTATGAAACAAATAATTGAAATTGGCTTCCGAGTTTCAGAATTCGATCATGAAACAAATATATAACTCTATACTAAACATAGTCTTCGAAAATAAATAATTTGTAATTAATTTTTTTTGATAACTTATGTTTTCATTATATTTGTCTAATAAATAAAAAAAATTTTGTTTATATTTATTTTTTATGTACAATTTTGTGATTGCTTTAACTAAAAAAGGAGTATAATTCTGTGATAGCTTTACTTCTTTATTTCCTTCAAAATGGGTCGGTTGGTGCGTATAAAAGTTGTGCGTACGCGGAGATGAGAATATTATGGTGGGAGAGAAGTTGTATTATGTGTGGTCTCTTGTTTTAATTTGATCAATGGATTCGGTATAGTTTTTCTCCACCGTATTTATATTATAAAATTATTTGAATTTCGGAAATTTTATGTGAAATTTTGCTATAAAATCCAAAAAATTACTGTGTAACTGTATAGACTTATACGTATATAGCTAAACTTAATTTATTATTGGTTGCCCTTGGGTTTGGTAAGTGATATAAAAATATATATATTTCACTTGAACATTGACTTTTGACTTTCACAGTAATCGTGGTTTTTTTTTTTGACTGTTAATTATATATCGATCAAGTCTTGACGTATACACGGACTGACTACTCGTTCCGGTTTTGAAGTATGTACGCTCTTTCTACGATGTATATAATCTGTGGAAAAAAAGGAACACATTTTTGTTTCCCTTACAATCAAACTTGAATCGAATTTGTGTTTGTTAACTTATAGCAAATAGATTGAGTGAACACCATAAATTTTAGAATGTCCAAAAGTGTTTTTGGTTTTGCGTGGGTGACGTCCATGCCTAATTTTAAGTTTTATTTTGTGTTGTTCTCCGTTGTTTTGGGAATCCATTGCAACTGTTTGAGGAAAATAAGACAAATGGAACAAAAATAAAAATAAAAGGAAAAATAAAATTTAAGAAAATAAAATTGTGAGTAAATTAATGACGAAACAAGGACATAGACTAAACCCAAAAAAAAAGAGGGACTTATTAGAAGAGTTGATGTGGTTATAGACAAGAAGGATGAGGGGATATAGACTTGAGTGGTCCTTTTTGAGAATACTTCATTTCACAGCTTGCACTTCTTCTTATGAGTTATGACCCACTCTTCGTCTATATATATTTCCTCTTTTTCTTTTGTTTTAAATAGATTTCTAGATCAATCTTTATGTTTTGTTTTGAACGTATTATTGGTATTTATGGTCCACTCTTCGTTGTTTTTCTATTTCATTTTTTATTAGTATATTTGCAGAAATGTTTCAACGGAATTCTTGTGATTTAGGTTTACGAATGATGTTCATATATTCTAGACCATGCCTAGGTTCGTAGGAGTCATTAAAAATACAGAGGGCTTCAACACATGAATATATATAAACGCATGAATTAGAATTACCGCTGGTACATAGATGCAACTGACCAGTAGAATTATAAGAATTTAAACGAAATAGAGGCCAAAAAAAATCTCTGAAATATAGTTGATCTGTGTATCGTTGTACCGTTGTAAACTTGTAGTAGCCGGAAAAAATATTACATTTGAAATCTTTTAATGACAAACATATTACATATGTGAATTAAAATTTTAATGATAACATTTACAAAAAGTTTGGTATTTATTTGGTATTTTGTCAACTACTGTATTGTTGAAGTTCGAAATAATATAGATAGAAACACTGGAAAGGAAGAGAAAGTGAGAGGTCACGGATCTTCTGTCTTCTGTGTTTGGTTTTTTCACCAACCTTATCGACTCCAACACCATCCCGCACGCACACTAAACACACATCCTACACAAAGTCTATACTATAGTCCTTTAGTTTGGTAAATGATTAAACAAAAAAATAATTGAGGCACATATATATTTATGCATGGGAATGTCACTTCAATTGTCATCGCTCACACCTTGCTATTCACACGTTCGGTATTCGTCTTTCATTAAACTCTACGATAAGTCAAATATTTGCATCCAACTAGAGACATTTATTTGAGTTTTATCGATATATATTTTTTTTTGGTAAACAGTTTTATCGATATATACTCCCTCGATTTCAAATTAATACTAGATATTTTAGAAAAAAAAATTGTTTCATGAAATATAAGTTTCTTTTTGGATCCAGGATACTGATTAACAATTTATCAACGAAAATCAGATATGGCTCCATTTAATTCATAAACATATCGTGAATTAAGCAGTTAAAATTATAATTAAGGGACAAAAAAACTGGGAATATGAATCATAATTTATAGCATAAAGAAATGAAATACTGGGATGAAATGCAAAACAAGTAAATATCGGACAAGATTAGTTTCCTAAATCGTATTAGTTGTTTGAATATCTTGATCGCCATTCAGAGAATCAAAGGTTAAAGCCTGGCTACCTTAATTGCAATTCATTCAACATTCATTCAAAGATTAAGTCTATCGAAAATACTAGATAATTTTATATGTTTTGAAGAGTGTTTTCAAGAAATCGTCCTCGTGAAGTACGACACATTTTATTAATTAAATTTGAAATTAGTGGTGGCCTTTTATGTTAACGAACATATAAAAAGTAAAACAGATTAAGAAAAAGTGATAGAGAAGTGAGTTCTTAGGACAGCTGTGAAGTGTTGTTATTCACTTAACAGCTATTATATAGCTAATTGCCAACCTGTGATCTCTTTTACTTTCTTTTGTTTCCATCCCTGTCCAATTTATAATAGATACTAGCTAGGGTAGACTAAAGTTTGTAGTAAAATAGTGTGTGTTAGTATTGTTATCGTATGATAATCTAAATATTAAACTCGAAATCGAGTGTAATGAGTTATAATGTGATTTTGCAGATGTATCTAACGAATGAATCGTTAATTACATGTGGAATGGTAGAAACAATTTCAAAAACATTAGGATTTATACAGGATAATATATCAAAAAGAAAAGAATGTGGCGTGTAATTTCATTAACATTTTTCACTCGGTATACATCCAGTATCTGGTAGAATATTAGGTGATATGATTACAAAGTTCCCAGCTGTAGCCGCCGCCAAAAGAGTCGAAATCGAATAAACAATAAGTATGGATAAGCTTAAGAACTTTTCAGTTAAAAATAATAATCTACAAATAAAAAATTAAAGCTGAAAGAAACAAACAATAGCATCAATCATCATCACTCTCTTTTAAGTCTTTTATCGTAACTAATTCGTTTGAAGAGACGAAAGGAAAAAAGTCGGAATATTTATTTGGAAAAATAAAGCATTAACTACTTTTCTCTGTAACGATGGTAATTTGTCTTCTTTCAACTCAAAACTTCATAACATGCATGGATGAAAAAACTTAAGAAACTTTACTACGTGTCTCTCTCTCCACAATTGGTATCAAGTATCTACCAAATAAGGTATAATAAAAAAAGGTGGTATATTTACCATCTAGAATTGCATAATACAAAGAAAATAAATAAAAAACTTTTTTAACCAACAAAAAAGTTCAGCACATAAGTTTGCTTCATTTATTTTGAAGTCGAATTTTGGTCTTGAAGACTTCCTTCTTCCTCCTATAAACTTAGTTCTGAAGCACTTTAACCTTGGCCAAGCTTGTAGATCCTTCAAAACTTCAATGAAGATTTGAGAATCTGCTTTCAAAAAAAGGACTTCTTCATCGGTACAAAGATTATACAAGCAAGGCACAGCTCAAAGAAGAGAAATACGTATCCCAAATCTATACGTTCCATCTTTTACCAAAAAGAAAAAAAATCTATACGTTCCATCAATCCATGATGCTTTTACACTACATTTTAGAGTAGTTGAAAGAGGGCACATTTGACTTCAGCCTGGCTGCAGCTAGGAGTTGATTCACGTGCACTTATTTGATTATCTCACAATACCAAATGCATTTCCGAGTATTTCATATTTCCTTAAGTTAAAGTCAAGTTTTGTGTTGTTTAACACAGAATTAAAATTATGATTAATGTATGTAATGGTTTTCTCAGCATTAAAAGTATATAGGTAAACTTTGAAATTCAGTCCCCCTATTTTCTCTCTTTTTCTTCGTGGAATATCCCCCAAAATAAAGTTAAAACTAAATTAAGATAGTAAACGTACCATCTAAATTTTACATCCCTAAACGTATAACAAAATATGTAGTAAAAAATCAAAAGCTGAGAGGCTAATATTCAAGATTAATATGTCAAAATCTATCAACTCCTTTTTTTTCTTTACAATCCTCCAAAAAAAAAAGAACATAAAAGTCAGAGGAAGAGTTTAGAGAAGACTAAAACGATAGCCTGCAAAAACATAGAGCCAAACTCCATACCATAAGCACAAAGCCACACAGTATCTTCTTCTCTCTTCTCCAGCAAATTTTACACAACACCTGATGGGAGACGAAGAACGAGCTGACCGCCCATTAAACTGCCAAACACCAAAAAAGACATAAACTCTTAGAACACCCATCAATGTCATTATTGAGCTTAGAGATCAGCCATCACATAACATAATTACAATTACTCATGATTAGCAAGAACACTGATGGTTTACCTCTGGATATAATAGTAGCAGAAGTCCGCGAGAATGAAGGTCTGGATGATTTCAGAGAGCAAGACCATTATAGGCCAGAAACCATATCCTAAAGCAGTCAATAACCGCCCCCTAGTGTCCAAAACCTACAGTTATCGTACACCACAATCAAGTTCACAAAGCTGTGTATATATGGAGGTTTATAGTTTGGAGGAGCGGTAAAAAAAATGAACAAACCTGAAGGACCCAGTGTGCACAACTCAAGAACCTAGCTATCCCCAAAGCAAATACGTAATGTGCTGTGAATGGCTCCACAATCTGAGACAAGACATGCGTTACTAGTTTAATCGGTAAGGGATAGAGACTGATATTTAAGCTTTTTGAAGTACCTTAGTGTTTTGCATGACTCTAAGTTGAGGAAGGACTGAAACAGCTTCAAGGTAAACGCAGAAGGCCCAAGAAATCTTATTGATTATATGGTGATGTGTGGATGGGTGAATTAGGACTGATAGAACAGCACATGGTATAACCTGCAGCCATATTTTTTTTTAAAAAAAAAAAGCTCGGTAACATTTTGATAATATTTTACAAAATGATCTGTATAGAGTAAGAAGAAGCAGCTCTTTTAGATGATCTAATAAGGAAGTGAATTGATGTAAAGGATGTGCTACTTGACCTTCTTCAAATATATGATTCACAATCTTCAAAGAAAACAAGCTGAGATCTCGATAAAGAAGCAACTAAATAGAAGAAAACAACAACTTACGACGTAGTAGATAGCGAAATTGTCTTTGTCTTCCATGTAACTAGCTTTGAGCTTAAAACGGATCATATAGATAACCCAAAGGGTAGTCACCAATGTAGCCGAATCAAGCAATGTGTGAATATCAAATTCCATCACAAAACTACAATACAGCCTCACGGCCAAAAACAGAGCCGTTAGCTCTTGTGACTTCAGAGATAATCCTGTAAAAAAATAACCAGATTGCAATTAAACCTACTTGAGTGTTCATCAGACCTCTATCAATTCTCAAATCTAATCAATTCTCTCATTCAATCTACTCCCGAGGGAAACCCTAATTCGAAAATCGAAGCGGATCGGGGAAAATCGATTCGGAATGACCCGTGCTGGATCAACAACTAAACCTAGAGACCCAGAATTTCAAAATCAAGAAATTTCGAGACTTTAGCAAAGAGCAAGAGAGATTACCTGCGCAAGTCTTCTCCTTGGTGAGTTTGTAGATGAGAACAGAGATTCCGAGGGCATGAACAGCCTCGGCGGCGACGAAAAGGTTGTCGTGATCATGAACAATCATTCTTAGGAAAACGAGAGCAGTCATGGCTGAAACAACACCGAGAAAAGCTTTGACCTTCGGTGGTTGCCGGCGAACCCATGTCGTCACGGCGTGAATCGGCCTCTTCGCCGCCTTCATCCTCGATTCGTTCATCACTTCCTTTCCAAAGATAGAAACAGTAAAGTAGAATCCTTCGGCTGCTTGGTTCGAAGATTATAGAAACAGATCTGCCTTATGTGCAATTTGATTATTACACTGTTTTTTTTTTTTGGATTTGGAGTGGGAACTTGAAAAGGTTAATGCAACCATAACTACTCTTTTTCATTTTTTTTCTTACACAACAAAACAAAAAAAAAAGTTCGAAAGTCTGACTCTTTGCGGTGGTAACACGTGGAAGGTTAATTTTGTTTAGGTGAAAATTAGATTCGTGGTGAGCCAACGACTCTGCCTTTGTCTCTTTGTATCCATAGAAAAAATAAAGGGTGGTATTTAAACGTTTAATTTTTTTTTTGTCATTTCAATTTAGAATATTTGTAATGAATTGTTCAATGGTTTAGATGGATTATGTAAATTCATAATTATTGTGAATTTTATGCATTGTATTTGATTGAATTGTATCTATATTATCGTTTTTGTTTTCTGGTAAATACTGTTTGATCTTACATTCTTACTGTCCTATTACAAAGAGAGGATGAGAAACGAGTAAGCATCGATCGATCAAGAAGACTTTGTAACATTCAAAACATTCAAATCCTTGACCCAATGGATCACCACCAACATGAGGAGACAAAAACAATAACAAAAACAAAGACTGAGTATGAATCAGCCGGTTTGGTTTCAAACCATGACTGGTTTAGTATACACTTCATTAGATTCAAATGGAAACAAAAATTGTAGAGTAGTATTCAAAGAGACAAAAGACCATCAGTATAGTAACAAAACTGTAACTCTTCCTTTAGTTCCCCAAAATCCTTCTCTTCATTCTTGCTCGGGTAGTAAATCTTCAACCGGCTCGGAAACAGAACCTGGAAGAGCACACAATCAGACTGTATATCATGAATCCTGACCGGAAACGAAGGATAGTAACGGAACAACGTTTCTTTGAGACCAATGTGGTGCGTTTTAACCCAAGAAGATCCTTTGGAGCCATTCATCATCCAAATCTCCATGTTTGGCTCAAGAGAATTGTAATCTACAGCCCAAAGATTCCCTCTAATTCCGCATAAGCTAAAGTCGTGATGAGGCTTGTCTTCAAAACATTGCGGTGGAGGCAGAACAGAGAAATTCTCATGTTCTAGAGAGAAAGACACGATCTTTGTTGGAACACCTTTTGTTGTCCAGTAAAGGAACCCATCAGCGTGAACTGGAGGGTATGGTCGTAGAAGATAAGGACATTCTTCTTCTTTTGACTTCCATGGCGAGACCTCCAGATGATACTTGTAAGTTTTGGCGCTGATGGTAAAAGTCAGTATCTCGAATTTGCAGATCGGGTGATAAGGAAGGATAAATCTGATGAATTTGTATTGTAATGTCGAGGAAACGAAGCCGAAGGAGAACACATTTTCTGCAGAAGAAGGATAAGAGGAGGATTTGGGTATTTCTAGGGTTTTTTTATTAATAGGGTCGAAGAGAAATTGTTCCTTGTCAGACACGATACAAAGAAACTGATGGTCAGAAGAGAAGACTCTGACTCTTTGTCCGAGGAAGCTTTTGGTGATAGGTTTTTGCGTTTCCAAACCGTTGCGTTCTATAGGTTTTTGCGTTCCCAAACCGTTGCGTTCTACAATGAGTGATGTCCTTAAAGCGGTGAGAGCGGTGAGAGCGGTGTGAACGAGGAGAGCAGCTTCGTTGGACTTAGTAAAGAGGAAGAGTTTGAGCTCCACAACTAGGGATCCGTAGAAAGGAGTGAAGGCGGTGAGGATGGAGGAGGAATTTAGGGCAACGTGGAGGTGGAGACGGAGAAAATAGGGTTCGGAGACTATGGAGTTGAATTGCTTTGAAACTAATCGGAGTTTTGGTGATGTTTTGCCCGGAAAAAAAGAGAGGATTTTGATGATAACTTCCGGAGGCAGAGAAGAAGAAGAGGAATACATCTTTTCAAGTAACCGGAGAAAGCATGTGGATGTGTATATATATATGTGTAAATGCGTGTTTGCCAAGGATTCAAGTTAGGAAGTTATGAGTAAGAAAGTCAAGTATTCCAATTTAATTACTATTTTATTCTTTAATTTAGATTTGGTCGAATCTTCAAAACTAGGGATAATAATATACACTGTAACGGAAATATATCGATTGGTAGCGTTTTTATTCTTCTACGTATTCGACAAGTTCAATAATTAAAACGAAAGTTCTAATACGCAATCAATTTGTGAACAAAAGCTAGTTTAATACATGCATATAAATGCTAATTAGTTCAAAACAGTTTAAATCGTCTAGGTTTTGGCTACGCGTTCTAGATGTTAGACGGAAGGTCATCTCCCGATTATCCTTTCTTACGATAACATCTCCAAAACATGTTATCGTAAGTAGTTTTATCTTTTGAAAAATGCAATAATAATAGCAAATAGTTATTATAAAAATATAACATGGTAAAATTATGCATTAGTGAATACCTTATTAATTAACATGTAGTTCTTGTAAATATATTTTTCATTGTCTGGTGTTGATTATTATCTCCATAGCCATCCATTGTTTGCAATAAAACTTGAGCCAATGTCCCATGTCAGAAATCAGACTCTCTCGCTGCAAAACTAACTGTTAGTCAATCGAAGATTCTTTTGGTACAAAAGTAATGAGCCCAAAACTAATTGATAGTCATTCGAATGTTTGAGTACATTGTCAAAGGCCCAAATCTTTTTATCTTTTCTATTATAAGATGCAAGTACAATGATGTAAAAAAAAAAAAGAAGATGCAAGTACTAATAAAAGGGATATATCTACAATGTTTTACCATCGGTTTAACTAAATTACTTGGGATTAGTGTTTTTATTTATAAAATAGATCCGCATTTGGTTCACAACGAATTAGCCCAGAAGCTAACCTTATCATCATCGCTACACATAATAAGGCATAGGCAAATAAATTTGAAAGTGTTGAATTCATTTTGGTTTCAAGAAGATTAACTTCTGTGTTAGCTAAAGACCAGATAAACAAGAATACCACCAGTAGTTCTCCTTTTTTGTTTTTGTATGTATTTTCCCCCAAAATTGACATAAGTTAGATGGCCGAAAAGGTAATAACCGACCAAAACAAGAAATCCGAAAATGATTCAAAAGTAATAAACAATAAGAGAAGAAAAAAAAAACATTGGGCCATGAATTTAACACAAAAAATATGTAATGACACGTGTCATAAAGCTAGACCATCAGACGCTATGTGATAGTAAATGAAAATAAATAAATAAAAAATGAAACAAAATCTTCCGAAGAAGATTTATCTCATTAACCCAATCGCTTCAAGGCGAGAGACCCCAAAAACAAATATTCGTCTCCCCAAGAGAATGTGGAAGAAGAAGAAGAATAAACAGAGCACAACAATGGAAGATCATCACGGTTCACTCCGTTACCGTGACGGAGAAGTCAAAGAAGATTTCTTCGATAAAACCGACTACGAAGTTTCTACAATCTTATTGGAGCTTTCACATCCCGTCGTATTCTCTTCGAATTCTCTTTGTCTACATAAATGGGGTCGCACTAAAAAGAGGTCAAGTTCCATTCTCCTGAATCCGCCGGTGATAAAATCGCTGCCGTGTACAGACGTCGGCGAGATGGGAAGTACTTCCAGTTCGTCGTGCTTAACCGGCGAGGCCAAGAAAACCAATCCTCAAAGCGTAATTCTCAATATTCTCTGCTTATTTTTTTCTGTTTTATGGATTTTTTAATTTTTTTTACCAAAGGTATTCGTCTATTCGAATCTGTTGACTTGTTTGAGATTTTTTTTGTTTTGTTTAATTTACTACTCTTGTTTCTGTTTTTTTTTGGTTTTTATTCTGTCTTCATTTATAAAATTCGACAAATTGAATCTGAATAGCTGAATCTGTTACTTGTTAATTGTTTGTGTGTTTTTTGCGATATATACGACAGTTTAAGAAAGGTTTAGAAGAAGAATTTTCTACGACAAATCAAAGATCGAAGCCTCAGATTACTTCTCAGCCAAACGCATCATGCTCGCTTCTCGAGGTAATTCTCTTTTTTCCTTTTAATTATTTTCCCCTTGTATATCAAAAAAAATGTAAGCTTTTTTTTGTGATATTGTTTCCATTTGTAAAATATTCTGTGAATATACAGGCGGAGATGGGTTTAATTAGGGCTCAAGTTGGGTTGCTAGCCCAGCAGCCCATTGGAGATCAGAGAAGAATAGATTATCAAAACTTGTTTCATCCACAACCGTCGATATGCGGTGGTGATCGTACGGCCTACGTGAGGGATGTTGAAACGACGTCGATGCTACACCAAGGGAGGGGTGACTTGGAACGACGTGGCTTTGATCTGAACCTTCCAGCTGCAGAGGAAGGTAACCGTATCGACACCATGTTTGGTTTTCATAGAGTGGCAAATAATAAAGCCCAAGCAGCTGCTCAAGCACGACAAAGACGATTAGGTTTAATTCGATCTAAGAAGCTTTCTAGTAGATTTATTTCTCCACAACAATTCAAGTAGGAATGGGGCTTTTCTGAAAGAAAAAAAAACTTTTTTGAAGGGTACTTAGCTAATATATAGATTTTTGATGCGAATATGTAACCAAAATTGCAAGTTTCCATTTGGAGAAGGGGCAAGTTTTGGTTTTGTATAATTTATAAATGGAAACTTGAGGATTCAAAGAATCCTTTTTTTCTTAATATGAAAGAAAAGCTAGAAAATGAGAGATAAGTGGAGAAATTATTATTATTACAACTTACAAGACAATGAGAAGGAAAGAACAAACCAAATGGCAAATACAATACGAAGTAAGAACCATGAAGAGAAGTAAACTCAAAGACTTCTTTAACAATGCTAACACAAACACACACAATAATTTTTTAATAGATTCAACTTAATATGTATATATATATATTTTTGGTTGTGTTCTCTGACCACATTAAAGGAGAAAAAAATCAAGATTCGTAAGCTTCTTCTTCTTCATCCTCGTACTCACCTTCTTCATCAGCTGTAGCATCTTGGTACTGCTGATATTCAGCGACAAGATCATTCATGTTGCTCTCAGCTTCAGTGAACTCCATCTCGTCCATGCCTTCTCCTGTGTACCAATGCAAAAACGCCTTGCGCCTGAACATAGCAGTGAACTGTTCACTCACCCTCCTGAACATCTCCTGGATCGAAGTCGAGTTTCCGACAAAAGTAGAAGCCATTTTGATTCCAGTCGGTGGGATGTCGCAGACGCTGGACTTGACGTTGTTTGGGATCCATTCGACAAAGTAGGAAGAGTTCTTGTTCTGAACATTCAGAATCTGCTCGTCGACTTCCTTTGTGCTCATCTTTCCTCTGAACATTGCTGAGGCTGTGAGGTAACGACCGTGACGCGGATCAGCTGCGCACATCATGTTCTTGGCGTCCCACATTTGCTGTGTAAGCTCGGGGACTGTGAGGGAGATGTATTGTTGGGAGCCACGAGAAGTGAGAGGCGCGAAACCAACCATGAAGAAATGGAGACGAGGGAATGGGATAAGGTTCACAGCGAGTTTCCTTAGGTCAGAGTTGAGTTGTCCAGGGAAACGTAAGGAGCAAGTCACACCACTCATTGTTGCGGAGATCAAGTGGTTCAAATCTCCAACTGTAAATGTTGTTGATCTTTAGAATAAGATAGGAACCAAGTAGTAGAATCATTAATATCAAAAACATGGCTATACACTTACAGCTAGGAGTGCTGAGTTTGAGAGTGCGGAAACAGATATCGTAGAGAGCTTCGTTGTCGAGGACCATGCATTCATCAGCGTTCTCAACGAGCTGGTGGACAGAGAGAGTGGCGTTGTAAGGCTCAACCACTGTGTCTGAGACCTTTGGAGATGGGAATACAGAGAATGTTAGCATCATCCTGTCTGGGTATTCCTCTCGTATCTTTGATATCAGCAGAGTTCCCATTCCTGAACCCGTGCCTCCTCCGAGAGAGTGACACACTTGAAATCCTGTTTTTACGAACACACATGAAAATTAATTAGAAGCCGAGAAATGATCAAAAGAACAAGTAAGTGTGAACTATCATTTGATCAACTTTACAGTCCGGTACGGTGTAATAAAAGTATGAGTTTCATCTTGTAACAACGTAGTGAATTCAGACCAGATCCAGTAAAATATTGAGATGCTTTTAGTATCAAACGTGTTAACGATGAAAAAACAATCATGTCGGCCCCGTGACCCACTTGCTCTATTCAATTATCTCACAAATATGATATGTTTCACCTCGATAGTATCAACTATCAAGACAAGAGTAATCTCTAAAGTGAGTATTAAATTAGTATTCGATGTGGTTTAAGGATCTCGAAGGATCACGTGATAATTTTGATCACTGCGACAAAAGTGGAACAAAAACATTTTAGGGGCCACACAATACACTAGAGCCAAATTAGGATATTGTCTTTAGATTAAAATGACGTCAACCTTTTTCCTTACAGCAAAAAAAAACTCACAAAATCCAATTGCGGGCCCATCAATAAGAGTGTTAACAGCTCACTCTTAAACAGTAATTAACACCTGATTCAATTAAAACTGAATTATTGCAGAAGAATCACGACTCAGTCAGAGCAGAGAGAAAACACAACAAAAACATGCAACCGAAGGAGAAAGAAAGACAGTGATCAAATGTCAACAAACGATATATGAGTGATCACCACATAGTTGATCACTCATATAAAAAAAAAAAAAAACTATGTGGTGAAATGCCATGATGATATTAGTGTGATTACGAATAAAAATGAAATCGGTTACAAAAACACTCCCGAGATATAAATAAATCAATGATGATTGCAGTTTTGGTTCACAAACCAATCAGAAACAAATTGATGAAGTCAAGTGAATTATCATCCGACAAAAACCGATGACGAAAACTAACATCAATGTCATTACCAAAGTAGAACCAAGATATTAAAAAAATCTAAAAATCAATATGAAGAAAATAAAAAACGAAATAGTCCTACCTTGCAAGCAGTCACAGTTCTCGGCTTCCTTGCGAACAACATCGAGAACAGCATCAATGAGCTCAGCACCTTCGGTATAGTGACCTTTGGCCCAGTTGTTACCGGCGCCGGACTGGCCAAAGACGAAGTTATCGGGACGGAAAATCTGACCATAAGGACCGGATCTGATGCTATCCATTGTACCAGGCTCCAGATCCATAAGAACCGCACGAGGCACGTACCTCCCACCAGAGGCCTCGTTGTAATATACATTGATCCTCTCTAGCTGGAGATCGGCCGAGTCACCGGTGTAACGTCCCGTTGGATCAACGCCGTGTTCGTCGCAGATAACCTCCCAGAATTTGGAGCCGATCTGGTTACCGCATTGGCCGCCTTGGACGTGGAGGATCTCTCTCATGATTATTGAAAGGAAAGATGATGGAGAGAGAGAGAGATAGATGGAGAAGAGGAGAGAGGAGAATAATAAGGAGAAAAAACAGAGGCGGGATAGTTTTTTTTTTTGAGAGAGGGACAATTTGACAGCGTGGGAAGATGGATCTTGCCAGCTATAACCGTTTCCTCCTCAAATTGTTTAACACCGTTTCTCAAAATCTTGAAAATTAAAAAAAAATATACATAGATCAAATCATACCACAAATAATTGATTTTATTAGGAAAGTATTATGGAATTCTATTTTCGTTTCTTGCTCTCTTCTTCTTTGGAATACTTTGTTAGGATTTTACCAGAGTTCATTTTGCTCCAAAATTCATACTAGTAGTTTCTTCTGATAAAAAAAAATTCAAACTAGTAATTGAAACTTATTAACCGTGTAATTTTGTCATTAGCTAAAAGAAAAAGAAATAATAATTGTCGTAGATAAGTACTCTAGCTCGTTTCTGAATCTTAACCTACGAAATGAATGTTCTACTACTCAAACTTTATCATTGGACGGACCTGATCAACCCTTTGATCTTTTTTTTTTTATAACATCTAGTAACAAAATTGTGAACATTAATTAATTAACATAAGTAACAACATGAATGCGAGACGAATACAACAGCTTGTCTTTCATCTATCATATGTGTAGTGTGACATAGCACATGTAGCAAGATGTAATAGCGATCTGGAGATCTTGAATAAATGAACCTATTTCTATGAAAATGATATATTCACAATAATTGAAATGGCTTGAATAATCTTATAAAAGAATCCTCACACACACCGATTGTTTTTTGGATCTATTATACAATAGAGCTAACAGAAAAAAATTTAGGTAGTCGTATAGAAAAATAATAATGGCATAGCACATGTAGCTAGATGTAGACTGTAGTAAGATCTGAGATTTGATCCATTATTTTTATTTTATGTCATTTTCGAATTTCGATATACTGTTTATATGTACGTCAAGATCAATAATTGAACTTGTAAATAGCATCCTATATTTTTTTTTTTTGCTCCCTCATATTAAGGAAATGGGAGCACGTAGCTATATGGATGGATATAAGTATGTATATCTGTATTTATCGAAAGAAAGAAAACTATAGTTTCATAAGTTTTTTTATTTAGTTTCATAAGTTTTGACTTAAAATGGGTAATGTTGGTTTTGTAAAGACATTTTTATCAATTAAACTATAGTTTCATAAGTTTTTTTTTTTAGTTTCATAAGTCTTGACTTCGATTGGCTAATGTTGGTTTTGTAAAGACATTTTTATCAATTTCATTTTTTTCGAATTAGAAAAAAGATACAGTATCGACGTGACAATTTTTAGCATTCAAATTAGGAGGAGATTTGTCAATCTACACAGACCTGGGCCGGTTTTGCAGATAAATGTTATGTAAGCCCTTCAAAATTCTAAATGGCGTCGTTAATCACACAGGTGAATCCCAAAACCCTAAACCCCACACGTCTGCCTCTTTAAATAATCATCCGTCCTACCCTAATTCAGAATTGATTAAAAATTCGCTGGCAAGATAATTTTTCATATTTCTCTAATGTTTTTTATGTGCTTGTTCTGTTTTCTGTGAATACTTCAACGTAAGATACCATTGCTCTCTTGTTAAAAAAAAAAGATACCATTGCTCTGTTTTCTGTGAATTCTTCATCTTCATGAATATTGAGACGGAACTGAAAAATTTATGCTTAGATAAACACTTTTAACTAAATTTATTTTTTCCTATCAAGTTCTCTGTGTCTTGTCTACGGAATTGATTTTTTTTTTTTTTTTTGGTTCTCCTTTGAAAATCAAGTGATGAGATTGGATCTAAAATTCTCACGACGGTCGTCTGATTCTAATGATGTACCGATCCTAATACTCTCTGATGATAATAATAGATGTCATTCCGTTTAACTTAAAACCCTTTTTTTCTGTGCTTTCTAAAGTAGCATCGATTCAGAATTTGTCTATATCTTCATATGAACATTATCATGGAAACAAGAAAAAAAAGAAGGAATAACACATGTCTTTCTGGAGATACAGTTTTTATGATAAGAGTAATCAATTACTGGAGAATTCTGCCGCAACGGATGAAATTCTCCGGGATCGGACATTCATCTTGGACCGGAATATTCGAGGGATCTTCTTGTCCATCTCCCTTGACCCTCAAGTAAAGCTCTTGACCTAGATACCATTGCTCTGCTTTCTGGGACCTCACATTCCACATCCCTTGATTATCCATAGCTATCAGTATTGCTACCCACGAATATGGATAAACCTATATAAGTCCAACCAATAAAAAGTTAATTAAAAATTCAGAGAAACAAAACGTTAATTATGAAATTAGAATATGATTTTAACCTGAATTGTTGACCTAGAAACAGCGTCCACCAAGTTATATCCAGCTCTCTTGCTTTCAGACCAACCACCAAATCCCATTCTAACACATTAAACGCAAATAAAACTAAAAGTTAAAACCTTATTAATCATCATCAATCATCATTAAACATGATTCATCCGGTTATGTTTTTTTTTACCCGACAACGAAGAAATTGTAACCGTCGATGTGCCAGCTCTGCAATTCATCTAGAGGATTCTCGAAGACGATGTGGACGAAATCTTTGTACCGAATATCGACCACAGAAGTTCCAAAACTCGGCGTTTTGTTCGAAGGATAAGTCGGGAACATGTCGGGGACAATCGTGTTCTTTAGCTGGAAATGATCAACGAGCTTCAACGGCGTTTCGGGGAAGACAAACGAAACGCCGTTCACTGTGTAACGGAGCTTGTTCGACGACGTCATAACGTCGTTTTGAAAGATTAACGTCCTGGTCACGTTTACTCGTCCGTAATGGTACGAGCCTTGTGGATTCGGTCTTGCCGCTCCAACGTCTAAGTCCTCTCTTTTTTTTTCACAATTACGTTAATTTCATTGATTAAGAAAATATACTAGGATAAGTAATATATCATTATCACCAACATGGATTCATATTCTAGCATTTCGTTAGGCTAATATAGAAGATCGACGATGGTTTTGTGTTTTTTTAGGTAGACAAATAACACTTTCTGTAATTTCAAGAAACAAACCATTGTCTAAAAAAGTCGGTAAAAAATTTGTGATTTTTCATGAAAAATATAGTAATTAATTTACCTAATGGATAGGGCTTGTTGAACCGAGGAGGCGTAATCCCATGGTTCAGGTGCGGCTGGAACTGGTCCGACCGGGTCAAGAGGGGAGTTGGGATAGCGGATTAAAGCTATACCAGACAAGTAGAAATTAGTAAACCGGGCTGAGGCGAAGATGTAGTATGAGCGGTAAATTCCAACCGGGTCGGTTTTGGCAGTGACGAGAACAGAATATGATTGGCCTACGTGGATGTCCAAGCTGGAGTAGGTATGTTTCTGAACATACGAACCCTCTGTCTCAACTAGAAGCATATCATGATCCTGGATCCTGAAGTTTAAAGATGTTTTGAGTCCCACGTTTGATATTCTTAGCCTATATGTTTTACCTGTGATTATGCAGAAAACAAAACAAACCAAGTGTATAATTAGAGAGATATGATTACTGTGACGTTTTATATGTAACTTAAAAAAAAATAAAATAAAGAAAATACCTGGTTGAAATGCAAAAAAAGTCTCTTCGGGGCCACGGCCATTAATAAGAATACCATCAGGGGTTGCTAAACTGAGACCATTGTCAAGTGAAGCTCTCATAACCTTTACCAAACCGAAAACAAACCCAAATTAATAAACGTAATGAAAATTGTTCATGCAATTTAGCAAAAAAAGAAAAAATGCTTCATGCGTTAACAACACTTTTTAACTAGATTTGATAAAATCCATAATAACATTTTTTAACTATAACGTATATTTCCAATGACAAATTGCTATAGTTTTTAGGTAAACGTAAAAATGAAAATTACCCTATGGTCAGTATAGAACCAATCTCCGATCAAGATGTCAAATTCTCCATCGGGGTGAGGGAATGGAACCTGGACTAACTCTGGACTATAGACTCTAATTGAACCGTATCCTCCGGCTGCCTTTTGGAGTAGAAGAGTTGGAAAGTAAAAGTAACTTCCGATCTGATCTTTTATCTGAAACCGGTAAGTCCAATTTGTTCCCGGTAGTATGGGACAGTTTGTCCCTCGAACTCCGTCTTGCCACGAGTTCTTCCGCATTTGCAATCCATTCCTACATCGTTTTGGCCAACAATTATAATTGATTAGAATGAAACGAATAGAAAAGATAATTAACTGAATGTGAAATTTTTTTTACTACCAGGTCATGAGAAAAGGTTCGGTCAAGTGGTTGAAGATGTTTACGTTTACTATATCGCCTGCTGTTGCACTAAGGATCGGTCCAGGAAACATGTCGTTGATCACTATGATCTGTTAATTGATCATGCATTTGTTTCATATATAACGTATTAACGATTCAAAATATTTTAAAAGAATTACATAAGCGAATCATCAATATGGAACCTGCTTGTTGGCTCCGAGAACGGAACGTTGGGAATAAGAGACGACCCATTCATACGAAACAGAAGGTGCAAATGCATTACTCAACTCCAAGAGGACCATAGAGATCAGAAGCAACACTTCAACCACCACATTTCTCATCACGACAAAAACAAGAATTAACAAAAATAACTTTGATAACTCTGACTAGTTTTTGAAATGCGTGGACAGAGTTTTATTTCAGAGATTTTGATATGCATGTGTTGTGAACAAGAAGTGTTGAGACGAAAGCACTAGCTATATTTTTCCTACAGAAGCGATATATTAATTTGGTGATGTTTTATTTGTTGGGATTAGGGCTTCTCTTGTGTGCTATGAATATTGAATATGATCGGAAGAAAGGGTTGTTTCATGCAATCTGTGTTTTCAACCTAATCACCACGATTTATAATAAAAATTTGTTCACGTTATATGTACTTGACCAAAAATCCTTAGATCACACGTGTATATGGGAATTTCAGTTTTGTAACTTTTTATAAAAAAAAAGTTGGGAATGCAAATTGTATGTCTCTCTCTCCCTATGCAACAACACAGTAATTCGGGGCAGGCACATTTGTACGCTTCTGATTAAACTCTGGGCTCATTCATTATACCAAACCTAAGACCCATTAAGTGTTTTATTGTATATATAGATAATAATTTTATGTACGCATTTTAATGTATGTGAGGGACGATAAGCAACAAAATTGTACGGGAGTAAAAAGGATGATGCTTACGATATACATTGTAAAGTGAACTGTGGATGTGACCTGTCTGATGCAAATTTACAATATAGTCGCTGTTAGTCCCACAAAAAATAAAACGTAAGGCAATTATTGAAAAATTATTTTATCACTTTTATATCTTCTTTCATATTTCACCGTTCACACCACGTTTAAAAACAGTAAACAGAAACAATATTTTCACAGAAATATCTAGCAGATGGGTTTAAGTATATAGAAATTATTTTCTTGTTGAAACCAAAGTAATGAATTTCTTTCCATTTCTTTTTGGGAATATTTTGTTGCAATTGATCAATCAGGCGCAAAAGATATTATAGTGTACAAATGATTTTATATAACCAAGCCAAGATATTATATGGATCCTGCAATATAATTTACAGGGCCCGCGGCTATCATGAGAGACGTTGAATTGTCCACTAGTGGTACCAATTGTTCGGAAAATGAAATGATAATTTTATAAATTATATGGTTTTGGACTTGAAGAAGTTCATCATCAGTTTGTGCTAGAATAGACCCTTCATTATTGTTGCAGTTAAATCACATATTCACTATTGAAAATTCATAAAATTTACAGATAAAAAGTAAATTTGTTTCGCACGTCTACCTGATCATAAATCCTAATTGCGTAAATCTTCAGTAAAGTTTAAAGAATCTTGAAATCAAAAATTACTTTACGTTTTGGGGATATTTTAAAATAAAGAAGTGAACGTCAAAAGGTCGTTGAAAACTATCAATCAAATTCTGCCAACAAATAGTGATAATGGGTGATAACTGGTAACCATATTCAATAATTCAAATGAAACTGGACTAACACATTATTGTATATTTCTAATTATCAGTAGATTAAATAACAATGTTTTAGCTCAATTAGTCTATTACTGCATACATAAATCTCTTTCTCAAGCAGGTGCTTTTCTTATCCTCAACGGTTAAAAATTATTAAGCAATCAAGTGTCACCACGTCAGCAGGCGTACCATAAGCTACCAACCAACATATACACCTGATTACTACCCACAGAGAAGAAAGCTAGCGGAATATGCTTCTTCTATAAATCACACGCCCCCTTTGCATCATCTCTTTTTCCCCCTGAGAATCCTCCTCCTTTTAAGTGTCTGTTATATAATATAAATCAAGAAGAAGAAGAAGAAGAAACAGAGCAAATATAAAATCAATCCTTAAAAGCTTCACATTTTTCTTCTTCTTCTTTCTCCAGACCAATGGCTCTTCCGTTGCCACTGATCTTACTATTCTTCTCCCATTTCTTCCTCCCCGGTACGAATCTTATCCGATTTCAGAAAACGGACTCAATGATTACTAATTTTCACTAGTGTAACTGTGTTCTGATTTGGGATTTTTTATTTTGGTTAATCAACAGGGATTGAATCGACGAGCTTCATTATGCAGAACAAATGTGAATACACAGTCTGGCCGGGACTTCTCTCCAACGCCGGAGTTCCTCCTCTTCCGACGACCGGATTCGTTCTCCAAAAAGGCGAAGAGCGAACAATCAACGCGCCAGCTTCATGGGGCGGTCGATTCTGGGGAAGAACGCTCTGCTCCACCGACACCGACGGAAAATTCTCATGCGAAACCGGCGATTGCGGATCCGGAAAACTCGAATGCTCCGGATCCGGCGCCGCTCCTCCGGCGACACTAGCCGAGTTCACGCTCGACGGATCTGACGGTCTCGATTTCTACGACGTCAGCCTCGTCGACGGATACAACGTCCCGATGCTCGTCGTCCCTCAGGGAGGCTCGGGGCAGAACTGCAGCAGCACGGGATGCGTCGTGGATCTGAACGGCTCGTGTCCGACGGAGCTGAGGGTGACGAGCGTCGACGGAGGAGGAAAACAGTCGATGGGATGCAAAAGCGCGTGCGAGGCGTTTCGGACGCCGGAATATTGCTGCAGCGGCGCGTTTGGAACGCCTGACACGTGTAAACCGTCGTCGTACTCGTTGATCTTCAAAGCCGCGTGCCCACGTGCGTACAGCTACGCCTACGATGATCTGAGCAGCACCTTCACATGCGCCAAGTCCCCTAATTACGTCATCACCTTCTGCCCATCTCCAAACACCAGGTGAATTTCCCTTTATACCCTTCTGCTGCTCACTCTCGTTAGGTTCAATCACGCTTTTGATTAGAGGGTAATTTCGTCACAATACAACCGACATCTAGTTATCCCTTCACTGTGGCGGCAACAATATGATGAATAGTAGTTGTAGAATGTGGTTAAGGTTTATGTGAGAAAACACGCTCAATCCGGGAGGGTAAATTGGTCAAAGAAACATCATATCAGCTTCACTGTGGCACCAACCATTAAGCATGAAACACAGTATGATTAAGATTAGGTGAGAATACGATTAGTTTGGGAGGGTAACTTCGTCACAATACAACAGACATCATATTTACTATACTACATTTAATGAATCATTAAATAACCTTTTGCTGCCGTATACTCCAAGTCACTTACGTTTTGTTTGATAATCTATTATTATCAAAATTAGGAGTCTACAGATTTTTGCTTTCTACTGCAAAAAGAAAAAGAGATGGGTGTTCATCACGATTTTATTTTTACCATTTTTTTTTTGTTATTCACACTTTAGCCTCGGGTATAGAGATTGATTTATTGAGATGTGGATCCGTAACGGCCCATTGACATTTTTAATATAATCCCCAATCCCGAAAAAACGCGTGACAGACGCACTTATAGATTTTCATCTAACGGCTATTCTTTGTTTTTACGTTGATCCGTGGCAGTCAAAAATCATCTCAAGATCAGAGTCCAGATCCGAAAGTGACGACGCCGCCAGGGACGTCGACAACTCCAGCCGGAGACAGTACGACGTGGTCGCCGGTAGATACATCGATGATATACGAAGGTGCTCTGGACCAGAGCAAAGGATCACCGTCAACGTGTCATCTGTCCTTATGTGGAATCACAGTCACTGTCGCGCTGGCCTTTTGTCGGATGTGGCAGCTCTTTTGACCTAACTTTGTCTCCCGCGGTAAACACTAAATCAAGACGAGGTGGGCCCGCACTAAAGCCTTATCTCGTCCCGGCCCATGTGACCTTTTTCCGTAATAACCGACGTCGGATTGAGTCAGAGTTGAAAAAGGTACAGCAAAAAGATCCTTACACAATTTACAAAGTTACCCTCTCACGGGAGGAATCTTAATCTGGGTGAGGAACACGTGGGAAAACCAAAGTGGGCTGCTGGTGGAGTTTCAAAAAGATGGGACTGATAATTGTAAGGTCACAGAATATTTCTTTGATTTTTAATATAACTAGGATTAGAATATAAGAGATTACTCATATTTGTTTGTACACTATATAAAAGTAATCTATTAGTTATATTGGAAAAATGAGGGGAATATTTTTTTTGTTTATTAATGCTGCGTTGGCCACTCGGAACATTGAAATGAATAACCTGGATATTACATTTTCTCGGTCTTGTCTCAACCACCGTATCTAAAAATAATTGACATTACAAGTGCATGAGAGCCATAAGAAATTTCAGGTATTCTCTATTCTAAAATGAAAAAGTGATTTTTAAAAGGGTCAACAGTTATATGTGGTAACCACTAGCCGAAAAGATGAAATTGGATAATATAAATTAGGTGTGAGTTGATGATGATGATGATGCCTTGGATATATAGTGGGAAAGAAACTATAAATATAATCAAATGTCCATTTCACTGCATACGATTTGACAATAATATCATAAGAGTAAGCCATCATGGAGTAATATCTAGACATGCTTTAATCTCTTATTAGAAGAAAACTAATTGGCAAGATGGATCTAAAAGTGGAGCCCAGTATTGATATCAGAGGCCCATTATGAACCATTACTAAGTCCATGAGGAAGTTTGAAAGAGGCATTATTTTTCAGATTGACCACAACCATGGAAAGAGAGTTTGTTGACAATGACATGCGTGGGAATGTCATAGACTTCATAAATGTAGTGCGTGGCAAGTCTCACAACGTTAGGTTGGGCTCTTTTCATATCCACTGTTTCTTAAAACGATGTCGTTTTTAGTGGGAGCAGAAGATCTCAATAAGGCTACTATCGTAATTTGAAAATATCCCCTTGACAAAGATTACGCTTGCCTCGAGTCATCAACATCCACCCCCACCAAATATTATCCCTTTTCTTCGTTTACTTTCTGTTAAGCGCCACCGTAACGACCACCGGCGCAATTTCACGATTACGGAGAGGAAACTCCAACCTCTATGTGTCTAATGGCGTTATCCGACGCGGTTCTCGGTAATCTCGCGACGATCTACGTGGCGGTGATTATCGCGATTAAGGTGTACGGGTTGGTCTCCGGGAGGAGCTTCAGCGCTGGATTCGTCGTCTTCGTTTCGATTACTGCCGTCGGCGTTTTGCTAGCGGTTACGCTAGCCTGGGACGTGTCTCGTAGAGCCGCGGATGCGGTTTCGCGGTATAATCGTGTTGTTGCTGAGGATCTTAGCCACCGTCACAATCACGACGGTGGTGGAATTTGTAAAGGAGGGATTTGCTGGCACGGCGTTGCGGTCCGTTCGCCGGCTTCACAGGTTCGGTTTAGGCTTCCACAACACATACCGTACGGAGCTTTCTGAGTACATACATAAACTCCAAATCTTTTCCTTTTTTTTTTTTCTTTGACTTCTTCTTGTATGTTTTTTCCACTTTTTGTTTCTTAAAAAAGCTTGCAACCGAAGTAAATAACATGTATTAGGGATAAATTTATGTATAACAGCTGATGAGGGATAAGGCAATGGTGTGTTCTTCTTGTAGCTATACACTTTTGGGGGCTTTGTTTTTGTACTGATATGTTGTAAAATGTGATAGTGATGAATGATGATGATGATGATAGATGTTCTTGTTATTAAGAGCCGCAGTGTTGTTAGATATTGGAAATGTTGAAACTACTTTTGACAGTAACTCAAGGCTCTTCCAGTGAATCAAGATCGTAGCCATGAGAATTTGGGTTTAAATTGTGTATGCTTTCTGAATTTAGAGATTACAACACAGTAATAAAGGATCTTGTATTATGTTAGATTTCGAGTTGGATGTTGGTAGAATCTAGCAATGAAGATTGCTTTTTTTTTTTTGTGAGCAGAAGAAAGTGGAGTGTCTCTCCCTTGGATTGTAAGTTGTCACTCTGCGTCTTGTCTTCTTCTCATATGTGTTCCCCTGCAAGTGAATATTAATCCATCACACCCATTTTTCTTTCTTCTTAATTTTGCAATGATTGAATGGAAGTAAAACTTATGTATACAGTTTTCTCCACAACATCATCCTCGATCTCTAACATGTTTATTTGCTCATGTTAATAATCTAGATGATAGAGGTTGAAGTCTGCTGTTAATGAACTTAAAGCTGACACCCTTGGTTTTTGGTTTCTTTAGATTTGTCGGTTTCTTAGTTGATGCAGGTTTTGTTTCACTGGCAGAAACTAATGACCCTGATGTGATTTTACTAGCTCATGGAAATGAGTTACATTGGAATTTCGATTTCTTAGGGCAGCTTTACATAGTAGTTTGAGACCCGAGAACTCAATACACATGAAACCAAGTTGGGTCATTTTTTTTCCAAATGCAGAGTAATTCTCTGTTGATTTGGTCTTTTACCAGACAAGTTTCCACCTTTTGTTTCTGTGCTATATATATATTCTTCCACATCTTTTTTTTAATACTTTGCAGGTAGTGGCAACTGGCAAGAATTACCATCATGATACCATGTTGGGAGCAACGATCCAGAAGTGGCAAAACCTTGCGGTTGCTAAAGGCAACCTAGTTAATGCAAGCAGTAATCTCTTATTTCTCCAACATGATCAGAGAGATTAGATATGGATTATTTTAAAGAATCTAGTGTGGAACCAGAAGTCAAAGTTCCTATTCCGTTATTATATACACAAATTTGTCTGAAGCAAGAAATAGTTAAATGTTTGAGCCATCATCAAGAAGCATTTTGATTACATTACAGATTCGAGTAGATAATAAGAACACATAAGAGGTAATATACAAATCGTCACACAACAAAATATACAAACTCAAAAATAGGTAAAAGCCATATATGGAGAAGCATCCCCCCAAAAATATTATCACCAACTCGTTTACATTACACATCTTATTTTTCATCAATCTAGGTTGGATCAGAGCGCGATCAAGTTAGTCACGGACTTGGGAGGGTTAGTGAGCATGTGCACAACTTCCCTCATCGTAGGCCTTGAAGCTGCCTCATCCTCCACACACATCATAGCTATCTTGAACACATGGATCACACTGGTCAATGGATAACCAGTCAACCTTGGGTCAACGATGGCAACAACCGTAGCAGCATCCGACGGCTGAGACATTTCAGCTTCCGTGTTCCTCACCCACCTAACTATATCCACTCCTTCTCCGAATTCACCAACCGGTTTCTTCCCAGCTATTAGCTCCAGCAAAACCACTCCGAAACTGTACACATCACTCTTCTCGTCCACTTTCAAAGTGTAAGCATACTCTATCAAAACCAAAACCAAGACCAAAACCAATGATGGTCAGAGCATATTTTGTGTGATCCTCATTGTGTCACAAATAAATTTAGTAGTAACTAACCTGGGGCGATGTATCCATAAGAGCCAGCAATTGAGGACATACACTCAGAAGCAGCACCATCCACTAGGAACTTAGCAAGCCCAAAATCAGCAACATGGGCTTCAAAATCAGAGTCCAGAAGAATGTTATTGGACTTGACGTCTCTGTGCAAGATCAATGGTGAACAGTCATGGTGAAGATAGCACAGTCCTTTCGCTGCTTCCACGGCTACTCTGTGTCTCGTCTCCCATTGAAGATGACCACCTTTAGATCCATGCAAGAGCTCTCCGAGGCTACCATTAGGCATGTACTCGTAGAGAAGCAGGTTCGTGTCCTTGTTCGCTACGTATCCGAGAAGTCTCACGATGTGACGGTGACGTATCCTTCCAAGCGTCTGAATCTCCGCCGTGAATCCGTGGTCGCTTCTTCCTGTTCCACGGCCAACAAGGCGTTTGATCGCGACGTCTACGTTGTTTGGCATGGACCCGCGGTAGACGATCCCTGCTCCGCCTTTTCCGATTATGTTTTCTTCTTGAAGGCACTCGAGTACGTCTTCGGCTTTGAAATCAAGTCGCTGGAAGGCGGTTAGCTTCCAGGCGAGGGATTTTTGGTTTCTCTTCTTGTTCATCTGTCGAATCGCTACGCTGATTAGAATCAAGGCGGTGATCGCTGCGATTACCGTGATTACGATCCTTGATGGTGAGAACAACGCCGTGTGGATGTGATCGGAGGTTTGTCCTGGCCGTGTTAGACAGGAGACGTGGTGAGGTAGACAGAGGTAAGGATTTCCGGCGAAGGAAGTGTCGTTGAAGACCATGAATTGGCCACCGAGTGGGATTCTTCCGGAGAGGTCGTTGAAGGAGAGATCGAGAGTGGTTAAGCTCGTCATGTTTCCGATTCCGGTTGGGATTGAGCCGGTGAGTTGATTGCCGGAGAGGTTTAGAGTTCCCAGGTTAATCACGTTGTGGATCTCTTTGGGGATTTCTCCGTCGATACGGTTACGGCTGAGATCGACGGAGATTAAGGATGTGCAGCTGGAGATTGAATCGGGAATCTCGCCGGTGATGTTGTTCGCACTGGTGTTGATTTTGGAAAGATGCTTTAATTCGAAGATTTCTCTCGGAATATTCCCGCGAAACCGGTTCCTGTCTAAGAACAAGGTCTGCAGATTGGGGAAATTACCGATTGCAGATGGGATTTCGCCGGAAAACCAGTTGTTGGAGAGGTAAATCTGGTCGAGAAGATTGCCGGACATCGCTTCCGGGAGTTCACCGGAAAAGAAATTATCAGTGAGTTCGATGATCGTAACGAGCGGGAGGTTGAAGAGACCAGCCGGAACAGTCCCGTTGAGAAGATTCTTCACGATTCTGATTTTGTTTAGCGACTTACATTGACCTAGCTCCTCCGGGATCGGGCCGAAGAAGAAGTTATTCGATAATATCAACATCTCCAATTTGTCGCCTCTGCACAAATCCATGGGGATAAGTCCCGTGAGATGATTATAAGAGACATCGAGCTTCTTCAGATTCTTATTCCGGCCAAGATTCGCCGGCAATTGTAACGTGAAGTTGTTCTCCCAAACCTCGAACACTTGAAGTTTCGGTAATTCTCCGATGAACTCAGGTATTTGCCCGTAGAGATTGTTCCTAAACAGATTGATCAGAGTGATGTTTCCGAGAGCGATGAAGCTCTGAGGAATCTCTCCGGTTAACTGGTTAATTGAGAGATCGAGCGATTTCAAGCTGATTAAACCGGAGAGCTCCGGTGGGATATGTCCGGTTAAATTGTTGATGTGAAGAAACAGAGTATGCAAGTGTTTGAGATTACTGAGAGTCGTCGGAATCTCTCCGGTGAGAGTACAACTCGCCATGTCGAGGACCTCGAGCTTCGTCAATCCACCGAACTCCGGCGGAACACCGCCGGTGTAACTGTTGTAGTAGCCAACATACATTTCTCTGAGATTCTTGAGACGAGACAAGAACCCTGGAGACTCACCGGAGAGCCCTGCGCCGTTGAGGCCGAGATACTCTAAGTTCTGGATATCTCCGTACCTCTCTGGTATCTCTCCGGTGAAGAAATTCCCGCCGAGAGAGAGGTGTTTCAGCTTCTTAAGCTCAGGGATCTCCGGCGGTAATAACCCGGTGAAGTTGTTGTTATAGGCGTCGAGGACTTCAAGCTCGACCATGGCTTTGACAACTTCTCCGGGGAAGCTTCCACTGAGGTTTCCATTGTTGGAGACATTCAAAACCTTGAGAGCGGTGAGACTCTTCATCTCCGATGGTAATCTGCCGGAGAAATTGTTGGCAGCTAAAGTCAGATTCACCAGACGGTTCAACATTCCAATCTCCGGTGAGATAGTACCAAACAAAGGAGTGAAGGAGACGTTGAGGGAGACAACACGAGCGTCGCTGTCACAGGAAACGCCGGAGAAAGAACAGTGAGCTGCCGGAAAAGTGGAGTGAAGCCAGTCGTGGAGGCCGTCGCCTTTGGGACCAATCATGGAGGATTTTAGGTTGAGGAGAACTTCCATGTCAGTGTAAGCGAAGCATGGTGAGAAAAGGAGAAGGAAAATCGAGAGAACGTAGAGCTGGTGAAGATGCAGAAACAGAAGTCGAGTCTTCAAAAGTCTCATCTCCATTTTTGTTCTTCTTTAAGCTGTCCTCTCAGAGAGAAGGAGAGAGAGATAGAGAGAGAATAATAATAATGTTAGCGTGAGTGTTATGCGATAGGACGAGTACACAAATATATGAACAAAGGCATATTATGAAGAAGACGATGCTGAGAATCCAAGTTGTACTTATTCTAAATACTGCTAGACTTTGAGAGAGAATAATAATCCTTTTTAAAAACATCCTTTATAATAATAAGACTTTTTGAGAGAGAATAGCATACCGCTAAAAATACTGCAACAAATAAAAACCTTTTTTTTTTAAAACATCTCGTAATTTCTGATTAACTCTCCATCGGGTAGATTTATATAAGAAAACTCTTTATATAATCACACTGGAAATAAAAGTGAAAAAGTACATCCAGGTTGTAACTAAGACTTGTGGTCAACGTACGTGTCATTATCTCACGTACAATTTTTGCAATTCGTTTTTTGGAAGGTGGTCAATAATAATGTGTGCTTACTAATTCAATCTCAAAATCCACTGGAGAAAAATGTGTGTGTG